CTGCTGATATGCTTGTTCTTCTGGTGGCTTGGCAATCTTCACATATTCTATGTGCATCGCTTTGGCCTGCTGGTCAGCTGGTGATGCTTGTGTTTCTGTGGCTGGTGCTGGTGTTGATGCTGGCTCTGCCGGAAGTGCTTGTGGGCTATGTGGCTTGTCGTGACCGTCATGCTGCAGGTTGGTCTGATGTGCTTCGCATGCTTCTGCCTCTGCTGCTTGTGATGGCCCTTGTGCATGAACTGCGTTGGTGGGCTGCTGCTCAATGGTGCATGGTGGCTGCTGAGATGCCTGGTCAGTGTCATTGTCTTTGTCTGTTTTGGTTTGTTCTCCTGATGGCATAGCTACGTGTCCGTTCTTTGTGTTACTTGCATCGACCTGCTTGTCAGGTGTCTCCGTGCTTGATGTGGCAACATCCTTGATGTTGAACAGTTTGTTGATGTTGGCTTGGTTGATTTCCTGTGATGGTGGTAATCTCCCTGTCAATGGCTTGAATTGGAATGTTTTGCCCTGGTAAGTCTTTGGATCGAAAAATGGTGGAACTGTTTGAGTTTCTGCACTTTCAGTTTCAGCTGGTACTTGGTCAGTGGAGGTAGTACATTCAGTTGGCACATCCACCCTCACATCAATCACAGCCGGTAGCCACACAGGTGCCACACACACAGTAGAGGTGCTTGGCATCAACATGTCGTAGTGCCCTGCCATGTGACCATCAAGTCCAGTGATAACTTGAAAATAGACATGAACATCAGGATGACGATCCACACCATATACTCCATCTTGTGGAAGATAGTTTTCATGGGAATCGGCAACCATTTGGAAAGCCTGGTCAGGGATATTAGTCTTCATCCACTAGTTGGTTCTAACAAACATTGTAGCTCATACCCCCAAATTTCGATCTGTATGCATATAGTATATATATATATATTTGGAGATGTTTGGAAAGATATACAACTCACCATATCATTTGTTTTTGTTTGTGTTTATATATCATTTTGATTACTTGTTTGCTCAAAAATCTTTATATATAGACATATTTGTTTATGTCGTTCAAATTCACATATATCTATATAGACATACTGATCCCAAATAGTCAAAACCTAAGCAAATAGTAAAGATTGTGATGCACTTAGAATATGTTGGTAGAACGAAAATCGACCAAATAAACAAAACAAAGTGCCTCGTTTGACATAGTGCAGCGAACAGCTAGATTCAACTTCTTTGCAACCGAAGCAATATGTGCAACGTCAACATATCCATGCTTGAATAGATTTGGATCTAAACCAGCATCCACTGCAAGTTGAAGTAAGTGTTTGGCAGCAGTCTCTTCTAGCTTCTCTTGTCGCTTGTTGATAGCCCAGCCATTCTCAGAACGTTCGATTCTGCAAAACCTTTCTGGCTGCAGACCAGCAAGAACACTATGCCAAAAACAATAGCCATCTGGTGGTACAGCTTTTTTTCCAAAGCATTGTTTTTCCATACCTTGTTCGCTTGAAACTATTTTCCCAAGCTGGTTGCAAATAGCTTGTGACACCAAGAACGCTGCTTCGTCATCAAACGTAACCCCGAGCTGGTCAACTGGAATGACACGATAGTCAGCATTCTTGCGACGATTTTTTCCTTTGCTGTCTATTTCAACTCTAATGAACTTCTCACTTTCATCATGATCGTTGAACATCCAAGTCATCGGCTCGATAAATTTTCCGAATACAATCAACAGCACTGGTTTCTGAACACGAGCAAACACTTCCCGAACGGTTGCCACATGTTGCAGAGGGCTATTGTCATCACCATCGGCAAATAGCACAAGTCCCATGGGTTGATATTCAAGGCTGTCCCACCGAGAATTAAGTTCTGGAGTATCAAGGGTGGTTGTAACATCAGTACCCAAAATCACATCGAGAACAAGATCGTTGTTTCCACCCAAAATTCCAATTTGTTGCTTGCGTACATACTTGTCCTTGCTTGCTAAAAGAGCTTGGGTAAGCCCCCGGTACATAGCGTATGGACAAGAAAGTAGATCAGGGCCATGCAACTTTGAATCCACCAGAAACTCCATGGTCACATCTCTTGTGTTGCTTAGGCTTTTGGGATTTTTTTCAGCAAAGGTTACAGCTATTTCATCCATGTTGGGGTGATGGGACGAGCTCAGTGCACTGAGCATGTCTTTGATGGCAACTGCATCCTCTCCGTTCTTGGCGATGTGCTTCATGGCACTCTTCAGGGAACCATCCTGCCGATAATGAGCTGATACGCATTAATATTCTATGTGCATCACATTGTAACCCTTTGGGCTTGCTCCTACACAAAGAAAATAAATGTATCCGTAAATAAAGTCCTTGAACATTAAAGTAATATAATATCTCTGGTGATGCAAATATATATCAAAACCACCACGGAACCTTTTTTTTTACAAAAAGACATTGGTGAACTGTGATAAGAAGCACATAGTAATGTCCCATTGGTCCACATATCCTACATATTCCTACAGTCGTATCATATGTATATATATATACATGCATAATGTATATATATATATATATAGTTAGTGATCCTCAACCCGTCCTTGTTGGCAGTGTACATTTGCACCAACCAATCTGAAGCAGATTTGAACGACTTGCACGATTGTTCCAGCGTTTGGTGTGGTCCTTCAAATTTTGCGCAATAGCCAACACCTGTTCGTTTCACGGAAGAAACCTTCAAAAGTGCTGGTTCATGAATAGATTGGCACATACTTTCGATTATACCATCCTCCACATGTGTTGAAGAACCTTGAAACAGTCGATGCAACAACTGCTCACGCTGATTGCTGACGCTCTTCTTAAAGAAGCTGGAGTCAACCCCATGTGCAGTTAAGAGATTCTGTCGTAGAGTAGGCTTACGCGTCACCTTCTCAAACTCAGCCATAACGCAAAGGACATCCTTTTCAAATTTGGTGGCGGCCATCAACGCCATGGTTTGGTTTCCAAAGCATACAAACGTGAAGTTTCGCTTGGACTTGAATTCGGACATAGAAACTCTGACATGCTTCTGGAATATCGCAATGTTCTTGCTGATTTCAGTGTTCTTCGCCTGCAGATGAAATGTTTCCGTATTACCAAAACAACAGATTACAATGGATTTGTTGGCATTGTTGATGCACTTAGAATATGCTGGAAATAAAGAGCATACATCAAACTCATTCATCTGTTCCTCATAAAATAGCCCCAGCAGCATAGCCCCAATACGAACCGAAGTCGATACATATTAATTCTATATATATATGTTGCTGATTTCAGCATTAGACCATATAAGCTCTCTTCCCAGGGAATTAAATATTTCCGTATTACCAAAACAACAAAATACAATGGATTTGTTGACAGTTGTGATGCACTTAGAATATGATGGGAAAGAACATATATACATCAAATTCGAGAGTGATGGCAATGCGTGTCCGGACGTGGTTCGACGCTGATACGCTGATACGCTGAGTAGCTGAAAAGGTTACAACCTTGCAACGGTAGTACGCTGATACGTTGTTACGCTGTTTACCCTGATACGCTGATACGCTCGTAATACGCTGCTGTACGCTGATACGCTGTTATGTTGGTACGCTGTTACGCTGATACGCTGTTACGCTGATACGCTGATACGTTGTTACGCTGATACGTTGTTACGCTAATACGCGGATACGCTGAAACGGTGTAACCGATGTGACAGTGTGACTAATGTAACGGTGTAACCGGTGTAGCCGTTGTATCCGGTGTAACCGGTGCAACCAGTGTAACGGTGTACCCGGTGGAATGAGATATTTCCGTAGTACCAAAACAACAGATTACAATGGATTTGTTGACATGTGTGATGCACTTAGAATATGATGGGAAATAAGGAACATACATCAAACTCATCCAAATGGTCTCCATAAGATAGCACCAATGGCATAACCGCATAAATATACGAACCGAAGCCGATACGTATGAAATAGTTATTGTTGAGTTTATCGTTACACCATTTTACCTTTTCCCAGAGAATTAGATATTTCTGTATTACCAAAACAACAGATTACAATGGATTTGTTGACATTTGTGATGCACTTAGAATATGCTGAGAATTAAGGAACATATATCAAACTCATTCAAACTGTTCATCATTTCATAGTTCCAATGACATGAACACATAAATATAAGAACCGAAGCCGATACGTATGAAATAGTTATTGTTGTTGAGTTTATCGTTAGACCATTTTACCTTTTCCCAGAGAATGAGATATTTCCATATTACCAGAACAACAGTGGGAAATAAGGAACATACATCAAACTCATCCAAATGGTCTCCATAAGATAGCACCAATGGCATAACCGCATAAATATACGAACCGAAGCCGATACGTATGAAATAGTTATTGTTGAGTTTATCGTTAGACCATTTTACCTTTTCCCAGAGAATTAGATATTTCTGTATTACCAAAACAACAGATTACAATGGATTTGTTGACATTTGTGATGCACTTAGAATATGCTGAAAATTAAGGAACATATATCAAACTCATTCAAACTGTTCATCATTTCATAGTTCCAATGACATGAACACATAAATATATGAACCGAAGCCGATACGTATGAAATAGTTATTGTTGTTGAGTTTATCGTTAGACCATTTTACCTTTTCCCAGAGAATTAGATATTTCCATATTACCAGAACAACAGATTACAATGGATTTGTTGACAGTTGTGATGCACTTAGAATATGATGGGAAATAAGGAACATACATCAAACTCATCCAAATGGTCTCCATAAGATAGTACCAATGGCATAACCGCATAAATATACGAACCGAAGCCGATACGTATGAAATAGTTATTGTTGTTGAGTGTATCGTCAGACTATTTTACCTTTTTCCCAGAGAATTAAATATTTCTGTATTACCAAAACAACAGATTACAATGGATTTGTTGACATTTGTGATGCACTTAGAATATGAATACATAAATAGTTTTAATATGATCTGGTTCAAAACAAGAAGCTTTGTCATCGTCATTCTCCATAGTATCATCCTCGTCATCATCATCTTGAGGCGATTCGTTAGGAGGCGGCAAAGGAGGTTGTACTGCATGTGAACCCCTAGCACGCGCGACCTCCTGTGCAGAACCTGCTGCTGCAGCCTGCATGGGCAAATGATAATGAAAGTAATTGGTTTTGCACAAATGTAGTTTGTGTGCTTTGATTACACAACATTGTTCAATGTCAACAAATCGACTTATTAAATTAAAAACGTACAGTTGAATGATTGGATACATATATCACAAACGGTTAGTGTGTATATTCAAAATGAATCAAAACGATGCACTTAGAATATTTTTGTGTGTGTGTGCCTGCGTATTGTCCCTGAATCGCCGCATGTCATAGGATTCACGCGACTTCCCTTGTAGCATGTCGTAGTACTTGATCACACATCTAGCTTGTTCAGTGTTTTCACCAACACATTGCATGGTGCGATTGTAGCATTGGGTAATGATCTTCGTTGATACCGTAGAGAGATGCATTGATCGTTGCAAAGGTGAGTGCCCTGCATCAGCAGGCCCCGGCTCCACACCCAGCGCATCATATGCATCCACCGCCGATAGAACATCGGCACATTGGTACCACCCCGGCATTGCTCAAACACAGCGTTTTGTATCCAAAAACATATACAAATGCATAAGTGTATAATTGTACAAATGCACCATGCATTTGAAGTTTGCAGGTAGTCAGAACTCATATTCATATACATTATACTTTCAAACATATTAATGGGTTTGACCCCGGTATGCTCACAATATCATGAACATATGGTGCATTTACCTATATAGAACACATAAAGTAGCAAACACTATGCGAATGTGTTGTCATTTTGTCATTCTTTCTGAAGTCTAAAGTAAACAGCGCGGACATCGCAATGCAACATGATGGTTTGATTCATGATCAACTCAGCACATCTTTACAAGGTTTATATTCTATGTGCATCGTCTGGGGCTATGCACTTAGAATATTATTTTCACCCAGGAAAAATCATGTAACTTTATGACGCTATCGAAAATACTAATAAATAATATTCTAAGTGCTAGCCCGGTACTATATGCTACCCTGGCTTAACACAACTGTGCAGTGCATTGCATGATGTTAATAAATATGTTGATGCTGGATGCCAGTACATGACTAAGTACTACGTGAGGATGCCACATGCTAGCTGCATCTTCAGTTGGTAACCAAAAAAACAGCCTATGCAAACGCTCTTGTTGCGCAGGAGCGATCAGCCTGAATCCTGTTGATCATTCACATCTGGGGCTCAGGTGTTCTATTCCACCGAGAAATGCAACATCTCTACAGCCCAATTACCACTTGTAGTCAGATGAGTTTGCTGTCAGTGGAGGATATCAAATTGATATCAAGATATGAGTCACTGACAATCTCTCCCATTTTTCTGGCTACTAGATATGGTTGTGCTCTTACACCCCATCAGGGTTGTCATGATGGTTTGTATGATCCCTGGCAACCAATAGATATCCATCCCCTCTTAAAAATAACTTATATAATTACCCGTACGTTGTACTGTTATTCCTCGTGTGATATGGAAGATCTTGCTTGGGTCAATAAACATATGTGTCTGTCAATGTCAATCACGCATCTTACCACAAAATTGTGCAACCACAAAACCCACCACTGAATGTGGCCAACCTTGACTGTTTCCGAATGACTTTCCTGCTGGATAATGTATCTCATAGAGTACAAGGGTGGAATTTCTTGTGAGTCTGCAGTGGAACACCTCACTCTCATCAGCCCAAAGCATTGAGGCAGCCGATCTCGAACAAAATCAAGTCACGGCCCCTGCCCCATCTTCTTTATGAATCTGAAAGTGAAACCTCGAAATTGGTTGATGGTCTCAAAGACTGAAAAAAAATCCTGGTCAATCCTTCACATCATCCCCAACAGCGGACAAGAACATCAGGAAATTCCTCATTTTCAAAGCTGGTTGCCCCAAGGTATGCCACCAGGAGTCTTCGTAGTTTCCCGTTGTAGGCATCATGCCTGGCCGACCTTGTCCTGGATAGGAAGCAAAGAAGGTCATCCCAGCAGGAAATTTCTTAGCCCCTGGGGGGGCATGACTGTTCCCTTTGATTGGCTAAACTATATCTATGAACCATGAATCTATGAAACATCCCCTGAAAATCCTCTTCAATTTGACCATGCCACATATGCGCATCCCTATTCTTAATACTGGGAGAAACAACAAAAGTTACTAAGGTTGATGTTGGTCCTGAATTGTAGCATAGTAACCAAAAAAAATGTGAAGACGAATTCCTCAGAGATGTTCAAAATCAAAGGGAAAAATGAAAAAAACAAACATTAACCAAAAAAACAACCAAAAATAAACAACAAATCAAAGAAACAAAAACACACTCAAAAAAATGGAAAACAGAGACTCAACAGAAGACTCAAAAACAAAAATATGGAAGACCATGACCCAACCGAAAACTCAACAGAAGACTCAATCCAGGACTCAAATCTGCATGTTTTCCGTTTTTTCCCCCATGTTCGGCAGATTTCCCAAGTTGTTCCTTCAAAATCACAATTTTGCAGCCAAGTTTCCCCTTTTTGATTTTTTAGTTCATATTTTTTGCACGTTTTTTTGCCAAGACGATTAAACGAAAAAATCCAGATTCAACCGAAGTGTCAACAGAAGACTCAATCCCGGACTCGAATCTGCATGTTTTCCTGGCTTTCCCGATGTTCAGCAGATTTCCCAAGTTTTTCCTTCAAAATCAGATGTTGCAGCCAAGTTTCCGTTTTTTTTTTTCGGTACACTACACAACAGTAGAACCACACTACAACTACAGCGGCAATTACAACTGCAACTAGAACAACTACACTACACACCAAACTAAGCTACAACTACACCTACGATTACAACTGCAACCGCAACTACAACTGCAACTACAACTACACAACGCATCACAACACTAGGCTCCAACCACATTACACTAGACTACACCTAACCACACCTACATCTACAACTGCAACTACAGCTGCAACTACAACTACACTGCCGCTACAATCACACTACACTAGCTAGATAGATAGATAGACAGACAGATAGATTAGATTAGATTAGATTAGATTAGATTAGATTCGATTCGGTTCGATTCGATTGGATTGGATTAGATTAGATTAGATTAGATAGATCGATCGATAGCTAGATAGATAGATAGATAGTTAGTTAGATAGATAGATAGACAGATAGACAGACAGACAGAGTGAGAGAGAGAGAAAGATTAAGAAACACAGAGAAAAGGTGACTTAGAGAGAGAGGGAGAGAGACTCAGAGCCTTAACCACCTTTCGATCCATCAGTGGGTTCGCTCTGCCATCCATGCATCACAACAACTCACCTCTTTTATAGTTTCCTATCTTTGAAACTTCCGCCACCGCCTTGTGTGGTCCTACTGGTAAGCATCCCATATAGATGGTGGTGGCTTAGGGACGGTTCATGAAATTGGTTTTACCATGTTATTCAATGATTTTCCCCAACTAGGTAAGTCTTCCCCAAATTCTGGGTACAATAAATGATCGTAATTGATTCATCTGAATTGAGGCCATGTGGGGATGATTTCCCTCTACATTCACTATCATTTCAGTGAGGTCGCGGTGAGGTTGGGATTTACGCAGAACTCAGAACGAAATCGTACAACATCTCCGTAGTCTGATTGACAAGGAAAGGTTGACTGAACGACTTGGGTCAAGAGGTTCATGATTGGAGTTATCACATGTATAAGTGGGTGAACTAACCCCAGTGACCAACAAATTCTCAAACTTGAGACGCAGCTCCTTGGACCATGAGGGGTTTGCCTCCTGCCAGCTGCGAAGGATTTACCCACAAATCTATGGTAAATCTATGGTGATTCTATAGTAAATCTATGGTAAATGAGGAATTCACCCTATTGATCCGAAAATCATTGGCACCTTAATGGAAAAATGCTGATCATCTGTGGAACAAAAAGACATGCTGATGCGAAAAAAAACATTCAACAGTAGTGACGTGCAAACACCAAAGAAACGGGAAGTTGACCCCAGCAATCTCGGCGAACTACCAAGAATGCTTGGGCAACCAAGATACACTAGACACATATGAACCAACATGCGCCAACAGAAGATGGAGATGGGTTTCTCTGAAATGCGGTAATTACCTGGGCATTCCCAAATCCAAGGTTTATCATGATTATCCCAAAAAAATGCGATAGATTTGGGCACACAATAGCGTAGAGTTCAAATCAAGATAGAGCCAAGCCACGAACAAGTCCAAGTCCAAACAATTTCTTTTGGGGACCGCATCATTGGGGCTCATTCAGTCTTGGTTTTGGAGGTTGTATTTTAATTCTGGGGTGATCCCTGAACCACTTGGGATATCATATAAGTAAACCATACAAGGTAGTGCACGGCCCGCGTCTGGGCGGAAGTTTCGAAAGATTGAAACTTCTATAAGAAATCAATGGCCTGCAGGAAAGTTATTTGCGCTGCAGAAGCCATGAACTGTTAAATTTGTGAGGTGCATCAACGAATGAGCAAATGGTAGTGGATCAAAGCATCAACCAATCAACAAATCAGCGAATCACAGAGACAATGAACCAATGAAGCAATGATTCAGCAATGTAATGAACCAATGAAACAGTGAACCAACAAACCATTGAATCAATGAATCAATGAATCAGTGGTTCCACGTCTCAATGAATCAGTGAATCACTGAACCAGCAGATCAGTGAACTTCAGTGAACCAATTAATCTATGACTGCACGAGTCAGTGAGCCAATGAATCAACGACACAATGAACCAGTGAATAACTGAATCTTAAGGAAGCAATGAGTCAATGGGTCAATAATTCGAAGATTCAATGAATCAATGAATCATCAATCTTTCATCAACGATTCAATGATTCAGTGAATCAATGACTCATTGAAGCGATGAATCAATGATTCGCCGAATTAAAGATACACTGAACCAATGAGTCAACGATTCAACGAGTCAATGAATCAATGAATTACTTGTGCAACGAATCAATGCATCAAGCATTCCACAATTCAGTGAGTCAATGAATCATTGAGCCACTGAATCAATGAGTCAATGAATCAGTGGTTCAAATTCAGTGAGCCAATGAATCAATGATGCAGTGAATCAACGAATGAAAGAATCAATGAACCAATGAATCAATGGCCCAACTAGTCAGTGAGTCAATGAGTCAGGCAATCAACGAATCAGTGAAACAACGAGTTGTCAACGATATGAAACAATATATCAATATGAACCAATGGTTCAACGATTCAGTGAATCAAAAAATGAATCACTGAATTCATGAGCCAAGAAGCGGAGCATGCCAGTTTTTTAAACATGTGAAAGTGCAAATCGAGCTCTCGCTACAGTCTGGCGCACATTCTTTTTGTCGACAACTTTCGCAGATTCAAGGCGCGAAACCGCGGAAACAAAGACCCTACTTCGGTGATGCCGGAAGCCACTTTACCCGAAAGAACGCAGGGTTTCGTGCCCGAGAGTGTTTTCACCCTTGAATTCACGCCTTCCCACCTGTTACGAGTACTAGTCCTCTACTGCTTCCACTTGCAAATGACAATGACATGATGTTGACATGATGATGGTGATGATGGTGATGATGATGATGATGATGATATGATGAAATGATGAAATGGTGGGATGATGAGATGATGAGATGATGAGATGATGACATGATGATGACATGATGATGACATGATGATGACATGATGATGACATGATGATGACAAGATGACAACCCGACAACCTGACAAAAATGACAGAATGACAAGACTGCCCCTGGACATTCGTCGATAACTCAGAAGTTTTCCAACTAGACTTTCTTTGATAATAAACCATATAACCCTGAAACAATAGTTGGGGACGGCCAATAAGCAGAGACTAATCTGCTTTCTGCATCTGCGGGAGGCCAAAATCCGGCCAATAAGAAATCAAAGTAAAGATACCGAAAATATAAATACCTGTAGTAAGCCTTAGTAAGCAGACTCTATGAGAATAGGGTCGCAAAGATAATTTCAGAATCTGCTTACTACAGCTCGGTCCTGAAGTGCCTATTCTCGGCTCTTCCAAGCTCCAACTTTCAGCATATCGGAAGTTACGCCCAGGGATGTTACTCTCTGGTTATTTAACATAGCCATGGAAAATGGCACGTTTATAGATGGTTTACCTATTAAAAATGGTGATTTTCCATGGCTATGTTAAATAACCAGATGGTACATGTTCATGAAAGTAGCTGTGAATCATGAAAAATCAGAATTCACAAGGGAAATCTCATGGAAAGTCTAGGTGCAAAGGCTATTCGTTGAGGTACATTTTCCGCAAAATAGCTTGTTAATACAAGAAACAATGGGCACAAAACGCAGAAAAGGTTCTGACTAGGAAAATTACAGAAAGTCGAGTCCCTCCAAATGATCAATCTCTTGCTACCTTTAGTGGTTTGAGGCAGTCACAAAGGGTCTGCCAGACAACTGGTAACCTCCCACAGTCTGATCAAATATACTACGCACTTTGGTATATTCTCAGGAGAAATGGGGGGCTGAATGGGTCTGAAGTACGTTGTATAAATTGGTTGGGGTGGCCCGAGTTTCTGGGGATAAGAAAAGAGAAAACCACGCAATTGAACCCATGTTGGCCAGCTTCGTTGCAGCAAAGGGTGCTCTGCCATCAGGGGGCAGTTGAATGAATCCTGGGTCAAAATGTACATTACGAGACGCAGATTGGTCAAATAGCCACATTCTAACAAGATTTGGGTCTGAATGTGTCTAAAGTGTGCTTTGCAAACTGGTTGGGGGGCTGATAAGCAAGAAAAGAGGAAAAGATCTGCCTTCCAAAGCTGACTAGTGGACGCAGTAAGCAGGAAACCTTGTGGCTTGAGGGGGCAGTAAGCAGCTCAGAGCTTTTAAATGGCACCTTATACGAACTCCTAAAAGACCCTCCTGCTTGTCAGGGAGGTTTCCTGCTTACTGGGCGTCTCTTATTAGAAGTTGAATATGAGAGCTGCTTACTTTTGGCCTTTTGGGGCCATAGAACGGAACTTCATTCGGGGCAAGGGATAACCCTCTGGCAATCAAACATGGCAATGGAAAATCCCCTACGAATTGGACATGCTCATGTGAACATGAACATAAGAACATTGGTTCAAACATGTTCAAACATGTTCAAACATGTTTTTCCAATGCCATGTTTTCCAATGCTGGAGAGTAGTTCTGCTTGGACGATCATCCCACTTAATTATAGCGGTTGGAAATTCTGATTGATAAGTGCCCTAAATGGGATTGGGTTGTAACATGTTGTAACCCCATCTACTAAGCAGCTCCACATGTTTTCTCCACGATCTTCCATGACTCCCCCATTCTCCTGCGCTGGTAGCTCTCCTTGAAGCCCCGTGAAGGCGCTTTCCGAGGCTTTTCGCCTGCTGAAGTCGTCCCCGTGCCAGGTGAAACCAACCATTTCAGATGGTTTAGACAGTTTTAGACTACACATTTCTGGTCAACTTGGGGGGTGTACTATCGGCTTTTGCCGAAGTGTTTGTCTACTTACTCTCTTATGATACATGCCACAGATCGGGAAACTCAAGATTCCTGGTGGCACACGGGGTGAAAAGTTCCACGAAAAAGGTTCTGCTCTGCTACGCATACGACCGTTGTGAAGGATACTCTGAGGGCAAATCTGGACTGTGGTATGTTCAACTCGCGCAACAATGAATTGAACTATTTTGAATTCAGTGGATCAGAGGACGGAAGAAAAGTCTTGCTAGGAATTGCAATGGCAGGTTTGAACAGCGCAGAATCATAAATAGGCATGGGTCAAAACTATCAACTTAAACAATGGTAGATTTCAGATCCTCCAAATGACAAATCGTTTTTTTAGGGTTCAATTCATTGCTACCCCAATGAATTGAACTTTTGACCCATACCCAAATGAACTTAGTGGAACCCACTCAAAAATACTCGTGTCAGAGATCCCATGTCCAGTTGGAGTTGGTCATCACCAGACCTGAACAAACCCCGACTCAAGCTGAGTCGCGTCCTCAACTAGCCAAAATAAATCTGCATCTCTGGAGAAATTTCAAGGTTTCTAAGACCAGGAATCAGCCACAAGTTTTTTTGCAAAAAACTTTTTTTTGACATGGATTCATTTGTGCATGGTAGGAGTTCTAGTTTCGTTGCAGAAGTCACTACTTGAGTCATGTTGGTGTGAAACACATCAAACAATCAAATGATCAGTTCAAGTCTCCAATTGAGACGAGGCTATTGCCCACACTCCATGTAAAGGGCGGAGGCACTGATCCCCCAGGACCAGACAAGGGCAGCAAAATTACCCTTGCTAACCCTTATTTTTTGTGACCTAATATGGTTTTGAAGACCAAATTTGGAGCCCCTAAATCCCGTAGTGAATATCAGGTTCTCATCAGTTTTCACTCTTTAATTCACGGCCATGAAGTGGGGCCAAGAATCATCCCTATATTTGTGCAACCATTTTTTTTTTGCCTGAAACTCATGTGTCCAATTTCTAATGTGAAGCCCACAACGCCATGTTCTCCCGGTTTTCCACCTGGCTGTGTCATAGCAAAGGCGAAGCGAAAGGACGCTTGAGAAGACAGCCTCAAGCGTTCCGAATGGGAGAAATGCTCCGGGCTTATAATAGGGATATAAATTATACATATCATGGGAATTAATCACGGTCATGGTATTATGGTAAATCATGGCATATTATGGTAATATGATAATATATTATGTTAATACTATGGTATATCATTGTATATTATTGCATATCATGGTAAATAAAAATATGATGGTAATATGATGGTAATGTCATGGTATTATTCTGGCTCATACTTCCCCTACTGTTTATATATATATATGTATACATCATTGTTCAAATTCAAAACGATTCTTGGTTCCCATATCATGGTAATAGTGTCACATTTTATGGTATGTCATGGCGCATTGTGGTACATTGTAATATTCACTTGGACATGTACAATGGGATGTTTTATATGTACAAACACATATGTATAAAACACAGTGTAATGTCTTCATAACACCATATATATATAGATAAAATATAAATACACATGTATGCAATCAACAATGTGATCTGGTTTCTCCAGAATTGGGGTTGCGAGACCCAATCTTAGGAAGTGTTTTTGATACCTCGCACATATGTTTGTGTGTATATGTATATATATATGTGTGTATATATATATGTATGTACTGGTGTACATGTATAATATATATATATACGCATATACATATCATACATATATATATATATACATATATATATATATATACAGAATTATACAAATACATATATGTAGAATAATAATAACAACATAAAACTAATAATAACAGTCAGTAACAACATATATGATGATGCCAATAGGCCAATAGGGTCATTCAAAAGGGGCATGCCAGTATATGATTAGTTATATACCTGCAACCCATGTATAACTTTTGTAGCGGGTAGTAGTAAGTGGATCTACATATGGAAGTATACAACTGAAGTATATCCCATCTGTAAGTGGGATTATAAGTGGGTTACTTTATACGGAATCATTTAGCTATTACCCACTCGTTTACGATTCCTGGGATGCACATCCCCTCTAATTAATCCATAAAAACATGGAATTTAAGCAAACAACGTGATTCAAGGGTTGAAACGGCGAATTCCACCAACAACTATGACATGCAGTGAATGGTTTCAAGGGAACATGTTGCTGGAATCTGGAAACCATTGTTTTCGCTTGATATACGGGTAAACTCTGTCAAAAAGCTTTCCCTTCAGGCAATTCTTGGATATGTTTCTGTGAATCGTGACCAAGATTGGTAAGTTGATCCTACTGAACCAGGTTACTCAAATCCACAAGGGATGCGGCAAGAAGTCGGTTGGTGCTCACACTGAAAGGCTACCTCTGCAGTGTTTGCTCAGTAGAGAATTGAAGCACTGAGGTACTCATGCAGGAAACATTATGTCATTATATATTCTGTTTCATGATCTGGCTCATGCTAGGCAAACTCTCAACACGCACAGAGTGGTGTTGTTCCTTCGATATCAGCCCAATCCCAACCCAAAAAGTCAGGACTTTGGATGGCGGGTGAAATCTTTACAGCCACCGAAAACACATCTCTATAGCATCCGGATAAAGTTGCTGTTCAACTGGCAATTGTTGGCAGCATCGCCATGTTTCTTGCTGATATTTTCAATTTGGTTGGTTAAATCACCTAATATTGATTCTTTGAACCATTTGAGACGGTTTTGTTCTACATTTTCAACCAGCTTGTGAATGATTGTGAATCATATTTTCACCATTGTTTGGTTAAATGATCATATATCACCAGATTTTTTCTACATGTTCAATGATTGTTTGGTTAAATCAACATATATCACCCAATATTGATTGATTGAAGCACCATTTGAGCCCCCGACGATCACCACGCTCATCCCTTGGCGGAGTGTTTTTTGGCAGTGTGCCCGAGAACTGGTGAATTCATATAGCATAGCCATGGAAAATCACCATTTTTAATAGGTAAACCATCTATCTCTATGGGCCATCTATACCATGGCAAACTGTTAAATAACCAGAAGGTATATATATATACTTATATAATCTTATATATACTGACTGCATATTGATATACATGTGCAGCATTTGCCAGTGGATAATGATATGGAAGCACATGTTTTTTTTCTGGTATAGCTAGGTCACCTTACCGAGGGTGCCAGTTCGACCCGGTTTTCTAGCGACGGGAAGAAGTTACACATCAGGATATGAGTAATGGAACTTGAGTGACGTTTAAACCAGAGAATTGCGGAGCTTTGCAAAACGCATCGAAACAAAAAGAAATTGTGAACATCTAAGATTCCATCCACACTTACTGTAGATGCATGGTTTAGCCATCAATCCCCATCTAGAATATATGAGTTTGGGATATCCGCACATATGGCCAGTTTAATTTCAAACCGAATCAACACGATGATAAACCATGGATGGAATGTGGTCCCAAATTCCGAGCCAATCCCATATCAGATTTGGCCACCTTTAAATCCTCTAGGCTGCTTGTATCAGATTATATCAGATTAACGCCAGTTAAGTGAAACAAGTTATATAAGTGAATAAATCTCATGACTTATTATATCAGATTATATCAGATTATATCAGATTATATCATGACTTATTAAATCACATGTTAAGTCATGTTATATAAGTGAAAGCGAATGCAGTTGGTGAAAGCCACCCATTTTTGGCGAAAATCTGGAGCCCCAGGCCCAGGGGCGCCAGAACAGCTCCGGACAGCGTCTCCGAGCCGAAGGAGAGGATGAGACCTCGGTGATTTTAGCACCGAAGGCCAACTTTGGAAGGTCATTTTGATAGGTAAACAACGGGAAAATATCATGTGAACATATGGAAATAATGCATTGGAATTATAGGGACGCCCTATGTTCAGACAAATCCATGTGAAAATTAAGGAGCTTGACTAAGATTAAGATATAAATGGGGAATGATTAGGGCGAACAAATGGTGCTTTGACTCGGGGAAGAAGTAAGACATTGGGGTAGTAAACGGGAAGAACACAAATATCAACAATACTTGAGACAAATATAGAAAAATCACAAAACAATGCTATGGCATAGATAAGAGATGCATTATTTGAGAGGAAGTGATAAATCCAGAATTCATCTGATAGACCTTAATGCTGACAGAACATGACAGAACTATCATTCATATTGGTTTCATATGTTTGATGGATGGTATTTGTTCAAACCATGATTGAATCATTTATTGACCTACAAGATTAGGTCGTGTATTGGGCAGTGGTTTATATTCATCTCTGTGGAGAATAGCTTTGAATGGCTAATGTTGGATGGATATGGTGATATGGCCATGTAAAATTTCCCTAGTTACATCCCTGGCATGAAGATAAAGGTCAGAAACTGGATGTTCCATTGCAAGTATATGTGGATGGCTCACAACTCAGGACAAATCCTGGCAAATGTTACCCTGCTGTAAGCTGCTAGTAACATAGGTGTGGCAAACCCAACATTTGGAGATCATTGTCTAGGGAAACATAGGGAAACCATATGTGGTCCACATCTTTGTTAGTTTACTCCAGGGTAAGCCATTCTATATCACCAGATTCCATTTTAGGGTATCAGAAATTGAATCGTCGACGATAGCTGGGGGCTGGGCCAAAAAGCACCGTGAGCAATGCTCCGCCCAATATCACTTCGCATCGACTAGCGCCCTCAGGTTGCGTGCAGAGTGCTGCAGAGTCCCTGTAGGGCAAAACCGAAAAATGACAAGGGATGCGATTATTATTGTATATGTTTGTCCTGGTTATTTTGAGAATATAGTTGCAATGACGATGATCATAATGTTTATGGCGATGAAACATATTGCAAACAACAACTTTGATGGTGATGGTGACGGTGACGGTGACGACGACGACGATGATGCTGAAAAGGCTAAAGAGGATGAAAAAGGATGGAAAAAGGATGAAAAAGGATGGAAAACGGATGGAAAACGGATGGAAAAGGATGAAACAACATGAACAGCTTGAAAAGGATGAAAATGATGAAGATGTTGAAGATGTTGAAGATGTTGAAGATGTTGAAGATGGTGATGGTGATGGTGAATATGATTAGTAGTGGGAGGCGGAGGAGGTTGGTGCTGATATCATCGTAATTTTGTTTTAAGTGCTACAGGCACAACCAAGAATAACAGCTTTGGACTCCGACCTGGCAATCCAAAAATATCCCAAAATGAACAAACCCTCAGCAGAAGTTGGCATTCTCGGCCATGATCCATCTTGAACATGATCTAGCTCGGCAAAGAAACTTGCTCCAGGATGTTCATCATCTAGTGTACCATTCTGGGCAAATACCTTCATACAGTATCATACACTAAGTCCATATACCCTCTGGTAATGACTAACATAGCTATTGAAAATGGCCATAGAAATAGTTGATTGTTCCCAGCTAGAAAATGGTGAATTTCCAGTTCGCTATGTGAGTTTTAAGTCCATATAAGTTCCATATGGGTATGGGTCAAAATTAGGTACCTCAAAATTATGGATGGTTAATACTAGTCACTAGACATTCACATCTGTGGTCCCCTTAACGGTCTTCCATTTTGACCCACATCCATATGTCAAAATCACTGGGATGATTCCCCCAATCGTCCCAGATTTCACTGCCAGCCTGAGAGCTTGGTCGCGACCTTGGGACAGTTTCATGAAGGTTAAAAGCAACCATATCACTCAAACCATGGTATTTATACATATCAATTATGACATATATATATACAGTAGTACGATATTATACATATATGACCCGGTACCGGAATGAACCCCTTTTGAAAGTTTTGACCCATAAAATGGAGGCTTGACCGCCCAATATGAATGTCATTTGGGTTCCAGGAGTGTGTGTGTGTGTGGTTGTTGTTGTTGTTGTTGTTGTTGTTGTTGTTGTTGTTGTTGTTGTTGTTGTTGTTGTTGTTGTTGTTGTTGTTGTTGTTGTTGTTGTTGTGTGTGTATCTAATCATGTGTATATATATATAATATATATATAATATACATAGAATATAGATGTATCTGGATTTGTCTGAAAATAGGGTAACCCCATATATCATTATCAACTGCTTCATGGCTATACTACATCATTTTCAGATAAACCCTAATATAGAAATGTGGCCTTTCCGGTGCTGGATCCACCCATTTTCACTCGCCCGAGGATCCACCACGTCGTACCATCCTCAGATATCTGCAGTCACCCTGACAATACAATGTCCTAAGTTCAGCTATTGTTCGTGATATCAGTTATATCAAGTTATATCCCGATTTTCCACCAGTCTTGGTGGTCTTGGTGCACAGCCAACCCTTGAATCTCAAATTCATGTTATGCTGTGAAACTGCAAATTGCATCTGCTTGTGTACTGCTAAGTTCTCCCTTTCTGTCTCCGTGGGAATCCAAAGCCAACAGACAGCATGACCTTCGATGTCGCTTATCCCTTCCTGTGGAGGGTGTCTTGAAGTGCCTATAAGTGCCTGATAGTTATGGACATCTCATGGACTAAGGTGAATCTTTTCATATGGGATCCCATATAGGTGTGGTATTGTTTGGGGGATGAGAGTATGCATATATGTACGTATGTATAGATACGCATATTATTATGATTTATTATGTATAATATATATATATATGTATATATAATATCATATGTATATATATATATTATAGACAGACAGACAGACAGACAGACAGATAGACAGACAGATAGACAGACAGACAGATAGACAGACAGATAGACAGTTTTCCAGCTTGCCACGTTTGATGACAGTGGAGGGTAGCAGTGAAACAACCAGGGCCTTTTGTGGATCCATATATATATATATTATATATTTCTATAATTGAGGACAAATCTAGTTACGTTACATCCCATATATCCCCATATTAATATATCCCCATATAGCCCATATAAATCCCGCCCAGCTTCCAGATTGGCTTCTGGAGCTTTCGTCAGCAGGCTGACCAGCACGGTCACCAGAGCGGTAAGTACCTCGAAGGCGACTGCTGCGGGGGGAAGGCCCCGAAACCCAGGCACAGCAGTAAGCGGCTTATAACAACCATCTATAGTGAACTCAGTTGTATAGTGTTTTCATGTATTTTCTATGGGGATATATGGGGTGTAACATGTGTTTATCATTTATAAATGGCTTCTTAACCAGCTATAATTAATTAAAGATGTACCTCTCAAGTATCAAAAGGTGCATCGTTCTTGGATTGGTGCATCTTTTTCAGCTCTCTCTAGAGATGTCCCTGTCTCCAGATTACATCAGATTACCCTCTGGTAATTTAACATAGCCATGGAAAGATCCACCCATTTTTAAGAATGGTAAACCATCTATTTCTATGGGCCATCTATACCATGGCAAACTGTTAAATAACCAGAGGGTACCCTCCGGTAAACATGACAATGGAGCATCCCCGGCACTAAATGGAGGTGTTTTCATGGGAGATTCCCGGGAAGTCTTAGGGGGGATCGATCGGAGGTTGTACAGCGGCCAGTTCCTTTTGAAAAAGCGCCAAGACACGAACAGAAGCAAACCCATGTGGTTGAAGTTCATGCAAGTGATACCTGAGAGAATGCGCCAAGACCATTTTTAGAGGGATCATTTTTTGCCTATCTTCTGGAAAAGCCAGAACATGGATATATACGGTATACCAATTAGATCCAATTTGTACCCATGGACCCACAATATTGATCATGTTCAGCGCGGCTGACCATATGTTTTTGTGGTAAGATAATCTTGAGCCATTCCCAACCTGGGAGGTCCATCCTCCCAGAGGATGTGCGGATGTGGTGCACCCCCATAAAATGAGCACTACGTAAGCTTCAACGGAAAAATGATGTGGAAATATCATATAATATCGTATAATCATAAATAGAATAATATTACTTTTTTAGATCCACAGCATGAAATGCCATATGTGAAGCTGTCAAGTCTATTTATCTGCCTCCTATTGCCCTCCAAATATGGATGTGAATACATAACCTCCCCAAATCATATGGTGGGTTCCATGAATGGAGGTACCCCAATATGTATGGTTTATAATTTATAAGTGTTTATACTGGAAAAACCTATTAAAATTGATGCACTTTAGGGATCTTTAGGAGTACCCCCAATTTTAGGAAACCTCCATATGCTACGAGTAGGTTTGATGCATCCCCATCGGCCCCCACCGAGTTTCCTTGGTGGCGAATCGACGAATCGAGGAATCGAAGTAACCCCGAAAAAAACACACCCCTGAACACCCCTGAAATGGTCCCAAATATGTGTGTATGCATTTATACACATACATTATATATATATATATATCTAGTATACATACAGTATTACATACAATTATGTATATATGCAATATATATATATATTACCAGAGCTGCGCGCATGAAGTGGGCTCCAGGGCTCACATTGATAAGTACACAATATGTGTATGATATTAGTATGATAACCCCCCTGCAAAACTATTCTTTTCTGGGGGTGTTCATGTCATGGTGGGTAAATCCCAGTCCCAGTCGCTGCGCGCATGAAGCGCGCTCCAGGGCTCACATTGGTCACCAGCCATGAAGTTTAGGATGAAACGTGTCAGGCCAGTGGCAAATCCCACCAGCATCCCAGCCAGCGCTCCTGGTCAGCTGCTTAGCTGGTTACTCTCCCATGGCAGACATCGATGTATCATGATTCTCAGGTTGTAGTCACAAATGGAGTTCCTCATTGTATCAGATTGTTAGTCGTCATCCAAATTTTAGGGTCCATAAATTTGAGCCATTGGGATGCACCCAAACAACAACTGTGACTGGGTCCTGGTCTTGAGTACTGCACTACTAGTGGCCCGTGACAGACTGCCAACTGTATGTGCGATCCACTGAAATGGCATATTTGAACCATATATTGGGTGCAGTTGGTGTTATGAATAAACAAATAACACAAGATATCATTGCAGATCCTTGTCCAACATACGGAAATCCTTGCCAGTATGCCTCAAAATCACTTACTCTCCGATAAAATTGGCATGTGCACATGCCAATGCATTTGTCAATTATTTCATCTTTGTGCCTGTTCACCACAGAACCGTTGTGTGAAACGATTTGCACCCTATATTATTAGTATACAAATACATGATAGTATATAAGAGTAGTTCAATAGCCTGAAACAGGGCAATTTTGGGATAGTTATACCGGTAACCCCTGAAATGGCGCAATTTTGCGATAATTGCTCGCAGTTACACCTCACATTGTGCATCATTCCAGAAACATACCAGGGACTTCATGATCATTTGTCCATATCAATAGGTTTCTTGCCACGGCTTTCCGCCGTGATGCAATCCGCCAGTCCTTTGCCATTGGCTCGTGGCCAAAAGAGACCCACTAAGAAAACTGCCACCAAGCACGGCGACATATGCGTCTGTGCATTCTGCGTGGTCAGATACAAGCCTCGACTAGCTGGTGTGTGAGATTTTGGCAGTGATGAAAATGAAAGGTACAGCCCAAAATATCATCATCATTAGTCTACATTTATCAACAGTTCTACGAAGTGGATTCTTCGCACAAGTGATGAATACTTAGCGTGTTATGTCTAATACTCTACATGTAAAAACCAATAAGATATATGTACAGTAATACATTCTGAAAAACACAAACCGCAGTGACTTGGAACCAACTTGAAACCAATCAATGCGCAACGAGGAGAATGCCGAGATCAGAAATATTGCACTCATCCTGAAGAAACCTCATTCTTACCCCTGTATTATGATGATCATCCCCGCATTGGAAGACATCATATCATGTGTCCATATGCAAAATGCATACATAATATATATATATATATGCACACAGTATATACGTACACTATCCAACTATTAATTTGATGCTCAAAACACTTCAATATTCCCTTAAGACCATAATCAAAACACCATGAAATGAGTAAAGTAACAAAAGCTGGCAACCATCAATCTCATATGGAGATAGGGCAAAACCCTTTACCCCTGTAGCTCGTATCAAGATGGCTGAAATTTATGGATGGTCCCCCCGTTGAAAATGGTATTTCATACGTATTGATCCATATCCTATCAAACCTTCATTAAACAATCATTTGTATTGATTAAATTCACGGTTTTGGTTGGTTCAATCGCCATAATATAATATTCAAATCTCATCAGAAGAATGACGAACGGTTAAGATTCACCCTTCGTGGAAGGCGTTGCTGGTTGACAGGTCTTTGATATCATATTTCAATATGTTTATAGATCAATATTTATCTTATCCACGTTTTCCCAGTTGTATCTGCGTGATACCCTCCATTAAACAAAGGAACCTGCCATGAGCTGGGTGTTGGAAGAGGAGTTTCTTTCAGGGTCTACTCTCCAAGAATTTAACATGATAGCTATGAAAAATAAAGGCGTGTAGTAGGTAAATCATCTATAGAATCGATATATATATATATATTAATAAATCTATAAGTGGACCATGACTTCCATTTCTCATATTATATAAAATTAAATTACCAGAGGGTATCTCCCATCTAATATCACCATATCGTAGTTGGTTACATACCCAGAAACTTTCTTTATTTCTTCCACAAAAAAGGTTATACAATCATATTTATATATAAAATAAATTACTGTAGCCAGGGCTTGTTCATCCGGGGTTGAGATTGTTTTTCCCTCATGTACATCATCTATGAATGGATCAATTTCCAGATCTACTGGAAAAAATACCAGAGGGAATCTCCCACCTGATTTCCCCCATATCATTGGTGATGTCATGTAATGTCATGTGATGTCATAATAAATGTCGTACCGCCACAAAATCCTCATAACCTTGTCATAAACCTCATGTTTCTTTCGAACATGTTCCCATTTATAGCCATTTGCACATGATTTTCCTACTAAAGATTGCCAAAGTGCCATAAATGTTGGATAATTTCCCCATGCTTAGTTTAAATTCTGATATATCGCATCACATTCGTATAAATATTAAAAAATGCGTTATATATATATACACGTAATTCATAGCATCATTTTTCCCAGTCAACCCACGTCAATCCCCATTCTTCTCATCTCTTTCCCATGTTCCTAACGTCGATGTCAATCCATGCCCCAAAAAAAAAACTATAGAAATCGAGTTTTTTCGCTTTCATCCCCATTTTCCCATGATTTTCCAAGGGATTCTCCCGTTGTGTTTTTCCAACATCACCAACCGATGCCGCCAGGGGCACCCTTGGCCGAGGCTGCGATGAACGGCAGCCAGGCCAGGCCGCAACAGGCCGTGACGCAGGTCACCAGGCGACCCACGCAGATCTGGCGCCGAGCGGAAGCGCCTGGGCTGCAGGGATGGTGAGGACGGTGATGGATAGGATGCGTTCAACCCAACCAGTAATAAATTTTAGATGGTTTTAGATGGTTTTAGAAGGTTTTAGATGGTTTCAGATGGTTTCAGATGGTTTCAGATGGTTTGAGATGGTTTTAGATGGTTTTAGATGGTTTTAGATGGTTTTAGATGGTTTTAGATGGTTTTAGATGGTTTCAGATGGTTTGAGATGGTTTGAGATGGTTTTAGATGGTTTGAGATGGTTTGAGATGGTTTTAGATGGTTTTAGATGGTTTTAGATGGTTTTAGATGGTTTTAGATGGTTTGAGATGGTTTCAGATGGTTTCAGATGGTTTCAGATGGTTTGAGATGGTTTTAGATGGTTTTAGATGGTTTTAGATGGTTTTAGATGGTTTTAGATGGTTTTAGATGGTTTTAGATGGTTTTAGATGGTTTTAGATGGTTTCAGATGGTTTCAGATGGTTTCAGATGGTTTGAGATGGTTTTAGATGGTTTTAGATGGTTTTAGATGGTTTTAGATGGTTTTAGATGGTTTTAGATGGTTTTAGATGGTTTTAGATGGTTTTAGATGGTTTTAGATGGTGTCAGATGGTTTGAGATGGTTTTAGATGGTTTTAGATGGTTTTAGATGGTTTTAGATGGTTTTAGATGGTTTTAGATGGTTTTAGATGGTTTTAGATGGTTTTAGATGGTTTGAGATGGTTTGAGATGGTTTTAGATGGTTTTAGATGGTTTTAGATGGTTTTAGATGGTTTTAGATGGTTTTAGATGGTTTCAGATGGTTTCAGATGGTTTCAGATGGTTTGAGATGGTTTTAGATGGTTTTAGATGGTTTTAGATGGTTTTAGATGGTTTTAGATGGTTTTAGATGGTTTTAGATGGTTTTAGATGGTTTTAGATGGTTTTAGATGGTAACTATCTAAATAGTTACCCAACCATGAGTTCAATGGGATATGATGGATTTACTATAGGTTTTAGATGGTTCTAGTTTTTTTGAAAATAATATGGATTCATACGAGATCGAATGATTAATTTAACCGAACCATGAAGAGGTCTTAATCAAAATCATAGGGCAATAGGATTAAACTATATAATGATTTTCAATGATTTTCATGGAAAGGATCATCATGATCTAATGAATTGTGAAATTGATGGTCCGATCCTTAGATTCATTAGATACGGTAAACTTGTCAATCCAATGTTTTAATCCATATTTTTTGTTGTTGATTGACAAAAATGGATTGGACATGTGTATGCAAACCACTGTTAATCTCTGTGTAACTAATGTTAATCTGCCAAAACCATTGATACAATTGAATAGAATCACATTTGTGGCAGAACAAAAATGGTATGGGTCTGGTTCCAATTTCTTCACACAACGATGGATGTCAAGTCAGCTAGATCAAACAATGTTTTCTGTCTAGTTACGGATGAGGTCTCAGAAAGGCCTGAATGCTCACCCATGCCCAACTCATGTGTTTTCCTCAACATTTGAGCAGTGTTCAAAACCCGCAACATCGTCCCTAAAAATACTGGTTATATAGAAGTTCCCATAATGGATTGTGATAATCCCCGATATATTGAATGGTAAAATGCCACACAATAGTCAACCAACTATACATATGTAGTCATCCTGCAGTAGATAGAACATATGTAAAAAAAAAACAAACTAAAACCAGAATGTGTTTGAACAATTAAATAATATTGTATAATATTATATATACTTCAGGACGATGATACATGTATATGATAATAGTGACTAATAACGGTAATGTCAACAATAACCATATATATATACTTACATATATATATATATATAAATCTTTATATTACTGTGGATTGGAGGTATATCATATGGATATCACAGACTTGGGTCCGACACGGCTTCTTTGGCCACCATTACAGTACAGCAGCAAATATCTCTGGCTTTGACGTTAAATGTCAATACACAGTACATAAACATAACAACATGTATATATGTATAATATATGTATAATATATACATATATACAGTGTATATATATATATATATCAACTAGACGTAATTAGACAGAGAGAGAGAGACACCATAATGTTGCATAAAAATAATACTGTACTATAATATATATATATATGTATACATTGATCAGAGATCTCTGAGTGTCTAGTTCATCTTGACTCTCGATCTATCTGTGCGGACGTATTTATTGTTGTTTTGTTTGTAAGACATTTATTAAGTGGTATGTCTGCAAACATGCGCATGATTCGTTTGTATGCACATGATTGCAGATGTATACAGATGTGTAATGAACGGTATCTGCATGTCAGTCGATGACCCCGACACAAAAGGAAAACAAAAGCAGGACCTGCCCGAATCACTATGTAGTGATTCTCTACAATGGACAACTGATTGTAGAAAACCATATGACTAGGACATATCCTTTCTCACAACAATGACTTTGTTCAGTTGATATCAGTTGATTGACAGCTGGATCTGAGGATGGATCAATCAAAACTAGGCGGCGCCGGAGCCACCGTAGTATATTTTTTGTTGGCATTGTTCGTATTGCAGCATATTGATCTATATATTTATATAGTATAGACATTGTTTGCGTAAGATCTTTAATTAAGTAATACGACAATTTATGTGTTCAGAATTCAGAATGATTTAGTTAATTATCGTTTAATCCACATTAAAGAAACCATTTAATTATGAATAACTTGAAGGCATCTCTTACTGGGAAAGATTGGGAAACTCTATTCGTAGCTCCAACTGGCTCCCCATTTCATAGGGAATATGGATACCCTTAACTCAGCTCACAGCTACCTCCATTCCCAACTGGATAGTATTTAAACGTATTTAACTCTAATGTCCTTTGGAAAAAGAGACCCATAGCCCATAGCTATGTCAGGGGTTGGTAAATCTCATCACTTGAAGAGCCGTATCTGCTGGAGAAATTGGAGATTACAGCCCCAATACATCAATTGGGTGATGGCTTTAAAACAAGGACATTGAGATTACACTCCTGTGGCGTGGGGTGTTTCATGAGATTCCATGAGTGAAACAGCCCGTCCAATGATCAAATGCTTCTCCGACCTGGCTGAAGGAATCGCAAGAAGATGTCGTGCGTGAAAATGGTGGACACGCAGTTGAAGACCTGCGAGCCGTTGCATGGGCAGGCTATGGCAGGCCTGCTATGTTTTCTGGGGCGAAACTAAGCAAAATGTGTGGGATATGTCATGTGTTCTTTTTATGGGGAATGTTACAGGACTGTTTATTGTTTCTTGTGGATTCTTATGGGATGTATTGGGATATTGGGATAAAATGGAGTACAGTATAATAAAGATAGGGTAGATTGGGTTTTAATGGGATATAAAACCAACAATATGTATTGGTTTACTTAATTAGCATTGCTGTTTTGCTTCCAACATTTGTCAAAGTCAAGGGATAGGAAAACGTTCCGAATTCAACATGTGCTTTTCAACAAATCAATTCTGAAGCAACTGCTATTCACTCCCATTGAAACAAGAAATATGAAGTACCCTTCCCAGTTTGCCACGTTTGACGACACCGGAGGGTAAATAAGAACTGCAACCAGGATGGAATAACCAAACAGATCCAAACAGAGTCAGGGATAGAGGAATCTGAAAAAAAACAATATTGAAACAGTGATGAAATATAATCAATATTGGTCTTATCTGATGAATCATTCATTTATATAATTGGGCAATATTAAAGCATCAGGAAATGAAAGCAAAGCCCATGTGAATCCATTTTCCAGCGGTGTTCCAGAATGCACCGCTCGAAGAGTACCACCTAAAAGAAAAAAAGGCCGGCTGATCATTCTCCGGATTCTCATTCCCTCCCGCCCTTCTTTTAGATATGCTTTAAAAAGAACACATAGCTTTCTGTCCTCCTATCAAGCCTCAATCCCACGTTTTCACCGTCCATCACCACGTTTGAGCCTTTTTCAACCAGCCGAGGGTCCGAGTCCAAACTTGACATCATCGCCAGTACCATGCTGACCACAAGCAAACCTGGAGCCAGGGCTTGGAAACACATGGAGAGATTTGGTGGGTGGATGCCAAGCCGTCATTAATGTATTGTTTCGTTCTCACCAGCTATAGTTTGTAGATATCTGTGTTTTTTCTAGGTACACTCATATACACTTGGCCAAAATTGGCCAAATCTGCACTTGCAGCTTTCTAGTTCTACCAAAAATACATGTGCTTCATCATGTTGTATGGAGGTTTCCGTTGTCGTCATGTTTTTTTGCTCCAGTCGTCGCTGCCTCTGAGGCCGTCGGGGAAGGTCTTGGCGATGAGGTACGGGTAGGCCTTGCTGGACCTTGGAGGCCGTGGAGATGGATGGAGGAGGAGGTACCGACGGTACCGACACCAGAATCATGGGGTATTGCAGCATATTGCGGCTAAGGCTTGGCAAGGCTTGGCAAGGCTTGGCATAAACGAAGCTTGATGGAGTTGAAAGGAGTTCAATGGAGTTGAAATGAGATCAGCATCTTCAACATGTTGCGCCAAACTGAAGGGGCGAAGTTTGGGCCAAGTTCTGGAATTCCCAAGTGCGAAGATTAGCTGCACCACTGCCTAGTGGAAGGCATACTTCTGCAACCCCCAGACCCCCAGTGACTCGATTGTGACACGTTGATGTCGAGCAGCTCATTGCCATCGTCCAGCTTCGTGTGACACCAGTTGCCATAGAGGTCGCCATCTGTTCTCTGGCACTCCTGTGTCTCAAGATGTCCAAAAACCCGATGTTGTAAGTGGACCAACTTGTGTCAAAATTCTGAATTTACACAAAGTTCAAACTGGTGATTTTGAACAAAGTTCTTTGTTGTCTAATTTTTGCGATTCATAGTGCCTGTGAGTTTGGTGTCAGCTAGACGTTAGCTGGGTGAAAAAAGTATCATAGCTCATCATAGGTGGTATGTTGGATGCAGAACCGCTCCAGTACCAAGGCCAGTTGGAAAATCCCCGGCAGTTATCTTGTGCGGTTTTACTTGATGATCCAATGATCTTGACCACAATGTTGGCAGATTGAAAAAAATGCAGAACAATCCTAGTCAATCATGCAATCAATACATGTCCCGAAAGATGTCTTGGAATCTTTTTTTTACACACCATGGTTGACTGGCGTTGACTTTTTGTTTCAAAATTCTCCAAATGGATTTGTCCGAAAATCTAGTACAGTACCCCTAAATCCACTGGTTAGTCATCATTGTCCCTATTACAATGCTATAACATGGGGCTTAATCCCCCATGGAATACACAAGACGGCCTCATAAAAGGCTCTGGCAATCATGCCTGGAAACCTGGCAGCGACAAGAAATGTACCAACCGAAAAGTGGGATGTGATCAGTGCAGACATGGTGTGTATATGTCTATATATATATATATATATGTATATGTATGTATATATATATATCTGGTTATCTGTATATATATATATATGTATAATTATATGGTCACTAGTCATACATATGTGATGTGGCGTGACGTAATGTATTGTGATGTGATGTGATGTGATGTGAAGTGACATTGTGATGTATGCAAGTATGCAAGTGTGCAAGTATGAACGTATGCGGGTATGCATGTATGCATGCATGACATAATACGATCTTTAGACAATAGGATACATCTTCCTTTGAAACAATGTGTTCGTTTCAGGGCAAAAACGCACTGTGATCTCAAATGGTGGAGCGGAAGGTGAGGGAAGCAAAGGGTTTCCACTGTGTGATTTCAATCTGGGACGGGACAACCGCGAATGGTTGGCACATGTTGGCACATGTTCGCACATGTTCACACAGCTATGAATGGAAGTTCAACAACACACTTTTATTATGTTCTATTCAATTCCGAGGTTCTTTTGGAATTGACCCATATCATACCTGTTGATCAAGCAGCCTCATCCACCGCTCAGATTCAGAAGATTAAGGTGACACGTTCAGTGGATTCAGGTACCAAATGCTGCCAGGTCACACCATTAGAATTGGAGGGAGGATCTTCAAATAGCCTGACGCCAGGAGATTTCTTGAAACACAATCATTGCCCTTGCAATTTTACCATAAACTATATAATTTACCACAATTAACTCATAGCATCCAATCATTCCTCTCAATAAAATAAAAAAAATTGGGAGTTGAAGGTTTTTTTGGTCAACGCAGACATGGCTTTGATGTGTCCAGGAAGACGTCATATGTGAGGCCCCAGCTTGCCACATTTTGCTGATTCAAATCCCACGCAGACCGACGTGTCTGTGTGTTTATGATGCATATATAAAAATAATACTAGTAATATAGTAATAATAATAATAATTAAAAATATTATTATAATAAATAATAATAATAGTAATATATAATAATAATAATTTAATAGTAATATATAATAATAAGAATAGTAATAATAATAATATATATATATATGTCTATATGTATATATATGTCTATATGTATATATTTAAAAATATTACATTAACACTCAACTTATGCTATCATATTATCAGCACTGCTCAAACGGAGCCTGCAAGAAGGCAGCCTTTCCGCGCATGGGGCACTCCTCGCGCAGGTCTCCCTGTAGTGGTCAAATTTTAAACCAAAAGGTGAATTATCATGCACTACTACTTTGGCCAAATAGTATGATGATAAAGTTCGTTCAATAGTTGGCCAAAGATTATCAAAGATTACTATTATCAACTAGACATCCTTTCAACCTGTCCCTTCCTGGTCCCGCCTGTTTCAACCTGTTTCAATGCGCATGCCACAGATGTGGTTTTGTCTATCAGGGATACCCGGATACCCCCCCAATTTTTTGTGGAAATTGTCCTGGCAATTTGTCATGACTCTTACCATGGATGGCTTACCTTGTGAGACTACTGCCCACTTCCCCACAGCCCACGGATTCCCACAGCCTTTGGCACTTAAAACACGCTGCACCATGGTTTGATCCACACACCAATACCAGAAGGAACACAAAGGCTGGCCAACCAACATACCTCCGCAAGAAGGGGCTCCCCTTGGGCGCCGAGTTGTTAGAGGCGGCTGTTTGAATACGAATCACCATGGTTTTAATTCAATAGCAATGATCATAATAATAAGTAACAATTTGCTTATAGATGGTAATCATGTAATCATATAATATCGTCAAAACAAACATGATGATAGACTTTGTCACATTAATCATCTATATATACATATCCATTGTTGGTCAGTATATGTCAGTGTCCCATTTAATATATAAAGTGTATTCCTGAAAATGAGCTATACATCCTATGAAATTAACTGAGAATAGCCATGTATATGGTTATCCACGTCAATCAATTATATCTATCATTAGATAACAATTGTAATTATACAGCCTACCAGTTATCTGATAATCTCCGTTTCAGTATTTTTTTTTCTCCCATTCATATATAAGATCCATTTATATATATATAATTATCCACTGTTTTCTGATATCAGATGTTCCATGCCCACCTCCCTCCAACACTCCACCTGTCCAGGGATATTGCGCATCCGCAGGTGAGCGAATCGTCTTGGTCAATGAACCCCTCGAAACCGACGCGATGCAACGCAGCACGACCCCCAGGTGGGATGATTTTCAAACGTTTCACGGATGGACATTGGAAAGAAGATACTGATACATGTATATACAATGTGACTATGCATTGCTATATAGTATGTATGTATATATATATAATATACATATATATATAATATATAGAGTATATGTGTATATAACATATACGGTATACAAACAAGTTGGGATCATCCAACAGCAGGTGTAACATAGACTATTACTGGTTTGAAGCTGGTCATAGATGCGTTTGAGTCGGGTTCCCCAATTTCACCGATAGAAGCAATGGAAGCAATGGGAGTGACATGTTCTGTCTTTCTGGGTGCAACTATATATGGGATAGCAATATATATATAGTCATATGTAGTGAAATACAAGATATATATATATATATATAATATTAAATACAACTACATAAACTAATTACATAGTTCATAATGGTCTATACAATATAAATATTTCTATCTATAACAGTCATGTGGTACCTCCTACAGACAGAGACTTTAGTCACAGCAATTTTCTTGAATCACCATATTTACAATTGGGAGACATCGGTACGAACCCGTCACAACAGGGTCACAGCAACAATGCAAAACACAATGTAAACGCATGAAAAATGTCTTCTTTCATTTCACATCGTTGATCATTCTCTCACTCATTCTCTCACTCACTCTCTCACTTATCCTCTCCCCCATTCTCTCACTCCTCTCACTCTTTCCCTTACTCACTCTCTCACTCATTCCCTCACCCACTCTCTCTCTCTCTCTCACTTTCTCTCTCTCTCTCTCTCTGTAAGTATGTGTATATATATATATATCATGAACCTTGCCACGTAATCCGCAGTCAAGAGTTATGCGAGTCTTGGCACGTGGAATTGCAAATGCAAGCTAAATGCTAGAAAAACCATTAATTTGGGAATAGCTCCACCCAAAAAAACATATATCCCGGCAAGAGACCCCAAAAAGTGTGGGGGAGTGGGAGGATAATGTATGCCCCCCCAAAACGCTCTCCCCATCGAGAGCTCGTTGCCTGTAGCTCCTTGGCTCCTGGGCTCCTGGGAATATTGATAGCCAGAGCTCCGAACCTCTCCCTCCTAACCACCAGATAGATATATAAAAATATATTCCGTTTTTAGATAGAATTGCCAAGGTTTGCAAAAATACATTCCCTATGTTGACCTCTTAAAATAATATATTCCTATCATGATAGATTTAATAGATAGTCAAATCGTTGCGGAACCCCAAAAAAAGTGTTGCTTTTTACCAAGCCAATCACACAGCCCACAGCCCACAGCCCACAGCCCAGTGACAATTCGTTCTTCTCGAAGGTCTCCAGAAGGCCGAACAAACCACCTGGAGCAGTGAGGAAAGTGGATCCGGCCCCACATTACCCGCTGGTAAACTAACATAGCTATTGAAAATGGCCATTTATAGTGGATTTACCCATTAAAAATGTTGATTTTCCATAGTTATGTTAAATTACCAGAGGGTAGCATGAACTGATGATGAGATTCTATGAATCTACGTCTATGTCTACACCAAAAATATACAAAAAACATATGCAATAATCACTCAAACGATATAAAGGGTTGATGAAGCTTTCCTTTCGAGATGTCTAAGTTTAATTTGCTTGCAAGTGCCTAGTTTGGATCATTGTGCTTGGAGAGTCTTCATGATAACCCCTCTGACAGCGGAGGCACCAATCTGGCTGAAGGCAAAGATCGTGCCAACCACGCCCCCGAGAATGAAAATGCTGGCTTGTCCCACGTCCGTGTACATCACAGCTTTCAAACCTCCTGCCAGTCGTTGACGACCACGCGAATCAGAACCAGAACCGGTGGTAAAATTGGTGGATGGGCAACTTTAGACGAGTCAAAAACTAGAGACTAGAATTGATAAATTCTCAATGTAAAAAACAAGTGTTGCCACTGCATTCAATGAATTGAGACCAAAACGTGTGGTGATACATCTGTTCACATGTGCAAGTAAAAGGGCCTATCTTCCCGTAATTTCGGTGTGAAAACTCATTGTCGTCGTCGTCATCGTCATCATCATCATCATCATCATTATCATCAAAATCAGAAAATATAATATAATATAATATAAGACAAGATAATATAAGATAATATAAGATAATATAAGATAATATAAGATAATATAAGATAATATAAGATAAGATAATGTAAAATAATAAAATAAAATATAATATAATATAATATAATATAATGAAAGTCATCATCATCATCATAATCAGTTGAATCCCGTGCTTAACCAACCATGTTGTAAATTATACACACTGGGATGTAGTGAATGACAGTACCATGAATGACAGTACCAAACCAAGTCCAACGTGCCGGGTTGTTACCTCCAGCTTCTACAGATGTGTTAACCTTATTTTTTGCATATACACCTAACACATTATGCATATTTATATAGTAACTACAAATATGAACATTCATGACGTGTGGTCACATTCATGTCTACACTCAAGTATACATATTCATACATGTACACCTCTGGACACCGCGCCTGAAGCCGCGTACAGCGCTGTGATCATCAGGATGACGGGCCTGGATTGTTCGTTGCTGAAAGAAAAATATGTGAACCGAACGGCCCTGCAAAAAGATGTTGGATGGTTCATAGATGGTTATCTTTGGTTGTTATCTATGGTTAGTAAATATCAAATGCTTTTCATGATTTATTATTGGTTGAATATCAATTGGTTGTTGAATGGTTCCTGCTTATGGTTTGCAAACAAACAAATGAATTGTGGTTTACACTAATCCTACAAGTTATACTTCACTTGGAATAACATTGATATAAAATAAACAACACATGGATTTACATCCACGGACTTGTAAATACTTGCATTATAAATACCATAAATGTGCTTCTTCATTGAATGATTCCCGTCCAGTGTTTCGCCTATGTAAAAAAAAAAAGGTATTCGGAAAGCCGCCATGGGGGTTTCCCCCACTAGGAAAATGATCAACGTCCACACCTTCACTGGAGGCCACAAGAATTTGGATTGCACAATAAAAAACGTACATTAATGTACATATAATGAGGCACACCCAATGCCATAGTCACTGACTCCCCAAGTTTGATGTTTATGAAATGGGGTATACCCCTACGAATGGGATGATTGAAAAGGACCTTTAGTCATGGTGAGTTTCATCACAGCCGAGCTTCGATACCTGCGCTGCATGATTGTTCTGTACTCCTTTCAGCTGGTTAGTATGTATTTTTATGAAATGAAACACTAATTTAGCCGCATTCAAGGCTGAAACAACAAGAAACATGTTTTTAATCTTACTGGTGTTTAGTAGGGAATGAGGGAATGATCCATAATCACTAATAATAATCATCCCATTCCCCCATTCCCATCCATTCCCTACGTTTAGCACCAGCAAGTAATTGTTGTAATTGCAACAAGAAACATGAAACACCGCGATTTCGTGTAGCTAAACTTACCCGGTCTTTTTCTCCAAGCCACACGCTGGTCCACATGGAGATACCCAGCATGACGTCGAACAAGAGAGCGCCCGCAAACAGACTGGCGGCAATCTTGGTGACCACCTGAGTGGCACATAGTGGCAGTGACCTACCCCGCGACTTCCCATGAAATACAACGGGTGTTTACAACGGGATATAACGGGTATCCCCCGTTCATTATGGACTTGAAATGAATACCTAATATGTAAAGGGTAGTATGACCATGTATAACCCAATATTTCTTAAGCGATCAACAGGTTTTTCCTGCTGAGATGGGAATGCTGACCACAAATGGAGTACCTTCATTGCGAAGAAACATCTCTGCGCACAAAACTGGGTTTGCCTGAAAGTGGTTGATCATTGATCACATATTTCCAATAAAAATGGCTGGGGAGTATACACCATTTTCAGACACATCTACGTCATCTACGTGTGGGCATAAAACGGTTCATACTGGAGATGTACTGTGATCTATCACCAATGGACCCACAACATTTCTAATGTCTAGTACTAAAGCATAAATTTCTAATGTCTAGTAGTTTCCAAGGGGACACCATCACCAAATGCGTAAACGTAGAGAGTAAACGTTTGGATAAAAACAAACCAAAAATCAACAAACAACTGGTTTTCTTTCACCCTTAAAAAACAGGATGTATATTTAAATCCGAAGAACTGACGTGGCAATTGGTGAATCCTAAACAGGTCCAACGGTCCAACGGTCCAACGGTCCAACACTGAACCCGTGTGGCATCCGGCAAGGATCATAGGCCACAATCGACACAGCAGCCAGGAGGATGCGACACTCCGTGTTGAAGCCTCAGTGCCGGAGGCATTCACCGTTGGGATAGGATCAGGGAAGTTGGATACACATTGTGTGTAAGATAAGTTGCTACGCCATAGAAGTACTGTATCTATGTGTACATGCAATATGAATTATACACATAGTCACATATGTACAATCATATACGGATATTCTACACATGCATACATATGTGTATATTAGTATACATATATATATATGAAATAATATAATATAACATATATATAGTATAATATAACACATATATATAGTATAATATCATATAATATGATATAATATAATGTTTATATAATACTATATAATAATATATTAAATTATATTATATAGTATATTATATATATACACATTATTATATAATAATAATTACATATATTATATTATTTGGCCTGGTTTCAGCTCCAATGTGTCTTGGTCACTCCACAGACGATCAGCCCCTTAACGAACTTCCGCCGAAGAACGTCGTTCGAACCACTGTGGCGTGGTGGTGAGGTCAAGGCCTGGCCAGGTTTGTCCAGGAATCATGGCGTCATGGCGAATGGTTTCCTACAAATGAAACGAATGGTGAATGGAAACATCTATACTGATATATATATAATACTGTATAAGTCATCCACAAACATCTATATTGAATTATAATATAGTATATAATGATGGAAACATTGGTGAATAATGGGTTAATAATGATTGGTAATAATGGTTAATAATGGAAACCTGGTTAATAATTGATGGGTTAATAACGAAATGGTTTAATAATATAATGAAACATTATAATGATCAATATAATGGATATAATGGTTAATAATGAAACATTGGTAATAATGGGTTAATAATGGATAGATATGGATAGTAATAATTGATTGATATTTCCAAGAATTGAATGGATACATGATATAATGGATACCAATATGGTTAATAATGGGTTAATATTGGGTTAACAATGGGTTAATAGTGGCTAATAATGATAAATGGTGATAGTAAACAAATGGATATTTCTTCAACATGAATGGATAGTTGATGGGATATATTATATAATGAATACCAATATGGTTAGTAATGGGTTAATAATGGGTTAAGCATTAGTAATTATAGGGGATATTTTAATGATTAATGGCTCCAATATGATCAAACAATTGGTTTATAACCTGGGTTAGTAATGGTAAATAATGGATAACTTAATGATGAATGGATATGAATTGGGATATAATGGATACCAATATGGTTTGTACTGGCTTAACAATGCATTACTGGATATTTCATGGGATCTTCAATGGGGTAGCCTCCGGTTTCATCAAACATGGCTGGCCGGAAAATCATCGAAAAACATGGGAATTGCCCCGGCTGCCATGTTTGATTACTGGTAGGGATGTAATGACGATATATAACTGTGATATAACGATGAACATCCGTTTATAATGGATTCATCATTATCTTCCTTACAATCGGAAAGTAATCTGTAAATGGGGATATACTGGGGATACAATACGATATAACCAGCAACAATCAGCTGGTTGGAGGTTTCAACATGTTTCAACCCCCCCCCAAAAGAAATGAAACACTACGAATAGCAACGGGGATCGGGATCATGGTCAACCAGCAAGCAGCTGGTAGTGTCTGGATCATCACCCAGGATGAGAAGCATACGGCCATGTCGATGTCAGGGCGAAAAAAACGAATCCGATGTCAAACAGGATGTTTTTCTATCTTTGCTTTAAACTGCTAAAAAAAAAGCATCGACTGTGCGCAGAATCCGCAGTGACAGCGGCCTAAATACATCGGAGCCAGGCCAAAGCCCAAGAAGAAGATCAGCAAACCTGGCAGCAACAAGGCCCAAACATGGCAGCGATGTGTAACGACTGGGCCCTTGGTGAAACGTGGTGAAATTCGAATAACCAATGTGTCAAGTGAAACGATGTGACTGAAAAATTGTTCTGAACAGATTTAAAGTTAATGTTGTGTTTTAATTGTGGGTTCAAAGGTGTGATTTGGCCATTGGCATCTTTACATACTGGGTGTTGGTCATACTGAAACCACCAACCAGCTTTCTTTTTCATGGTCATCAGCATGATCAGCATCATCAGCAATAAGAGAACAGCAGCAAAACAGCAGCAGCAAAAATGAAGTCTCCAGAATGACCCCTAGAGCCTAGTTCACTTCATTTTGTAAAGGTAACTCACGCGTAATTGAAATCTAGAAATAACATGAAATAAATATACAGTATATATTTCAAATAAATTGTTGTCTGACATATCAAAACACTTCAAATCAAGCAAAATATCATGCAAATTGTCACCTTGGATACCTTGGTCGCCTTTTTTTTAAATTCCACTCATCCACTAGATTAACCTTGGATAACCATATGGATAATATTCATTTATGGTTAACTATGATTAATATATGATTCATATTTGGTTAATATATGGTTCATATATGGTTACCCTCTGGTAAATTAACATAGACCCTGGCAGTCATCGGGCTTGGAAGACTAGTTTCCATTGAAAATAGGTGATTTTCAGGGTCTATGATTATTTACCAGAGGGTATATAATATATGATTAATATTTGGTAAGATATGGTTAATATATGATTAATATATGGTTAATATATGGTTCATTGATCCTCTTGGATCGGCTTCCCCCGGCCTGCAGACCATTCGTACATGGCCACGCTGACGCCGCCCTCGGCCGCAGCACCGGCCTGCCCCACGAAGTGCTCCGTGCCGATGTTCGAGGCCTGGGATCCATCGGGATCCATTGGGGATCTCTGGATCCATCGGGGATTACCCGGCCTGGTAAACTGATGTAAACTGTTACATAGCGAACTGGAAAATCCACTATTTTTAATGGGTAAATCCACTATTTCTATGTGGAATATCAGCATGTTTATAGGTGGGATTAATAAAAACCATTAAAAACCATTCCCAGTCTGGATTAATGTGGGTCAAAACTAGCCAATAAACCACCATGACTGGGAATGGTTTGAATGGTTTTATTTATATACCACCTATAAAAATGGTGATATGGGGGATGGTTTATGGCATTGTTTTGCCCACATTCGTATGGATTCATATGGAATAAATTTGGCCTGACGTGGGCTGGAAGCAGTTTTTTAGGTGCGAAAATGGAGGTGACTCAGCAGCCAAAATGAGGATTCATCCATCAAAACCATCAAACATATAACATATTCGAAATAGGTCTGAAATAGGTCTAAAATGTCTAAAATAGGAACATATGGTTTGAAAATCGACCAGAAGTGGAAATATGTTTCATCAATCAGAACACATGACGAGTTATTGGAAATAGGTCTGGCAATCGCGCGCCCCAAAAGCAGATGATAAGACCTGTACCTTCTCCGAATTCCAGGCAAAAACTCATTGAGACAAATCATGAGAGACGATAATGATACCATCAAAATCTGACCAACAAGAACCGATATTGTCGAGTCGGGATGCTGTCCGAACCAAAAGCAGCTTTTCGGCTTTGATCATGGACATTTCACCAGCCGTTGAGCCATCGCTCTTACGCATCCATGTAAATCATGAATATCGTCCCAGAATTGGAGATAATATACCTAAACCATCCTAAACCATGAGTACTTGGAAGTTTTTCCCAGTTCAAAGGTGGCTAAGACAACCGAAGACCCGGTTGTGAATGGGGCTACCACCCCACAACACGTCTGAAATCACTAGCTGGTGGACATGTCTAATCCTAGATTGCCCTGCAAAAATCAATTCATTTTTGGCTGGGTAGCTATTTTCTAGATTCTAGATGTTTCCCCATCAAAAAGGCCAAGAATAATACTGGTCAACCGTATCAGGATTTATGTAACTAGTGGAGGTATAAACTTTGTCTATCTGTGATGTTGCAATGAGTCTTTCCGGAAAGTCCGATATGGCTAGATTAGATACATGATTTTCCGCGACTTAGAAGCTACAGCATCCATCAACCTCTGTATTTCTGTAAATATCCACTGGTCGGTGTTTTCGACCCCCGGTGCTGTGCCTGATTCTTTAAGATGTGTAAATCTTCAGTTGGATATGATATGTCTTAAAAAGTAGGAACCCGCAAAAAAAAATAATTTCGGTGCGACAAGCATGTATATAGACATGTTAAACATATATATATATACATACACTTAGTTACCACAAAACACCTATTCAAGATAGGGGTTTAACCTGAAAATAGGCTAACCATGGCTTAAGCCCATTCCACTGGATAATCATTCTCCTATATTCTCCTCATTAAAACCCCATGTTCCCATTGTCCCCATCGACCGTAAATCCCTGCCGTAATCGTCGCCAAGTGACGAAAATGCTTAGCCTGACGTTTGTTTTTTTTGTACGAAGGCGGAAGTCGAGGTCGTGGTGCAACAACCAAGAAATCATTAGTAGTGGTTATATAACTTGAATGATCAATAAATGGTCTGAATTAATGTGTATTCATGTATGTAGACATATATATATATACACAAGTTGTTTATACACATAGTAGTATCATATAGTCAAGTTCGTTTTCAAAGTCATAAATTGATTTTATGCAATCGGCACATTCTATTACAGAACAATCATGTGTGATCATGTGTGTATTTATGGTATGTACGTATAATCTTTGAGGACGGACAACGTTAAGTATGCCTTCCTCTGAGATGTAAAGCCATGAAGAGAAATATTTGATAAGGGCAGTTGTACATTTTAGGGAGAATGGATCAAAGCGCAACAGCAAACAGTTCGCACAGATAAGTTTGATAGGGAGAGGCCTGATAGAGATAGGTCTGACACAAACAGGCTTGATAGAGAGAAGCTTGGTACTAATTGCACAAAAACATTTGATAGAGAATCCATTGATATATATATAGAGAGAGAGAGAGCTTCAGTTTAAATAGAGATAAATTTGGCACTAAACCAAAGAAGTTTGGTAGAGAGGTTTGATAGACTTCCAGCTTTATAATAGAAAAACATGATAGGGATAAGTTGGGATGGAGATAAAGATCTGATGGAGATGGATGGCCAAAAGTTGTGGTAGAGATCTGACACAGTTACAAGGTGACCAGGTCGACAACCGGAAATACACATCGTTTCCTGGTAAAGTCTGACTTTTTTGACTTAAGAAAAGTGATATCAAGTTGTTCGATTCCCATCCCATGTGGGAAAAGTGTGCAAGGTTGAACACCCTGCCTGTCCCATGATACTGGCTGTGTAATTCTTTTATTATGATCATCCCCGATATACAAAGGCTACTGTAGTATAACGATCGAACTATATCGAGCTAATCATCAACCAACAGGGGTTGACTGCAGCCACTGCTCATCTGAGAAGTCAATCAGATTATATAATGTCAACCCCGAATTCAAGTCAATCCTTAGGTTCTGTAGGGGAAATACGTCCCCTTCGGTAATCAAGCATGGCAATGGACAATCCTCCTTTTATAGATAATTGTCATTGTCCCAGCTACAAACCTCCATTCTTTGGGTTTTCCCAGGGATCGTCATGTTGGGTTACCGGCGAGTTGGAGGATCATCCCAGGGATCGTCATTGGTGGGCTAGTTCACCCATTGACTGGGATAATTCCAGGGGGACTTACCCTCTGGTAAACGTTTACAAAAAACTATGGAGAATCACCATTTTGAATGGGAAAATTCAACTAGAAATGCCAATTTTCAATAGCTATGTGAAATTACCAGAGGGTACCTAGTTGGGGAAAAAAACCAGCTAAAAAAATCACTAGCTCAGTCCCCAGTGGATAGGGATTGAACAACGGCCCAGTGGTGCCCCATCGGAGCCAAGTCACCCTACAGCCCACCATGGCATGCTGCGTCCTGCAAGGAAGAAGCTGTCCGACCTTGCGCAGAAGACGCTGGGTCTTAGCATGAACCATAAAGAAATGGTGATTTGAAGAAGATCTTCACCAAACATTTATGGACTCATAGAATTATCTTTGAATATCTTTGATATCTATAAGTTCTTTGGGTTTAGATCAATAACTTTGCCACTCCCTGCTATTTTTAGGCTATATCTAAGGTGCCATGGTTCATTCCCTGATTAGTTGTAACTTACCATCCCCTCAACCGATAGCTTGAGTCTGCGAATCACCCATTTCAAAAGGAAAGCAGTCTTCCAACAATCTATGTTAGTTGGATGGAGGTATTTCTTTTTGGGAGTACCCAATCTTGAAGCCAAATTGGGGTAACTCACCAACCTGAAATGCTTGGCCATCTTGGAATAGGAACCCCAATTGATGGATGATTTATTGGGGTGGAACATCTGGGCGTGGAGAACTACTACCCGGTAGGAAATTGAACCTTGATACTTTTTTGTATGTAAATCATATATTCAAAAATGGTCTTTCAAAGCCAACCATATTTGATTCCTGGAGCAGTTGCATTAGGGAATTGAGTGGAGGAACTACAATACCCAAGGCCGTTCTGCGCAGAAGGTTTCCCATGACTTACTTGGGCTACTTGGGGTACATCAAGTCAGTACCCTCTGGTAAACATGCAAAAAACTATTGAAAATGGCCATAGAAATAGTTGATTTTCCCATTAAAAATGGTGATTGTCCATAGTTATGTAAACGTTTACCAGAGGGTATGTGGTCAATAACACTGTGACCTCTTTTACCCAGTTCTTCTGGAGAAATGCTATGAACCACTTGCTGGGATGCACATCTAGTGGTACCCCTGGGATGTTCCGAATCCAAAGGAGAAACGCCAAGAAACTGCACAACCCCATCTTTGTCCGCTCGATTGGCGTGCCAGCTCACCCAAATACCTGGCTGCCAAGAGACCCAATGTTTCTTATGTTGCCAGACTATGGCAAACTGCTGCACATACTATATATATAAATATATACACGTAGATCAGACTTGCACATGTATATATATATATATATACATTATACATACATATACATTGTGTATATATATATATGTATGTGTCTCGATATATATATATAGACATTTGTGTACAATTATGTCTATATGTGTATCTAGTACATATACTCATCACATATAATCACATGTAATCACATATATATATATATATATATATACATACCCACATGTATGTGCAAATTTATGTGTCTATAAATGTACTTGCATACATAGAGGAAGGTTTACACCACAGATCTTGAGATGTATGTTTACAGGATATTGGACATCTAACATGCGTCTACTTTTAGATATTATAATAAATATACAGCATATGTAGATTCTACATGGTAGAATCTTATGTAGAGTTGGGTAGAATCATACATGGCATGTATACATATATATATATATATGCATGTTTAATCATACTTTATACATACCCATAGATGTACAGTACGCCGTGGACAACATTGCCCGTACAGTGTGGCCAATGGACGAAGATCCTCAAACCATTGATACGCGTGAGCTTGGATGAACTGAGACGGTACGTCCATGCTTGTAATAGGTATTTCTATCTGTATATATGTTTATTTATGAATGATATACATGGTATATATATATATATATATATCAATATGTATACACATATTAATATGTATTATATATATGTATAGTTAAGTATGTATTATATATATACTACTGTAATATGATTATATATATATACACTATCACACAATACATAAATATTGTATGTGATGTAGAAACATATATTGACCTGTGCAATAATCTCTCAACACTGGCGCCAGTGGTTTTTCCAAGGCTTCCAAGGAGCTCTTCGCAATGGTCAGGCCGAAAAGGAGGACCATTACCACCTCAGCTGTTGAACTCCGACCAATTTAACACGTGCAATGATAAAGCTTATGCAAAAATACAGATATATATATAGTATAAGATTATAGTTTTTTTGAAAAAAATATAAATATGATATATAGTATATCATATTTTGTATATCTGTTGAATGAAACATTGGACAAACAATTATATGACGCGACTATCAAAGAGAAATATAAAATCAAAAATCAGGTCTCAAATAAATCGCAAGTAGTGATACTGCTAGTGAATCTCAGGGGAAAACCGCATTCCATCCAGTGGTTAATCATCGGTTTAATTCATTTCTCCCCCTAAATTTGGCCATAAATTGAGGCTCAAATCCCTCATTTTGAAGACACACCCACAAATCATATCGGCGATGTAGCTCAAAACATATGGATGTGGGTCAAAATGGAAGACCGATGTGGGACCACAGATGTGAATGTCTAGTTTAGTATTAACCATCCAATTATTGGGGTACCTAATTTTGACCCATACCCATATTCCCATGAAAAAACCTAACATCGTTGGTTCCTTCTCTCTAATCCGCAACGAACCAAGGAACCACATCTCCAACTCCCAGGCTAAAGTGCACCATGGCGCAGCGCTTGGTGGTTTTAAGCCTGAAAAAAAAAACCTTGAGATCATCATTCCATTTCTAGGGTTGAGAATAAGACATCTTTTTTTCACCACCACATATTCATATTAGTATTCATTGGTTCTAATTATCCCGCATTGGATGGTTGAATCCGGGCGGTTGTTGCTTCAGGTTTTCGATATCAAAATAAAAAAGGGTTTATGTCAAAATAGGCACCCCAAAATTGGAGGTGTAGAACTGTAGAACATTGTAGAACCTCATTTTCCCCATAAAAAGTTTGCCATTTTGAGGCAAAAAATCCTCTTTTCAGAGCTATCTGTTTGGCAACATCTGATGTTCTTCCAGGTGAATTCTGGGCCAGAAAAGATGGCATACCACCCAGGTGTACACCTCAAGCTGGATCATCAGCCGGGCGAACATTCTCATAATTTGGGGATCCCAGAAAGTTCCCCATTCAAAAGTGCAATTGTTGGGCAGTACACCCATAGATTTTATAGGTTTATACCAGCGATGCGTCGCATGTTTGTTGATGTACACCTACCTTAAGCATTCCAGTCACACTGATTCCCTGCCCAGTTCAATCTCTTCTTGTCGTCCCATCCTCATAACACTAAGCCATGTTCGGTTGGGGGCATATTGGAACCTTGGCAAAAGCCATGACCAGTGGTACAAAATGGTACAAAGCCAAGGGTTTACCGCAGTGGCCTCTGGCCGGCATGAAGTATATTTGCAAATCAATACAGGTGACACCCACCGCAATAAATGATTGAAGCCCCACCGCAACTTGCTTTCTCTTTGATCTCTGTGCATTGACGCATATTTCCGAAGAACGAACAGAAAGGTTTCTTTCAATCGGAGGTGACTACCATGTAGCAGCAGGTGGCTTCAAGTTGATACTTATCATGGCAGGTTAGCAGTTTCAGCGTGCCTGCATCCTATAGTAAAACAACGATTGTCGATTTAGTCAGAATGTAGTGCACATGTCAGATTCTGAATGGGTTGTCAATATAATGTGTATACATATTATATATCTATCTATATATATATATATTGTAATTCACCAACCTGGATTTAGGTTATGTTGGGATGGTTCCCTGTACTAACCATCATTTACAGTGTACTTACCCACATAGCAATATGTTGGGTTTCCCGGGGGGGTTTGCCGTGAGTCGGAATGAGTTTGCAAAGGGTTACATATGTTAAGATCATGTATGTCCATCCACAGCCGTTTATTAGGAGGAAATTTCATGGTATTTTCAGTGTTTTTCATTGTTTTCACAGTAGCATTTGCAAGATGTTTGCATGATAAGGGATGATTGTTAAAGCCATGTTCATGTTCTGCGAACCAGATTTTTTCGCGGGATCCCGCGGAAAAATTAGCAGGATTTTCAACTTGAGATTTGTTGGAAACAGAAATAAAGTTGCGTGTTCTATTGGAACAGCATAATTACATTTTCTTCGGAGCCATGTTGAGTTTCGATGAATTGTTCGAATGTTTGGTGCTATTGATCGCGTGCCGCATGAGTGGCAACTTTTCCTGGCAGACTGCAGTTCTTCATTGGCCCTTTTTGCGGCCTATGATTGCATGGCTTGAGTTGACAATAGCGGACGTCCATGAATATGCTGAGATGATGAATCGATCTATTAGTGATGATCAAGAGCGGCAGGTTGCTCTCAGCATGGAACACCACGGGTGTCCTCCCGGGCCTCCTTTTTCTGCCTAGAGGAGAAATGCAGACTCATGGCTGAATGCAGACTGAAGCTCAGAGAGAAAAAAGAGGCAGCCGAAGATTGCAGGACAGCTATTCCTATGTTCTTCATTCGCCCTAGCGTAGCATGACGTCTGTGTCGAAGTCCAAGAGAAACTAGCAATAGCGTAGCCTGACGTATGTGCGGAACTCTAAGAGAACCTAGCAGTCGCAATGAACGTTAACATCCCCCCACCCCCCCCACCCACCCACCCCCCGCCAAAGTAGCGTAGCATTACGTATGTGCGGAAGTCCAAGAGAACCTACCAGTCGCAATGAACGTTAACATCCCCCCCACCCCCCCCACCCCCCCACCCCCCCACCCCCCCCACACCCCACCACCCAACCAATGGTCACGAGCTCAGAAACCTTCTTTGCTTCGGCAAACCCCTACGGTTGACCCAATATGTTGCAATTACCTTTATGGACGATGTAGGAAGCCTTGATCAGGCCGCTCGGCTTGACTGTTTGCATTGGGAAGTGACTGCAACTAAGAACTCCCAATACTGCAATAAGTCTGTCTGAACATGGGGTTAGCGGCATAGCGCCAGAATGACTGTTTTACTGGTGGCAATGGTGATTGCCAATCAATTTGTGGGCCCTACGACAAACTCACATGGGACATGATGATATTGGATGAATTCTCTCATCATACATTGCTTGGATTTGCTGAATTTTTAAGGAACCCCAAAAGAGCAAAACTCCAACAGAGTGGATTTCCCATTAATTAAACAAAAAACAAGTTCATCATACATTGATTTCCGCAAATCTGAAACCTTTCGATCTTTGCCACTTCATGGCTCCGCGACAAGCGCAACTCTGAAACAAGAGGCGCCATATAGCAAAATTCGGACCTGAATCAGGTCAACAGCGGCAAGGTGAAGTACAGTTTGGGCTTTGGAAATTTGGTGGGTTTTGCATGTTTTTGCCACTAAGAATGGACTTTTAACCAACAAAGACTGGGGCGTTGAACAGCAAAAATGTAGTTTTGACCAGCATGACATTCTGCCAAGTTCAATGTATCATCCTTACTTTCCCATCTATCATCCTTACTTTCCCCGGGGTATTGCTTATGTATATTACTGGATATGATTATGAACCCAAAAGATCTGGGCGTTCTGGGATTTATATGGATTTATGGGATTTCCAATGTTGACCTTACCATACCTTACCAGCCCCCAACAATGGAACACTGTCCCAAACTGTCGAGCAATGCCTGGCTGTTGCCTGGCCTGATCTTAGCAAATTTCGGCGAGGACAGGATGGACACGCTTAAGGCAACTGGGTAACTGTTGGAACTCCAGCTCTGGAGGCTAAGCATGTCATCCTGCACTCGCAAAGGATGCAGTCAGAGGGAGCATTCGTCCTTACAGGTGCAACCATCCAAGGTGGGATGAATCGTTTGGAATCACCATTTCGACCATGGAACACGTGTCCAATATTTCTTGCCAGGTCGGACTTTCGGCATATCCAAGTATTTAACAACGCGATGTTGGGGAACATGTGTATACATATATATATAACTAAAAATGATAATCATCACAACAATAGTGAATTATATATATATATATATGTATATGTAGGAACTAATAACACTAATAACACAAAGTTCATATTGTTGATGATAATTTTACAATCACCTTGTATACAAGATGTTTCATACAGCTATACCCCACATAACATACATTACATATCTATACGCAATCCATACATGGAGCTGTCTCAAGGCAGTGAAGAGCGCAAGTGGTGAAAGTGGCAGTCTGGGTTTTGAACGATTCATCATAATTACTATATATTGATGGTATATATAATGTATATAATGTATATATATATATAACATTATATAATTATATATTATACATACCAACAATTTGCTGGGATATTTAATATATTGAGCCTGGAAAACGGCTGGGAAAGTGTTGCTTAAGATGGTTTTAGTGCTGCTTTTGATGACTTTTCTTTTGGGGGGGGGCGAAAAACTGCATGTGACTTCCTGCGGGTTGCTGTCACGCATTGCCCATGTGGGTGTGTCTGAAAATGCGGTTCCCCTGGATCCCCCAGGTATGCCCATTATGAGGAAACTGATGAGTCGAAACCAGCTTTCACCAGTGGATTTGGGGGGTGGGTTGCTCGACATTCCTCGACTGGGTCTTCCAAATTTATGCCTCTGATGTGCGTTCATGTAGATAGATAGAGATATATATATATATACAGGCAGCTAAACCTGAATCAAACTATCAACAATTGTCGTCCTCACCAATCCTATGCCGCCCATTCACCTTCTTGTTGGCAAGATGTTCCGTTGCTGATACCAAGCGATACGACACTCTCTAAGATGAATTGAAGCACCGCCCGGCTTGGCAGGGCAGGAAACTGCAACAGATAAGGGCAAACACGCCAAGCATGCAAAATACACCTGAACAAAAAGCATCTGCTTGGTGGGAAAATAGTCATGGCTAGTCACTAGCTTCAAATCCTTGTCTTTCTTTACAACTTTTGGTGGTTTTTATCGCACCCATCCCAGAAAAAAAACAAACTGAATTTGGGATGACCCCAGGTCAAATGGACACAAATAAGTCTTCAACCACCAAGCAGCGCCTTTTTTCCAACGTCCAGCAGGTGTTTGAATTCAATGCATCCAGGACGGTTTTCACAACTGGATCGTCTAGCTGCTTTGCAGACTGGACGTTCTGGTGAGGATCGCAGTTTACCCCAGGTTGTAGCCTCCAAATTGAAAGGAGTCCCCAAAAGAAACCAAAGGATATAGTAGAAAAGCAAAACAGTAACAGTAACATCATCAAACAATTAGTAGGGAAGAACTGTTCCAATTTGTTGAGACTCTGAAAACTGGAAGGACCATGAGCACTTTCCAAAACTTCACTGGTGCTTGGTTCTGCAGGTCGCTTGATAGCAATTCCATATCACCCAGGGTGACAACTCAGCAATGCGTACAGCTCACAATCAACAAAACAATAGTTACAAAACAGGGCAGCAATGGTTTACTCATCAAACAAACGGGGTGCATGTAAACCATGCATGAGCGGGAAGGGCTCAAAATCAAGGTGCGAATCTATCCGTAGAATTGGCAACTTTGACTACTAAACCATTCATGTGTTGAAGTTCCACAACTGATGTTAAAGCCAAAGCCATGTACGTATAATATGTGTGTAAGGGGTGTGTGTGTGTATGTACAAATATAATTATATATATATAGAGATTCATAATTATAAATATGTATATATATATATATACAACTATATATAATTATATAATTATGTAGAAATAAATATATATATATATATAATTATATATATATATATACATAACCCCATTGGTTGGAGGGTTATCCCTGCAAAGTGACAGGCAAATATGTCGAACAAGCATGTGATGATCTTGTTATATAGCAACCCGTGGCCATAGAAAAGTTGGAATCCTGAAAGTTATGGGGTAACACTTATTTATGATATCCTGGAAAAAAATGTTGACACCACATCCAGGGCAATCGAAGACCAGCTTTGGGATCTTGGATAACGTGGATAATCTTGGTGGCTTTGGGTTACAACTCCTCACCGGCCGTTGTAAAAAACCGTCCCCCTCTCATGGCTTTACCTGGCCCGACGAATCCAGGGACTTGCGGCTTGTTCTCAGTTGGCATAGCCACCATTTCCCTCCTGGGCTGCGGATAAACCATGAAATTCATGCGCTGTTCTTGAAATTAAACGATAAATGTCATATGATTCATACGTATGAAAGTCACTAAGGTGAAATGTCGTGACACTTACGCTTCCACTACCTGGATCAATTATGAGTCACCAAGGTGAATTCTTTAAGGCCCCACTCTGGGATGGCTACCTGGCTAGAACCATCATTTTATGTGTAAGATAATATATAAGTATATAATAATATATATATATATTGGAAATATCACATGCTAACCCATGCTACACTGCGATCTTTTCCCCATCAACTACGCTTGTTCCAACCCTCGTTGTTTGCTCCAGGTTCAGAAAAACATGCACAGCTAGGCAGCTAGGCATGTTTTTTTTGACAACATCAACTGGGGCTAAAGCGGGCAAAATGGCAATTTTAACCGGGACAATGATCAAATTGACATGAATCAAATTGACAATGCTCAACGGTTGTCATGGTTTTTTATTTTAACCGGGACAATGATCAAATTGACATGAATGATAATGCACTGGATTTATCTGGATTTGGGGACACCCTAGTTTTGATAAAGCCGTATCAAACTATGACGCCAAATGCCGCCTGGCATGTTAAGCAGCGCCAATGAACCATCTGCAGCTCAGGACATGGTACAGTAAAGTACAAACTCGGAGGGTTCCTTAACCGCGAAACTCTGAAGCTCCGATAGTCCACTTGTGGCAAATGGGTATGACGAAAAATGTCATGGCGTCTGCCGTAGAGTCTACAGCTGATCTATCAAACATTTTGTTTGAACTTAAGGTCCAGAGATCTTAGAGAACATGTTTGTGTGATTTTGTGTGGAAAACCATATTTTAGTCTGTTCTCCTCCAGTCGAATTGGACGATCGACAGTCCGAAGATCGATATCCATTGGTGGATGGATCTACTTCCAATGTCAGGAAAGGTGTTGGATCCCTTAGAGAAGATGAGAAGCAGGTCTGGGGCTTCGGGCTTCGCAGTAAACGATGGTTGCATGTCTTTGACTCGCCCTGCGATCGCTGTGGTCTAAGACCTGCTGATCATAGTGGTACTCACTGGATTGGAACTTTGGGAAGCTTTGAGTCTCTGGGGACCTGGGCTTGTCACATTTGTGAACAGAAATTCTACGACTGTGATTCTCAACCAAAGGTGTACCCAGAAACCAAGAGAACATGAATATATACATAGTATTTATGAATAAAGAACTTTAGAAACTTCAGCACCATTTTTGGATGTCAAGAATCTTCGCTTTAACACCGTGAAACATCCATGCTCATTGAGACCATCAATACTGAGATGGAACCAGAAAATAATCAGATCTTAATCAGATCGGAGCAACAAGTCATCTTCGGTTCAACCTGCAAACAAGCAAAACATGTCTAAAGTTGGCCTTTCATGGGTATCCTATCTATATGATACTATGCAATTCATGCATGCCTGCATGCACGGATGCAGGTGGGGGATGCAGGTGGGGAGGCAGGCAGGCAGGCAGACAGGCAGGCAGGCGGGCAGGCGGGCGGGCGGGCGGGCAGGCAGGGAGGCAGGCAGGCAGGCAGGCAGGTAGGTAGGTGTGTAATGTATTTTATGTCTGCTATGTCTGCTATATTGTGTTGTGTTATGTTATGTTATATTATGCATGTATATTGATTAATGTAGATCAGTGTCATCAATTTAATGTATTGCAATGCATTGAATCTAATGTAAATCATGTACTGTATGTATGCACTTGGGCATTTATGCATGCGCGCATGAATGTATGCATATGTATATAGATATGCTCATCCATTTGGGCAACAGATTAAGTAGTAGATCAACTACCCATCCAAAGGTTGTCCCATGTTTCCTCTATATATAGCTGGGACAGTGAATGATTTGTTCCCAGGGAACTACAGCCTTTAAGCCACCCCAAATTTCTTGGTTCCCAACTGGTCAATTTTCCAACCCTGGCTGACTGGTCAAATCACCTCCGGGTAGCATACATGATGTACCGTTAACTATGGTGGTAGCTACTGAAACAGAACTGTATATGTGTATACAAAAATTCAGTTGTGAAATGATAATTCACGTTAATCATAGGTACTATACCTACATTGTTATTTGGAGGTTTCCAAAGTCATGTGGGTACCCCTAAATCATCCATGTTATTTTCAGATGGTCCATTCCAAACCATCCAGCTATTGGGGTACCCCCATGACTTAGGAAACCTCCAATTAGATCATATGATATATAGGTTTGGCTTTGACACAACAATGACAGATATTGACCCAGTGATTGGAATATCAATCATTGTAATCATTAATCAACATATCATTAAAACAACATTTTTCCTAACATATTCCAGCCCATTATCAATCATATCATTATCAATCATATCATTACCTTCTAATTTAACATAGACCCTGAAAATCACCATTTGTTAGTTGAAACAAATCTTCCAACCCCGATGACTGCCAGGGTCCCTACTGAGCCGTGGAAGGCATGGCACCTCGGGCTTTGATCCGGGAACCAGTGATTTGGACATATGTCTAGTATAGACGTGTTTATATTACACCAATGATGTATACCTAATGTAGAAATATATAGTCATTACTAATGATACAAAAATGTAGATACATACTGCAATATAGTTATATATGTCATGTTATATCTTATCTATTTACAAGTGTATATAGATCATCAATTAATCATATATTGACTATCTTGAAAACCATTGAATAATCATCCAGTAGATGGAATATCAAGCCTCGCTATTCGATGATGTATCAACTTGTTTGTTGAGATCACCATGAAAATGGGCCAGTACCATGGTCAAAACATCGTACATGGATGTATAATGGTTTATTGGGAATCCTGAAATAACGGTTGCATGCATCCTGATTCTTGGATTAATGACCATTACCCAAGATTGCTACGATTTCCACTATTTATTCACAAAATAGTGATAACCATTCCCAAATGGTAATTCACGAAATTGGCAATTGAAATCCCACTTTTGACCATTTCACATTTATAGTGGATATCCATCCCTGTGTGCATTCTGCAGAGAAGTTGTGCCCACTAAACCGTTTACAAACACAGCCTTATACTACAAAATGAAGCTTGAATCTGAACCAACCCCCCTTGCTACAAAATGGTTTGGGTGTTTTTATGATGGATCAAAAGCCAATGTCGGTCACTACAAAATGACTTTACGGAACCATTTTGTAGTGAAAACGGGTTGCAATGAAAATAATGATTCGCTACTAAATGGGTCATAGCATTTACTAGGGGAAATGCTATGGGGCAGCAAAAACGATCTGAGCGCACAACTTCAGTTTCAATTGATTGGTTTTGAAACCAAATCTGTCCCATTTTTCCTTCTTAAAGTCTCTACATAAAAAGCATGCTTTTCGAACTTTTTGGGGCTTATCTGGAGGGGGGCGCAGTAGGTTCTACAAAAGGTTGTGCACGCGTGTGTCACTACAAAATGCAGTGCATGACACAAGTCATCCAGAAACTAGGACATCACGCATCGAATCTGTGCTTTGTGACATTGTGGGTGAAAGGAACTCTGAGCATGGATTCGTTGAACTGGGGTGAAACTTGACTATTGGACAAAAAGAGCAGGAACCTAGTAGAATGGGATAGATTTAGATTTTATTTAATAGTCGCATGTGATGGCCAAAAAAGGTGTGACAAAAGCACGGCGCAGAGGTTTTGAACTGCAATCGTCAGAGCTATGGGGCAGCAAAAACGATCTAAGCGCACAATTTCAAATTCAATTGATCGGTTTTGAACCAAATCTGTCTCATTTTTCCTCCTTAAAGTCTCTATATAAAAAGCATGTTTTTCGAACTTTTTGGGGCTTATCTGGAGGGGGGCGCAGTAGGTTCTACAAAAGGTTGTGCACGCGTGTGTCACTACAAAATGCAGTGCGTGACACAAGTCATCCAGAAACTAGGACGTCACGTATCGAATCTGTGCTTTGTGACATTGTGGGTGAAAGGAACTCTGAGCATGGATTCGTTGAACTTGGGTGAAACTTGACTATTGGACAAAAAGAGCAGGAACCTAGTAGAATGGGATAGATTTAGATTTTAATTAATAATCGCATGTGATGGCCAAAAAAGGTGTGACAAAAGCACGGCGCAGAGGTTTTGAACTGCAATCGTCAGAGCTATGGGGCAGCAAAAACGATCTGAGCGCACAACTTCAGTTTCAATTGATTGGTTTTGAAACCAAATCTGTCCCATTTTTCCTTCTTAAAGTCTCTACATAAAAAGCATGCTTTTCGAACTTTTTGGGGCTTATCTGGAGGGGGGGCGCAGAAGGTTCTACAAAAGGTTGTGCACGCGTGTGTCACTACAAAATGCAGTGAGTGACAAAAGTCATCCAGAAACTAGGACATCACGTATCGAATCTGTGCTTTGTGACATTGTGGGTGAAAGGAACTCTGAGCATGGATTCGTTGAACTGGGGTGAAACTTGACTATTGGACAAAAAGAGCAGGAACCTAGTAGAATGGGATAGATTTAGATTTTAATTAATAATCGCATGTGATGGCCAAAAAAGGTGTGACAAAAGCACGGCGCAGAGGTTTTGAACTGCAATCGTGACAGCTAAAAACGATCTGAGCGCACAACTTCAAATTCAATTGATGGGTTTTGAAACCAAGTCTGTCCCATTTTTCCGTCTTAAAGTCTCTACCTTATTTGTTTTTTTTCGAATTTTTGGGGGCTCATCTTACCACGAAATAATCGTGAGTCAAGAGCCAAAAATGGTCTGAGGGTCCAAGCTATATGTTCATGTGACCGAGCATGACTGGTAAAAGAGGGCTATAGGGTTTCCGGCACGACACAACGCATCCCAAAATAAATCACTACAAAATGCATTTCCGATTTATGAGTGTAAAATGGAACGCCGCTACAAGATACAGTGCACACCCTTTTACTACAAAAACTGGTGCACTGGTCCATTTTTTTTGCTTGAATTATCCACGAATCAGAGGATGGTACCAAGCACGTGTTCACCCTTTTAGTAGTGGAAATGGTAAGGGGGATGGATATCCCATTGAGCTTCTAAAAATACCCCTGTCCCATGTCATTACTGTATACTAGTTCGTGGATAGCTTGTCTTTCTATGGGTTATCATAATACTCAATAGATTATGTAGTATAAGTCACTATATTAACCAATCAACCAGTGTATGTTCAACGGACCTACGATTTACAAGGCCTATGTACGGGCTATGTAAGGGGACTTGCCACCAAAATATGGGTTTATATGGTACAATACCTCCATCTCAGGGTCCTGAAAATCTCAGGGTCCTGAAATTCCCCCATCAAATCCACAAAAAAATAGCTAAGTATACAGCAAGTCACTAGTTCTTAACATGTTCAACCAATGAACCTGGTTTTTTTAGTTCATGGCAGCCCCTGATCTCACCAACCATCCTGGGCTGATCTGACACACCAATGATGCCAGCTCCCCAGCTAGCTGTTCCTGGCGATATGTCAAATGGCGACTTTTTTGTCCTAGGAAAAATGGCGACAAAAAACGCGTTTGTTTGGGGGACAATATGTATACATAGATACATAATCATATATATATACAGTATATATTATGTGTGTGTGTTCGTGGTATGGTAATAGAAAGCAGCATTTATGGTGTGTGTGTGTGTGTTTAAATATCATGGGAAATACATCATACATATATTGAACATACAGCATGAATGTCTCCTTGAAGATTGTGGACCTCTTGGGGTCCACTTTGGCAAAAAGCTCTTCAGAGGTTTCAAACATACCCTTTGGTCATCAAACATGGCTAATTAGCTGGAAAAAACATATATATATATAATTATATATATATATATATACATATGTACACACAAACACAGAGAGTTTTAACGCAAAATCATCTCTCAAAGTTTGGGATTTTCTGCCATGTTTCATTACCCGAGGAGATTCATGTCCCTTGTCACCAGAAACCATTCTTAAAAACTTGGAAGATCTTGGAAGCAAACTGCAAAGCTACATCCACCCACGGTTGATTGGTGATTTGGGCCCCGGTAATTGCTCGATGGAAAGACTCTGTTTTCCAGGCGCCTCAAAGATCCCAAAGCACCACTGCCAACCACCATTCAAGCAGTCGTTTCAATATACTCTCAGAACTTTCCGACATATCTCCAAAGTACGTCCAATTGTTGTTTCCAATAGATTGGTTTAAGGGAAATTTACAGGAGAACCCATGATCTTCGGGAAAATCTATGGTTTCCGGTTAAGATTTCCCCTAAACCAATCCATGGATTGTTCCAACATATCTCCAGTGCTTCCAACATACTTTGATTCCTCAAAAGGAGCATCGGTTTATACCAGGAAGATGTGAATGCTTGACCTATGGCATAGATGTCTACATCATCATTATTCAAAAAAAACAACTAATGGTATCTATGTGTGGTATCTATGGTATCTTCGGTACAAGTATCAATCTATGGTATGTATGTATATATATATATTATATATATAGTGACGGACAATCACTTCGAACGTATTTTGGAAAAAAAAATCTGAATATTACTGTTTTTTTTACGTTCTAAGCCTTGCACTTAGAACGTCGAAAACCATACACTTAGAACGTCCAAATATCAAGATTCATCACTTAGAACGTAACGGGGATTTAACACTTAGAACGTGTCTAGGTCACTGATGATAGTGGAAAGGCTTGTGAAATCTTTTATCTCTAAGTGTTGGATCCAGCAGCTAATTCCGTAGGAAGCATAGACATAATTTCGTACCATTTGGCTTTTCCCTCCCATATGATGTGCAAATATTGGCGATCTTTTATCTCTGGAACACTATACCTTTTGGTGCTTTTTGGGGGTTCTGAGTTCTGATGTTCTAAGTGTTGGATTCAGCAGCTAATGCCGTAGGAAACATAGACATAATTTCGTACCATTTGGCTTTTCCCTCCCATATGATTTGCAAACATTGGCGATCTTTTATCTCTGGAACACTATACCTTTTGGATCCTTTTGTTGCTTTTTGGGGGTTCTGACGTTCTAAGTGTTGGATTCAGCAGCTAATTCCGTAGGAAACATAGACATAATTTCGTACCATTTGGCTTTTCCCTCCCATATGATTTGCAAATATTGAATTGGCGATCTTTACCTCTTGAACACTATACCTTTTGGTGCTTTTTGGTGGTTCTGACGTTCTAAGTGTTGGATTCAGCAGCTAATTCCGTAGGAAACATAGACATAATTTCGTACCATTTGGCTTTTCCCTCCTATATGATTTGCAAACATTGGCGATCTTTTATCTCTGAAACACTATACCTTTTGGTGCTTTTTGGGGGTTCTGACGTTCTAAGTGTTGGATTCAGCAGCTAATTCCGTAGGAAACATAGACATAATTTCGTACCATTTGGCTTTTCCCTCCCATATGATTTGCCAATCTTGGCGGTCTTTAGCTCTTGGAACACTCTACCTTTTGGTGCTTCTTGGGGTTCTGACGTTCTAAGTGGTGGATTCAGCAGCTAATTCCGTAGGAAACATAGACATAATTTCGTACCATTTAGCTTTTCCCTCCTATATGATTTGACATTGGCGATCTTTTATCTCTGGAACACTATACCTTTTGGATCCTTTTGGTGCTTTTTGGGGTTCTGACGTTCTAAGTGTTGGATTCAGCAGCTAATTCCGTAGGAAACATAGACATAATTTCGTACCATTTGGCTTTTCCCTCCCATATGATTTGCAAATCTTGGCGATCTTTTATCTCTGAAACACTATACCTTTTGGTGCTTTTGGGGGTTCTGACGTTCTAAGTGTTGGATTCAGCAGCTAATTCCGTAGGAAACATAGACATAATTTCGTACCATTTGGCTTTTCTGTCCCATATGATTTGCAAATATTGGCGTTCTTTATCTCTTGAACACTATGCATTTTGGTGCTTTTTGGGGGTTCTGACGTTCTAAGTGTTGGATTCAGCAGCTAATTCCGTAGGAAACATAGACATAATTTCGTACCATTTGGCTTTTCCCTCCCATATGATTTGCAAATATTGGCGATCTTTTATCTCTGGAACACTCTACCTTTTGGATCCTTTTGGTGCTTTTTGGGGGTTCTGACGTTCTAAGTGTTGGATTCAGCAGCTAATTCCGTAGGAAACATAGACATAATTTCGTACCATTTGGCTTTTCCCTCCCATATGATTTGCAAATATTGAATTGGCGATCTTTTATCTCTGGAACACTATACCTTTTGGATCCTTTTGGTGCTTTTTGGGGGTTCTGACGTTCTAAGTGTTGGATTCAGCAGCTAATTCCGTAGGAAACATAGACATAATTTCGTACCATTTGGCTTTTCCCTCCTATATGATTTGCAAACATTGGCGATCTTTTATCTCTGAAACACTATACCTTTTGGTGCTTTTGGGGGGTTCTGACGTTCTAAGTGTTGGATTCAGCAGCTAATTCCGTAGGAAACATAGACATAATTTCGTACCATTTGGCTTTTCCCTCCCATATGATTTGCAAATATTGGCGATCTTTTATCTCTGGAACACTATACCTTTTGGTGCTTTTTGGGGGGTCTGACATTCTAAGCCGTAAGAAACATAGACATAATTTCGTACCATTTGGCTTTTCCCTCCCATATGATGTGCAAATATTGGCGATCTTTTATCTCTGGAACACTATACCTTTTGGTGCTTTTTGGGGGTTCTGACGTTCTAAGTGTTGGATTCAGCAGCTAATTCCGTAGGAAACATAGACATAATTTCGTACCATTTGGCTTTTCCCTCCCATATGATTTGCAAATCTTGGCGATCTTTTATCTCTGGAACACTATACCTTTTGGTGCTTTTTGGGGGTTCTGACGTTCTAAGTGTTGGATTCAGCAGCTAATTCCGTAGGAAACATAGACATAATTTCGTACCATTTGGCTTTTCCCTCCCATATGATTTGCAAATATTGGCGATCTTTTATCTCTGGAACATTATACCTTTTGGTGCTTTTTGGGGGTTCTGACGTTGTAAGTGTTGGATTCAGCAGCTAATTCCGTAGGAAACATAGACATAATTTCGTACCATTTGGCTTTTCCCTCTCATATGATTTGCAAATCTTGGCGGTCTTTACCTCTGGAACACTATACCTTTTGGTGCTTTTTGGTGGTTCTGACGTTCTAAGTGTTGGATTCAGCAGCTAATTCCGTAGGAAACACAGACATAATTTCGTACCATTTGGCTTTTCCCTCCCATATGATTTGCAAACATTGGCGATCTTTTATCTCTGGAACACTCTACTTTTTGGATCCTTTTGGTGCTTTTTGGGGGTTCTGTCGTTCTAAGTGTTGGATTCAGCAGCTAATTCCGTAGGAAACATAGACATAATTTCGTACCATTTGGCTTTTCCCTCCCATATGATTTGACATTGGCGATCTTTTATCTCTGGAACACTCTACCTTTTGGATCCTTTTGGTGCTTTTTGGGGGTTCTGACGTTGTAAGTGTTGGATTCAGCAGCTAATTCCGAGGAAACATAGACATAATTTCGTACCATTTGGCTTTTCCCTCCCATATGATTTGCAAATATTGGTGATCTTTTATCTCTGGAACACTATACCTTTTGGTGCTTTTTAGGGGTTCTGACGTTCTAAGTGTTGGATTCAGCAGCTAATTCCGTATAGGAAACCTAGACATAATTTCGATTCCACTTCGAATTCCAATTTTCTGCAATATTTTAATTGCGTTATAAAAGGAAATTCAATTGATTTCGAAAGCGAAAAAACTAGTCTTTTTATTAAGGGTTTAAATTTATTATTAGGATCCGCTTCGAAATCCAATTTTTGGCAATATTTTAATTGTGTTATAAGGAAATTTACCTGATTTTGAAATCGAAAAAAACGGTTTTTCTTATTAAGGGTTTAAATTTATTATTTAGGTCCGCATCGAAATCCAATTTGTGGCAATATTTCAATTGCGCTATATAAGGAAATTTAATTGGTTTTGAATCGAAAAAAATAGTTTTGTTTTATTAAGGGTTTAAATTTATTAGGGTCCGCTTCGAACTCTAGTGTTTGGCAATAGTCTTATTGCGTTATAATTTAATTGATTTTGAATCGAAAAAACTAGTCTTTTTATTAAGGGTTTAAATTTATTATTAGGATTCGCTTCGAAATCCAATTTTTGGCAATATTTTAATTGCGTTATATAAGGAAATTTAATTGATTTTGAAGTCGAAAAAAATAGCCGCTTTATTAAGGGTCTAAATTTATTATTAGGGTCCGCTTCGAAATCCAATTTTTGGCAATATGTTTAATTGCGCTATATAAGGAAATTTAATTGATTTTGAAATCGAAAAAATAGTTTATATAGCGACGGACAATCACTTAGCACGTTCTAAGTGTTGGTTTACGTTCTAAGTGATAAATGGGCCTAAGTGATATTTTGACGTTCTAAGTGATGAATTTTCCCTACGTTCTAAGTGATGAAATTTTGCTACGTTCTAAGTACGAAAAAAAAAATGGAAAAAAAATTACGTTCTAAGTGATTGTCCGTCACTATATATGATTCTGTATGATTCTTTATCATTCTATATGATTTTATATCGCATCTATGGATATCTATTGATATCCATGGGTGCAGCCACACACAATGCGGTAGACCCTTCAAGACGAATCCATTGCCCCAAGCTGCCCAGGCCTTGGGTGCGTTGCCATACGACATGGTGCGGTTCTTGCCGTCCCTCCTGAGGTCACTGTGACAATCTGCGAGCGATGCAATCTGAAGAATCAAGCAATCATGACTAAACAAAATGTATTAATGATCATTCATGTGCTAAACCCACTGCCATAAACCTATATACGTATATATATATATATGATAATAATTATACATAAGAACCTCTCAAACTTGGGGATGGTTTAGGCATGTTTAGGCTTTACCAGTTTTACCACATCAAACCGACATCTTTCCAAAACAACTCCACGTCAATGGCTGGTCCTTGGGGACGGCGGTTCCAAGTCCGCATTGCGGTTCAAGGTCACGTCCAGCTTAGCGCCATTCCTTGGAAAATCAAACGTGGCTTGCTAGCTAGAAAATCCCCGAAATGGAGGTTTATAGCTGGAAAATCATCTATCAACGAGGGATTTCCCAATTTTGGCAGGTTAAAATATGGGCAATTCGTCTATAAGTGAGGGAGTTTCAATTGCCACGTTTGATTACCGGAGGGTATGTTGCCGCCAATATGTCATAGGAAAGTGATGATGATAAAATCAAATTTGAGATGTTTTTGATTAGTGTCTAGCAATTTAAGATTTTGCCCCATGGAACATCATGTCATCGGTGGTTTCGTAAGTTTCACACCCCCCACAACTTTGGGAAGAATCCTCATATCCCATCATGTTCCTATTGAAACTGCCACAAAATCACTTCAAATTCTCTAACATCCCTCATGTGTCTTGGGAACATATCCCCATTTAGAGCCATTTGCAGATGGATTTCCTGGATTTCCGATTAAGAATTGCCAAATTGACATGGATTGGGAATAACTTCGCCACATTTGTTCTTTAAATAATCATTTATCACATCACATTCCTATACACATTGTGATAAATACAATATCAAATAAATTAATCCCCATGTGTGTTGTTGAAATCCTCATATCCCATGATTTTCCCCTTCACATAGCCAGAAATTGCGATAACATCTCACTAACCCAACTAACGCTCCATCAAACAGTTGGTTTCATGCCCCTTTTGGCTGTTGAAATCCCAATGTTCCTCTTCAAAAATATCCCCTTCAGTCTCAATTTCTCTCGCAACTTCCACTTCAAAATCCATACCCTCAAATTTTCTCTGGTACATTCTGGTACTCCATAGCCTCAGGGTACATTTTGGTGCATTGCTTCGCAACCTTCGCCGTCCGGGCCGTCCAAGGTACCGCCAGCACCAGCAGCAGGGCTCCACGAAGGTGGCCGCTTCCAACTTCTCGGTGCTGGGCAGCTCGGAGCTGCTGAGCTGGTGACCTTGGCGTGACCACGGCTGGAGATCTAACACAACTGGAGCTGGAGATCTGGGGTTTCCCTCTGGTAATGACTAACATAGCTATTGACTATTGAAAATGGCCCATAGAAATAGTGGATTTACCCATTGAAAATGGTGATTTTCCATAGTTATGTTAGTTTACCAGAGGGTAGTGGATCTCATTGGGACAAAAATATCCCATGTTCAGACCCAAATGTTGCAACTTATAGTTAAGCTGGGGATCACACAGGCATTTCAGCACAAAAAATAAGTGGTGTTTTTAAGTATGAAACATAGGGTTCAAGCGCCCATGATTTTTTTTTGTTTGGTGCCTCAATCTGGAATCGCTAGGGTGATGAACATAACATAACCATATAACTAGGATTGGACTGGTAACGATTCTGTGATAACCTGAATGGTTGGGAGAAAACATGGACAGATCAGCCATCCCTAGTTAGAAAAAAACTATATACCCCCAATAAATCAACCATTATACGCCCCATATCTAGCGATCAACAGGAGTATTTTTAATGGTTCAAATGGACAAATGGACAGTTTCATATTGGGATGGGGATATGTATAATATATATATAATATGTTACATTCAGAATATTATATGTGTAATATTGGATTTCAATGATAGAAATGAACCCAATTGAATCCAATTGAGGTATGGTTTTGAGATCAAGTCACCCATGAAATCCCATGGTGAGCTGGTTTCAAACACCAAAAATCGTTGGCAATGCTGACTGGATGTCCATCCCTGCATTTTATATGGCGGTATTTGTTGGTCTTGATCCATCCTCAACTTACAAATGGTCGGCTGAAAATTCAACATGTGGTACCATGAAAGGGAGATCATGTTCCAAAACTAGGCTACAACCAGCCAAACAGACAGCGTTTCCTTGTTGATTTTTTTTCACCATCCCAATTCGGATTAACAATCATATTTGAACCATAGACACATAAGAAAAAATGGGTTCAAACATCGCTATGAACATATGTTTCAAAAGTGTGGTTTGGGGTAGATATCCTGTACAAGTGGTTCTGGGTTGGTAGTTTCCAACCCTGCCAATCAGTTTGAAAGCAAAGAACTTTCGTGCCATGTTTGAACGTGATTGTGTTTTTTTGCGGTAATTTCTTCCGAAAATGTTTATTGAATGGTTTTGGAGAGTCCAAAACAAGAAATCTGATCTTAGTATTTGGGACTTGTTTATTTTAAACAACGGGGTGCTCCGAAAATCTCTCGGTCCCTCTATCACTAAGTCCCCGGACTGCCAACCACAATTTGGGTCCAAAAGCCCTCGGGCATAAAGAGCTGAAATTCCAAGGTCCTCAAGGAGATCCAAGAGATCCAAGAGATCCAGCGTTTAAAGTCTGTTAGAGGATCGTCTATAATGGCACTCTAAGTGTAAAATGTACAGTATATGTCTAGTCTATCTGGAATTAAGACACTGGAAATAGGATTGTAGTTGGCCGAAAGCAGAACATGACCATGGGTCAAAATCCAGGTGCCCGAGTGAATGTTAAAACAATTTGCAAATGTTCATCCACCCCCAATATGAATCAATATGATATTATCGCTTTTGATCCAGACCCATATCTACTAAGGGTTCACTCAACCCCCCAAGGTGAATGCACCAGCCTTTTACCTAGGTCACGCTAGCTGAGTTCGAAAGTTACTTTTCCCAATCTCCCTCCAGCTCAAGGGTACGCGTCTCCCTCAAGAAAACTGGTGTTGCCTCAGATTGACCATAATTATACGGTTGGGGTTTTATATGTTTACAAATATGTATAGACTGCCAGTCTTCTATTTTATTTCATATGGTGCCAGAACTAATCAATAATTGGAGTTGTTGGAACTACAAAGGCTACGTCGCGTCGGAAAAGCCATCGGTCCCGTACAATACAGATTCACCGTTCCCGCGTTACACGCTCAGTGTCTCGCTACGCCCTCAGCACTTCGTTGCTGGCTGTTTTTTTTTGAACGAAAAAAATGCAACCAGTTACATACCCTTGAGCCAGCTCAGTGTTCGACACCATCCTGCCCAATTCATATTATGTACTCGTCCAACACCGTCACATTCGTTCGCCAGCTCACCTTGACGTTACGCGCTCAATTTTTTGGAGTGTTTTTTTTTTCGTTTTTTTTCGTTCGAAAAAAATTGAGCCAGCTCGATGCCATCGAGCTAGAACGATGTGTTTGAGCTAGCACGATGTTGCTGAGGTAGCTCGTTCCACTTGAGCGAGCCTGCAAATTGCTTCCCAGTGTGTTCAATTGCCAGGCTCAGTCCCAAATGATTCGTTTAATAGAGATGGTACCCCTGTTGCAGCCCGGAAATTTAGGAACCACGTTTTGGGCCAAATCTGCTCAGACAGGGGCACAACATTAAAGTCAAACACATGACCCCTTCTGAAATTGAGCCAGCTACATGTTTTGAGCTAACTCGAAAACGAGGAAGATTGTGGACTGCTACATTCAATGAATCCGAATTCCTGCTGCTGAGGCAACATGAAAATAATACACAAAACTGGATGTTTGATGACTGACCATCAAATATATGGATTGCTGGATCAGAACTTTTAACCCTATATATGCTATAATCACTTAATCATACATGTGTACATGATAGTACATATATGTGTGTATATATATAATCATATATATATATAATCATATATATATATAATCATATATATATACATATAATCATAATTAATCATATGTATAATATATCTGCACACTCTATCAATGAAAGGAATATCACAGATACACAGTACCCGCGACCTTTTTCAATTCTTTCCAGGTGATTTCCAACAAATTTTGTTATACAACTGGCAGTTTTCATCATTGAAGTTGCCCTCCGGTAATAAAACATGGCAAATGGAAAGCCCCTATAAATGGAGGTTTTAATCGGAACATCCTCTATCAATAGGGACCTGTCCATTGTCATGTTTTGTTTGTCTAGCGGAGGTTATATTTATAAGTGCAGAATTGCTTATATATAAGTTATAAGTTATGTAATTACTCGTACATAGTCACAGTTTTTTTGAGGGTTGATACCCATGTATGATCCAGTTCTGCTATCGTGTCCATTGTCTTCAGTGGTAAGCCCAATAATAAACCAGCCCTATGGCCATCCCATCCCCAAAAAAAGAGATCTGGGAACATCTGGGTGTGTCTAAAAATCGCAAAAAAATGTTTGGTTATATTAGAAAATCATAAAATTTGTCCGTCTTAAACTTGTCATTTTGGGGATCTACTCCATTTTCAGACACACCCAGATATCATCTTGCTAGTTACATCACCAAAATATTCCCATTAAATGTCCCATTACATCATCCTCAGAATTGATAATTTCCGCAGGAAAGTAGTCTTCTGGGTCTATGTTAGAATGATGCTTCATTAATATTCCAGAAATAGCCCATTAATATCCCATTAATCCAACTATATCCCCAATAATCAGGATTAAAAGCCATAGATATAATGTTGGTATCCCAAATGATTAAAGATATAAATGGGATTCATGGTTAATTGTTGAGATATATCCCATTAATCCCATATAAACTGAGCAGGCTCTGGGCACCCAACTTTCTGAGTGGCAGTTCCACCGCCTCCATGCACAACTGTTCCACCCCGGTAGTGGAGAAGCCACCGCCTCAAGTGCGATAGCACCAGAAAGCCATGGGAATTTTACGCAGATTTACCAAGGAACATTCAGATGTTCCATCCGCTATCATCAATCGACTCTAATTGGGGAATTCCACTGCTATGGAGCTAATTACCAGAGGGTAGCTAGAAACAAAACATGGGAATTCAAGCGCTTAAAAGTGGATCTATGGCAATTTCTCGTTGAACGATCTTATACAATGGTTGTAGATGGTGATTCAAACAGCAAACATGTGGTATAAGTATAAAACAACGATTGATGGAAAAGTCAGGGGATATAATGGGGATATAGTGATGAGGTAAAGTATGATGTTGTATCAATGCCAGGAACATAGTCTATAGAGACTTTGCATGACTTTGCATTATGTTGGTATAATGAATCATTTCATGTAAGAAAACTTTGTGTTTGTAGGCTATCTTAACTCATGTTACTGGTAGAGAAATCGTCGAAATCGTCCAACTTCCAAGCCTTGGTGGCTAGATTTCTGAAGGAGGGAACTTGAGCAAGTCATGGCATGTTTTCAGTAGCAAACAATACCCTCAAAAATAAAATAAGTCCTTGGAACCGTCATTTTATCATCTGTTTAGTCTGAGATATTCTCTTTTGGCGGGTCCACACATATCTAACCATCATGATTTTTGGGCCAGGGGGGTGGAGCAGTGAGTTCGATACCTCTCCCATAGTATCCATTATCATTATTATTAAGTGGGATAGTGATATTCATTATCATCTCACTTAATCATCCAACTTTTAAAAAAATGTATGATCTATCCATCGTATTCCATCGGCCCGGCCCCTCCTTTGAGCGGTTTCAAGATCACCCGAGAAATGCTCAAGGCTGTGGCGGAAAGCCTTGACGCAGAGACGTGCCACCAACAACCAACAACCAACAACTGTAGCAACTGAGGCAATTTAGTAACCAACTATAGCCGTACCGTGGACATTAAATGACAAGCTACAAGTCATAAAAAATAACTGATCTTAAAAACAGGGGGAATATTAGCCAACTCGAATGAACACATACTCATCCAACTCATACAACCACGGTGGGGGTCACCTCTGGGAAGAGCTTGACAGATGAATTCTGATGTAGAGATGAATGGCCTAGTTTTACTAGACATGAGTGACATGAAGTTTTTAGACTGGCATGTTTGCTTGCCATGTTTGATTGCCAAAAAAACATCCCTTGAACAACTGCTGGGCTATTTGGCTTAAACTAGGGAAGTGAGATCACAATGCATCAAGCAGCTGGCAATCTTTCAAACTATGACTGTAAGGTACAGAGGCGCACCGGCAGCAAACAATTGAAACCAGCAAAAATTGAATGCGGTTTGCAGACCATCACATCCTTCATTCCTTTTATTCCTGTCCATGAGTGGCTGGTTCTTTCATCTGATATGGACAGCATCACAAAGATTGTTATTGTTCACAATCCAAACTAGTCCATTCTGGCAACGTCGTTGGATTAGTTGGGATTTGAAATATGGGTGCCAGAAAACTGACCCATTCCCGCATCACTAAACACTTGGCGATTGATCAAAACCCTGGTACCACCGTAGCACTCCGCGAAAAATGATGTTCTCAACGGTATCCATGATATGATATGGTTGCCCCCCAATGTGCAGACACATGCGGTATGCTGTTGGAAGTTTCAACCCAGCCAAATGGTACCAAACAATATCAACTAGGGACGTTTCCCACGGGCTAAATCACCATTTCATATTATCATGCGTTTCTGGTAGCTAAATCCAAATTGTTGTGTCTCAACAGAAACTGGTTGGTGGTTTCAACCCCTCTGAAAAATATGAAAGTCAGTTGGGATTATTATTCCCAATATATGGGAAAATAATCCACATGTGCCAAACCACCAACCAGATAGTGATTTCTCATGGTCATCATTCCATATCATTTCATATATGACTGCCTTATATAACTGGGGCCGTAACTGTACGTACCACTACCTTTCCAGGGCTGGTCACAACCAGTTGCTGTGTTTTTTGCCATTTGCTGTGCGTCTAAGAGTCTGTCTCTTGCTGCTAGTGCATCTGCATGCCCCTTCACATGTGAATTTAAGTACAAAAGACTAGGCCTCGCAAATGCACACCACTATCAATGCCCTTGAAAATCAATTGTTGTGTCTCAAAAAAACCATGTTCGGCAAAAATCTCCAGCCCTGCCGTGGGACATGGCGCAGCCACAAGGCTGGTGGTTCAACCGGGACGAGGAGCACTGCGAACTGCACGATGTGACCCATGGATGGCAGGGTCCCACCCACCTGAGATTCACTGGCGCCCGAAAAAAGTGTTTTTTGTTTAACAAAACTTAAAACCAGAAGCTGGATTTATGTTGATTTATATATATATATATGTGATATACATATACACACAATGTATATATGTAAATATATATATATATACATACGATATATATATATAATACATATATATATATAATATATATATATACATATATATATATTATATATATATACAATAAATATATATGCATATACAATACAATATATATATATATATATTTACACTATGTCTATATATACAATATATCAATATATTTACAATATATCAGTATATATATATACATATACAATATATAATATATATATATATACAATGATACAATTTATATTGATACAATAAATGTATATATGTAAATATACTATATTTAAATAAAGAGATACAATATTGCAAAATAAAACAATATATAGAATATATTTAATAAATATATACAATGTATATATATATATATAACATATATACATACAACATGTATATATATATTTATATATCCGTACAATAAATATATATATATATATACAATAAATATATACAACGTACATATATATATATATATATTTGTAGTATATAGAATATTAATATTTATATATATATATACACATACAATATGTATATATACAATATGTATGTATATATACAAAAAATGTATATACAATATATGTATATATTTACATTATATATATATATATATACAATATATATATATATATCAATTATAAGTATCTATTAAACTATATATATATATGAAATATAACTATATATTTAACTATATATAAATACATGTTTACTATCTATAATATATATATATATATATATATATCCAGTCGGTTTTCGAAATTCATAGTACCAATTTGGAGAAGTTCGCCAACTCCTCCTGTGCCGTCAAAGCGGCCCAGCCAAAGGCCACTTCGATGTCGTCCTTTCCAAAACCTCGAGGTTCGCTGCACGAGTTTTTTTATGTGGGCAAAGCAGTTGATTGATCTCTGTTGAATATGTAGCTGAGGCTAAAATAATCACCACACGGCTTGTGATATATTGCGATAATCCCAACAACACCATATTTTCCCTTCAAACTATTGATTTAATATTGTAGTAAAGCAACAGGATCCACCATCCACCACCAATAGTATAGTTATAGACATACACCTAGAACACTATTTGGAAAACAAAAATCACAAATTCAGCAGGAGATTCTGTTCTAAGTATACACTTAGAACACCCACCAAAAACATACACTTGGACAGGTGTTCTAAGAGGTACTTAGAACACTTTGGGGCAATCTATGTGTTCAAAGTGTAGGTCCGCAATTTATATTAGGAAAGGATTGGTACAGCCTTCAGCAAGGGTTAATAGATATATAGATTATTAATGTGGTAAACCCAAAAATAAACCATCCCATTAAACAACCATTTGGGTCGCCTTGTTTGGAGGTCATTTTACATCATCTCAAATAGAGCTATACCCCATATTATCCAATTTGAAATATCTTTTGGGGATGGGGGTTACATATCACTTCAATGAGGTTATGAGGTTATATACTTTACAATTATTGTATTTTATGACTACTATATAGTGACGGACCTACACTTAGAACACATGTTGGAAATATAAGATGTGTTCTAACACGTTTCTGAAGCAGTTCTAAGTGCGCACTTAGAACAGGTTCTAAGTGCGCACTTAGAACAGTTAGGGGTAAATTTTGAAGGCAGGAGAAAGGCGTTCTATGAAAAAACGGAAAACAATGTGTTCTAAGTGCAGGTCCGTAACTATAAACCATCTTTGTGGTTCGTACATAAAAACCATCAAACTATTGCTGGTTTTGGTCATTGCCTTACTATCGTTACTGTGGCTGATCATGTTATTTTGCACCAGTTGGGAACTATTAGGGGGTTCCTATGAAACCATGTAAATAATAAGATAGTAATGGGATGTTTACTACCTACCAGCTGGTGCAGGATTTCTTCGTCCAATAGTCCATAGTAATAATAAACATCCCCCAGATACTAAAGAAATACTCCGGATGTTTATTGTTTGTGTGGGTTCGCATTACGGGGAAGGGTTTATGTACATTGGTCTCAAAGTAACAATATGGAAAGCGACCATGGAAATGGAGGTACCATCATTGGAAGTCCCTGCAAATTCCATGGAAATACGCCCAAAATTTTGAGGTCGAAATTTCATCGAACAATATAATCCATGGCGGTTCTATATCTAACACCGCTTAGATTGACAGGGTGTCACACCCCAAGATTCATCAGATTCTGGGTCAAACTGTCCCAAAATTGGCCATGGGTTGCAGGGACACTTTGGACAAAATCGGAAATCCATATGCCCAGCCAGGCATCTTGGTCTGATCACCGGCTAATCGGCTAACCCGCTGACGAGTAATCGCAGGGCAGTATGCAATAATATATATATATATTATCGATATATATATATATAACATTATAGAACAGTATATACCTGCAGTATCCCGCAATAAAGGGGCTTTAAAACGACCTATCCAACTTACGTACCCAACTCATGAGGTTTCGTTCCGCCAAGTAACAGATGGTGCCCTGAAAGGCTCCCGGCAACTTCATCCTCGTCGAACCTATCGGAGCTCAAAATGGGCTAAGTTTTGGGGTTAACGTTGGTAAATTATGGACCGTGCATGGAGCGTAGATCGGAATTCGGACTTCCCACGTTGATCAAAGTGGGTCGTTGCATATTCATCCCGTGTCCAACCCGCTAATCCCTTCACTTGGGTCTGTCTGAAGATGTGGTAATTATGCTGAATACACCCGACTTAAAGCCATTGTTATAGGAAAAATGATGCTTTCAACTATGAAAAATGGATCGAAATGGCAATGTTCATACGGAAAGTGATGATTAACCAACCGTGATAAACCATGATAAACCATGATAAACCATCAAATTTGACATTTTCCCATAGTTTTCAGGTACCAAATCGGCAGTTCTTTTCGCACTTTTAGACATCTCTCCAGGACCAGCCTGCAGGGCCCAGGGTGACCTTCTCGGCTCCCTTGTAAGCACCTAGGATGCTCAGTGAGAGAACATTGACATTGAAATGGTGATAACTCAGTGATAGCTAATATCATTATATGGTTAATGATGGGCTGATATAGTATTAATATAACATATAACTAACAGGTGATAACATGATTGTATGGTTTGTTCATGTTTATGTTGAATCACATGATGTGACATGATATGAAATAACTTGATGTAATGGAATATAAAACTACATGATGATAATATTAGAGATTCCAACTGACTCATGGTATTTGTTTTGAATAAGCTGATACTTCCACTGCTCATAGGGTTTCAAGCTGTTTAAAGAATAAAATGAAGAAAAACAAACTGAACCTACAGCCACTAGCGGATCTTTTATTTGAAAACCAACTCCAACTTCGCAACAATGACCTGTCTTGCAGCTCCAAGGATTCTGATGATCGTTTAGCCTCTTTGGAAAAGACTCTCCGGCGGATTTGTATCATAAGACTTGCTGACGACGAAAAAACTTGTGGTTTACTCTACTTCAAATACACTCCCATATTTGGTTCAGATATTTGGTTCAGAATGACATGAATGACATGAAATCCCATACTTGTTCACATGTGCTTTAGAATGACGTGAAATCCCATATTTGGTTTGCCTGAAGATAGGCTAGCCCGTTCCATCCAACCCTTGAGAACATCATTTACTCATTGAAATAACCCTCAATTGAGGGTTAAAACCTCCATGCTTGGAGAAACTCATATTATCGTGTGGTTGGTTTATATCCCAGGATATTCCTATATCATGGTTGATTTACGCCCCCATTTAATTTTCTTGCTTACATCACCACTAAAATCTCCTTTATCAAATTTAAATTCCCATTTTTCTTGCTGAAATCTCTAATAATGTTTACTTGCGACGTTGAGACCGGGATTCATGGATCGTGAATATTCCCCATGACATTACTGAGTATAATCCCCAAACTAATCATCATTTATCGCTGATATTCGCATATGTTTGATACTCTGAACCCCATAATCCGTGCAAATCCATATCCAGTCCATCAAATTCCCTATAAATGTTGTAGATGATGGCTAAATCACCTTTATTCACCTATGATATTCATTGATATTCCTCCACCAGTGGCCCTTGTTTTGTGAAGACCTCCCCTTGGCCCCCCGGCCACTCAGCTCGGCGGCAGCCAACACCAGCCCCAGCTGGCGTTCCGACACATCCCGGGACCTCGGATCCGTGATGCGTGGTTTTTATTGGGATTCCAAGAGATTGGGAAATCGTATGGAATATATGAAATATATCATATGGGATATATGAATCATATGGGGAATCATATGGTTTTTATTGGGATTCCAAGAGATAGAGTATCATATATGGAATATATGAAAAAACATACATACATATATAAATGGTTGTTGGTCAAAATTCCTTTATCCCAGAACGGCCATTCTTCGCGAATAAAAATTTTACTTTCGCGAAACTTTCGCGAACTCCATGTTTATCTTTCGCGGGGCCCATGTTGGCCAACAACACCTCTTATGAAGATTCGTTCACCACCTGCCAAATTACGCCAGAGAATCACGGATCACTTCTTTGTAGCCTTTTAAACATGCAGCTAGCATCACGGAATCCCTTCTCAGGACAGATTTTTTTTGCAAAGTTTACTGGCCCACCCCCTTCAACATGCACTTTGACTTTCGCCCGCTCTTTCGCATAACTTTCGCGGAACTTTCGCGAAAATATCCCTATTCACAGACCCCGGCCATCAGCAGGGGGTGGACTGAAGGAAAAGCGAAGACCAGGGGCCTTGGTGTTTGGCTCTCGCAAAGCCTCACTTTTGGATACTTGGCTACTGCTACTCGTATTCTCTGGTGCCCTTCTCCTGCCGGACCCCGGGCGGCAGTGGGTGGCAGCCCTTTACATATAATGATTATAATACCCAACTTTTGCGAAACTTTCGCGAAATAAAATTTTACTTTCGCGAACTCGAAACAAAAAACTTTCGCGAGGGTTTCCAACATAACATACACGGCTTTCGCAATTAAAACTCCTTACAAGGACCTTTAGATCGATCACCAAATAAGATATCATCTACCCATCCAAAGTTAAACCAGTGGAATATATCATCACAACAGGAAAACATGGGATAACGGGAGCATCTAACAGGAGAGAATGGGGATCATCACTGGTGATCGCTTATGAAGTCGAGGCGCTGGATGGGATATTGATAGTGTTCCAAATGGGAAAAGAAGCAACCTGTTACATACATTTTTCATGGAGAATCAAAATTCCCACCCTCAGAACAAAATATGATAGTTTGCACCTGGTTGCAGCTGCAAGAAAGAGTAACTTTGAAGCGAAGAAGAACGCGCACGCGTGCGATTTCACAAAAAATCGCAGTGAGAAACATCATCAGATACATTCATCAAAATATATGGATGATAAAATCCATATATATTTTCAACAATTACATCAAAATTACATAAATATCATATCATATATGATATATGTATATATGAAATAATCAACATGTATACCAGGTAGTGCCCGGCACGCGCCGGGGCGGAAGTTTCGAACATAGGACGTGACTATAGGAAACGGTTTGCTTATAGGAATTCTTGGTGAGTTGGAAAGAAGTGAGTTGAAATGAAATGAAATGCATGAAATGAATGGATTGAAATGAATGAACTGAAACGCATGAATTGACTTGAAGGAATTTCAATAGGAATTGAAATGAAATGAAATGAACCATGACTCCACCCTTTGCAGAACAACCACGTGTCGGAGCTGCAGGAGTGTGACAAAAAATAGTAACCTCAAAAACGTAGGAGAGAGAATAGGTTGGCGGCATTTTGGTGAAGCTGTCGCTTTGTTCCGGCTTTTGGTCCTCGGTTGAACATCAGTGAGCCATTCCTCAGGAACGATTTCCAACGCCACTAGCTTCTGCCCATCATATCCCAACTGCTTGTAGACAGTCTGCACGCAAGGGCTTCGTGAAATGTGAATCAAATCAAGAATTTGTTTGTGGAGAGGGGGAGAGATAGCATACTGGGAATACAGAAGAATCCAATGACTACATGACAGCAATAGAACAAAACCTGCGGAGCAAATCATTCGCCAAGGAGCAAGAGCTTCATCGTAAGATTTCCCAGGGATAACAGCAGACGGGCCCAAAGCATCCAGCATTGATTCGACGCTGTCAAACGCCACCCGTCGCAAAATTTTACACCGCAGCCTCTCCTGGGAACACCAATGAAACACTAGCGTCTGGTTCTCCTGGATCTTCTTGGAAAGGCGCCAAATAATCTGTGCATAGCGGCGCTTGATCAACAAAGACATGTGGAAAGAGCAGCGAGAAGGAGCAATGGCTTCAGCTGTCCCCGCCTGCTTGAACCAGCAGCAAACAGGAGTTCACACTGGCAGCAACTAGAAGAACAATGAATGATCAACTACATGAATGCCTATCCCACGCGACAACAACAAGAATCCTGAAAACGAAATCTTGCCACAAAGCCTTGCGAGGCGTACGAGTGCGGCGCAGCTTCTACATGGACAAACCATGCAAGACATTGAGGGAAGGTTCTAGCAGTGCAGCTGCCACCCGAAGGCAATTGTTTTCGGTCACTGCACACACTGGAAAGCGCCGTATTTCAAACAACAACGACGACGACAACGACAAAGAATCACTATGTCTCACCGAAGCACTGCTCTATTAAATCAACGTCAACATGAAACCTTTCCAAACAAACCTTGAAGAGAAAATACCTGGACCTATAAAGCAAAAAGTTGTGAATCCCCATTCGACGCGATGCCATGGACACTTTTTCCATCACTGTGTCACTGTGCACACTGGATTCAGCAGCGTTAAAGCGGTAAGACATAGATGGCCGCGTAGGTGCCCCGGCAATAGATGGGTGGATCGTACCAAGACAGCAGGCGAAGCCATGCTTGCCAATTCCGCATGGCACTCCAACTCGCACCTCCCTGCCGCAGCGTCATCATGAAGGCTCCCACTTACCGGCGAATGCATATTGGCCGAAAAGCGAAATGAAGCACGATGTCTTGGAGAGCGGGGGGCAATGTCGCAACACGCTCATCACGTTGCAGTCGGGCTTGCAGAGTCTCCATGGACTCCAAGGATATGCGAGGGTTGAAGAGCCCATCAATGAAAGAACCAAGGAATAGGTAGAATGGGAAAGTGTTGCGCTGAAGCATTGGATTGTCGTCTTCACTGCCTGAGTCGAACATGTCACACCAGCGCATGCAGCGGCCCACCATTTCGGTCATTGCAATCTGCAATGGCTTGGAAAGACACTTCTACGGCAGTCGCCAAACTGACAGAGCAACATGAACAGCGGCAGAACCAAGAACTATAGGCCGAGCTTCATGCAATGAAACGCTGCACATTTACGACTTCACAGCAAATTTGCCTCAAAGCCCAGATCACTGCCAGAGTCCTGACGTGAACAGAAATACATAGCTGAAAAAAATGAAATGAAATGAAATGAAAATGAAATGAAAATGAAATGAAAATGAAATGAAAATGAAATGAAATGAAATGAAATGAAAAGAAAATGAAAATGAAAATGAAAATGAAAATGAATGAATGAATGAATGAATGAGGGAAGGAACGAACGAACGAACGAAAGAACGAACGAACGAACGAATGAATGAATTGACATGAATGACTTGACATGAATAAATTGAGATGAACGAATTGAAACGAATGAATTGACATGAACGAACTGACATGGATGACTGAATGAATTGAGATAAATGAATTGAAATGAAGGAGTTGAAACGAATGAATTGAAATGAATGAATTGAAATGAATGTATTGACATGAATGACTTGAAATGAATGAATTGACATGAAGGAATTGAAGTGAATGAATTGAAGTGAATGAATTAAGATGAATGAAATGAGAAGAAATGAGAAGAAATGAAATGAAATAAAATGAAATGAAATGAAGTGAAATGAAATGAAATGAATGAGTTAAAATGCCAGAGCAGAACTAATGTGGATGTTGCTTGAGTGAATGCAGATCAGGTCCAGTTGGCGACATGTGTCCGACTTGTCCTACATGAAGTTCGGCTGATACCAAGACCTATAGCGGACCTAGTGCGTGCAATGAGCTGGGCACCCAACAACGCATCTGCTGCTTGGGCACAGATCGGTTCCTTGAGTTGGGCACCTTCGACTTATACAGGGAGGAAGCCCTGGGCAACGGTTTGCAACAGTGGTACAGGATCTGTCCCATCATCAAGCGCCTTCATTCTTCAGCGTCGTTTAAGTGAATGGTCGCACTCAGCATTGTGCAATCAAGGTGCTGGGGTTGGGCGCCCATGGCTGGGAGGCTGAAGTTGCGCACGTCTGAAGGCGGGGGCGATGGGTTGGCAACATTAAACACGGCAGGTTCCAGTAAGTTGACAGAGACTTTGTGGGGAATGCCATTGTGGTTTTCTAGTTGGATTTTGTACATACAGTTGGGCGCCTATGACACATATGTTGCGCTGTGCGCCTTGGGTGCTTTGCCGTTGGCCACGGTAGTGTTGCAGTTGGGCACCCTGGCTCTCGATTTGGACACCGAAGAGTCTTGTTTGGTTCCAACTCGCGAACAGAGTGTGTGAGCCGGGAATGTTATCCATGTTCTTTTGGAGTTGATGTCCTGTAGCGAGACACGCATCAAAAATGAAATGAAGTGGATACCCTGCATTGCCTTGAGGTACTCTAGGGATTAGCAAAGAAGGACAGCGCAGGCATCGATTAATAGAAGCAGCTGCAGCTGTAGCACCTTTCAGCAAAATATATGAATCCTGGGTCTGGAGAAACCATGCGCGCCTGCTTCAACACAATTTTTTCTACTGCGAAGAAAGGGCTCGTTGCTTCGAAAATGACCGCATGGTTCTGATTTTCGAACCATTGAACTAGAATTAAGTAATGTTGGCTTTGCAGTATGCCCCACTGACTTGAAGCATCCACGAAGCAGGTCGTGGACTTCCAAATGTGCTGCTGCATGTCATTGCGAAGTTTTTCCCGGAGTTTCCCGCATTAGTATATCTTTTCCGGGGGTTCCAGGAGATTTTACAGCCACAGAAAGCGACAGCCACATTTATTCATTTCTGAAAATGAATGAACTGAAATGAATGAGTTGATATGAATGACTTGAAATGAATGAGTTGAAATGAATGAGTTGAAATGAATGAAATGACATGAAGGAATTGAAATGAAGGAATTGAAATGAATGAATTGACTTGCCAAAAGTGGTCTGAAACCTGCTTTTTCTTACGCGTTTTATGTGATCAGCTACTTGGTGATGATGTGGTTGACATATGCGCATTTTGCCGACCTCATCTTCCAAAAGGGCTCTCGGACCCGCAGTTTTTAAACATGTTCAAGTGGAAATCGAGCTCTCGCTACAGTATCGTGCACATTTTGTCGACCTCCTCTTCCAAAAGTGCTCCAAGCCCTTCAGTTTTCTTAACATTTTCGGTTTTCAAGTGGAAATCAAGCTCTCGCTACAGTTTCGTACACTTTTGTCGACCTCATCTTCCAAAAGTGCTCCAGACCCGACAATTGTTACGTTTTTTTATGTGAAATCGAGCTCTCGCTACAGTCTCGTGCACCTTTTGCCGACCTCATCTTCCAAAATTGCTCCGGACCCCTCAGTTCTTTTACGGTTTTTATATGAAACCGAGCCTCTCGCTACAGTCCTGTGAGCTTTTTGTGGACCACTTTCCCCGATCGAGCCGCGCACCTGCGGAAACAGAGACCCTCCTTCGGCGACCACGGCAGCCACGATACCCCCAAAAAAACGGGGGTTCGCGCCCGAGAGTGTTTTCAAGCCTGAATTCACACGTTCCGAACTCTCACAGTTCCAAACTACTTGCATGATGATGTGGTTGCCATGATGATTGAGGTGACCGTCATGGAGAGAAAGCTAGCCATGACAATCGTTCGTAATTCGGAAGTTTCCTAACTAAACTTCCTTTGATAATATAAAATACAAATATAATATCATATTTAATATAATATAACATCTATATAATCTAATAAAAATATAGTATAATGTAGTATAATATAATATATTATAATACACTATAATATGATATAATATAATATAATATGAAATAATATAATATAATATAATACAATATATATATACACAGTAGATACAGTCGAGGGATATCCAAATCCTGTGCGTTACAATATATAATTTAACCCAATCCAATGGTTGGTGGTTGAGCCATCACACAACAAATGTTGACTAATTGGACAGGGATCATCATCTCAATCATCTCAGGAATGGAAACAAACGTGCATCCTCGGAGGGCCTACTGCATCTTACTGCTACCCATGAACCGTCCACAATTCCAAAGACCCCAAGAGTCTTATCATGACCTCATAGCATTTTATATGAGTCTTCGAATACCAATAAGAGGAATGGTTCATAGTCATATGGATATGAAGCAAAACCTTGGGACCGTACCCAAAGATAGCTGGTTGATGGATGTTTATTCCATTTTATTCCCCTAAAAAATGTAATTTTCCAGGCTTTGACCCATCCCTTTTTGTTGTCTCATGTTGATCCACGCTAGGAATATCATCTGGAGCCATTGCCAAACCGATCAACAGCGTCCTGTCTGCGACCCAGAAACATGGCCATCTCGCGAATCTCGCTGGACAAGGCCTGATTGCTGTAGAAAAACGATGTTTCTCCTAAGAAAATGATCTAATGGTGGGATTTCCATATCTACAGTGCTTTAAATGTACTGGATTTACTGGAGAACAGAAAGCCATCAATTTCCATCCCTAAACAAAATCAGTGCTTTCATTTTTTTTTTTACGCATTGAATGGGGGCACCTATAGGGACATAGTGGAATGGTGATACGGGGTGACAACAAGCAAAAAAGATTCCCCAATCCTGTTCCTTGGACAATTTCTGGAAAACAACTTCTGTGATTAATGTGATGTGTGTAAATGGGTGTTATAACCCGGTCTAAACATATATAAACCATCAAATTACATGAGTGGTTTATCATGGTTTACCTGTTGCTTTACAAACATTTAAATCAACAACACACCACCCCGAGAACGCCAGCGCGGCACCAGCTTCTCAAAATGTTCCGCCGCCATCAAGGTCGCTGAGCCATTCAAGTTGGACCTTGATCAGCAGCGTGACACGTTCCGGTGCCATGAAACTGCCATGAAACATGACGATTTAACAAACAAAGAACTGGAACTCAATGGAATTTCTTACACATCTAAGAATCTAAAACATCTTAGAAGAAAAATGGGGATGAAACAGTGAGAATGATGATAATGGAAAAAAACACATACAATGGAATTTCAGTATCAAAATTAGTGACTTCACTGGTTATACCCTCTGGTAGTCAGAGAATTTATGGCAAACCATGTGCTTGAAATCGGAAAGTCATCGATCTAAAATGATCTAAATATATCTCTATAAAATTCTATGGATATTTCTTTGACAATTATCATTTTCGCTTCGCAACTGTTGTAGAAGGGCTTCACCACCAAGCTTCACTACCCCAAGTTAATGACTACCCTTCGCTAATCAAACATGGCAATGCTTTCTGTCTTCCCATCACAACATATGATAATGTCCATCTATAGGGTATTTCCTGTTGCAATGTTTGATTGCCGGAGGGTATCAATCTTGAACTGTATCAATCGCATCCTATGGCTTCAAAATAGGCCATCATTAACCCTCGTAAAGGTTTACGAAATATAATATATTGTTGCTTCATGATTAATGCATTATTTTGACAGTGTTTAGCAGCAGCACGAGGTCGTGCTCCCAAATTTTCACTTGGGCCATAACCTCCACCAACTATAGATATCAAGCAAACATGATGGCTATATCACCAAAAATCAACCATATCATTATAGCAATATCACCAAGATGCTGACTTGTTGATATGGCTATAGAATGTTAATATTATAATTTCCATCAACCATATTCAAGTGAGCTGTGTTTTTTTTGTTGTCTGGGCCCTTATACTCCTGTGCTGCCTACGCTGCTGCCTACGCCGCTGTCTACGCAATGCCTACGCGGCCACAGTGGGAGCCTACGCGGCTCATCCCTTTGAAGGTGTGCCTACGCAGGCCCAACGCCCGTGTAAAGCGACGCCTCAATGTACGTGTTTGCCTACGCCGTCACACTTCCGTTTGCTTTTGGAAGGTTGGAAACGGAACTTTTGCCTACGCGACCACAGTCCCATTCACATTTCTGCTAAGTGGGGTGCCTTACGGCACCCTGCACTCCCTGCAGCAGCACGAGCGCCCAGGCTCCAAAGCGCCCGTAGACATCTTGCAGCCACACCCATGTCACAATGTGCAGCAGCCGCACCAGCAACCAGGTGCCAAAGCGCACTAAACATCTGGTGGATAAATCATGATAAATCACTGAAGACTCAGCTAGTAACTTTTGACTATGCTGGAGTCAAGCCAAGCGACGTGTTCGACTGTCGCTAGCTTGGTGAAGGGCAGTTCTGGGCGGTTCAATGTGTCGAATATGGACTGGTGCGGACATGGGCTGGTGGTCAGTCCGGGCACCCGAGCCTACGCGGTGCCTACGCGAAGTCTACGCGAAGCCTACGCCTGTTCCAGGGGTCTCCTGGCAGGAATCTGGTGAAACATTCCTCTTAAGCAAGAGCTAATATGGCCCATCTAGCAACAAGCAGGTGGAAAGCGAAGAACATCAAGACGGTTTAAGCTGCTCCGCTGCCTTTGTATAGCTGCTCTGCCGGGCAAGTTCCACGGTTTCTTCATATAGACAACTATCCATGAATGAACCCGGTGCCTTTGAACCTTTTGTGGATAACATTGAATCAATTTTAAAGCGTGAGATTGCAACGCCGATCATGTACGAGCATTTGAAATACAATGAAATGTTGCCTACGCGAACCAGAAGATATTTGGAACCTTGAAAAATGCCTACGCCAATCCTACGCAATCCTTACGCCAGCCAGGTAAAACCACACCAAAAGCAACATCCAGTTTAACCTCTATATAAACCCTTTTATATAATAATAAAAAAAACGTAGCTCAAGTCATCATCGTAGAACCACCAAGGTTTACCCGGTAGGCATACCCTGAGCTCCCGCACTGCACGCGCGAGAGGTTGGTGGTGGTGGGAAGCAAACCCTTCGTCAACGCTTCCAAGGCCTGGCACAACGCCGAAACTGTGAAACCCATTGAAATGATCTGAGATCATCGTGGCGGGTTCAGCCGCTCGTTTTGCTGGTTTATCCAATAATTCTGGATCAGTAAAACATTATGCTGGTAAGATCTGGAAAAAATATTGGCAGCTATTCAAAACAGCTGGAATTCATATGGACTTGTGGACGTTCTTCCAAAATAATGGTTAAAATAGGTGTTGAATGGTGTTGATCCATCCCCTACTGATGCATCCAACATTGGGACGTATCGATAGTGGCGTCGATACCACAACTCGATGGATGCTGGGAGGAACATCAGCCATTGTTTCAACAAAAATTGTGATCATCCCCGTTTGATGAATGATTGTTTCCCACACAAGACTGGCTCATTGGCTCAAAATACTTGACCCAAAAAAACAACAAAATCAGCATGGGCTCATAATCAGAATACAGATTGCTACAGTACACAATGTGGCCAAATTCATTGGTCAATTGCTACCCTCTTCAGCGATCATGACCACAGAGCATGCTAAAGCTGGAGCGTTCAATGGAACTACTGATACGTGCGATGTATCTGGATCCATAAATATGTGTGTATATATATATACTGTATATATTACATAACCATTTTTTGCCCAATGGATCCAAGCAAAAACCTGGATTTTATTCACCCAATTAGTGAAATGATTCTTCAATTTAAATGCCCATTTGATGACGGGGACTTTCCAGCCAGCCATGGATGGGGGTCAGACAGATCGATACGCCAAAATTGGCACAGATCGATACAACAGAAATAGGAAAATCCTATGGAAAATCCTTCAAAAAATGGCCACCAAAATTTGTTAAACACCGGCTTGATCCTGTTTGTTCCAAGATCTCGCAAACAATTTCTGCAAACCGTGTAGGCTAGGCATACAACAAATCCATATAAATCCATCACCTATTCCATTGGGCATCAACAAATGCCCTTGAGGAAAGCCCAACAAAATCCACCAACATCCATCATCAATAACTGGTTGGTGGTATACCTATGCCTCTGAAAAATATGAAACTCAGTTGGGATTATGAAATTCCCAATATATGGAAAAATAAAAGCCATGTTCCAAACTACCAACAAGTCATCCATAATCAATCAGTGACTAATCCCCAAACGAATCCTCAGTGACTAATCCCCAGATAAGCATGTCATATGTTCCGGAAAACCCAATGGGACAAGCCGCCAGATTGTCTAGGTAACTCTCCCAACCTCATGGGAGCGGATTCGACATGGCGGACAAATCATCCATTGAAATCTAGGACACTAATATGTACATCTCATATTATGTATTTTATACATATTATTATTATGTGTATGGTATATATATATATATTATTATTATATATAACTTATCGTATTTTAATGCCTATACTATATATTCTATATGGATTCAGCTTCAGAGGGAGTATTGGGGCATAATTCAAGGGTATTTCGGGGATGGAGTAGCTTCTCAGCAAGTAGTTGATCACTTAGGCCATTGCAAGGTGATACAAGTAAGATCAAATACCCGGCCTGGTAAACAAACAAAAAGCGATCGAAAATGGCCATAGAAATAGTGGAAACCATTGAACATGGTGATTTTCCATAGTTATGTAACAGTTATGTAACAGTTTACTAACAGTAAACTGGATTTACCAGAGGGTAAGTATTGGTCTTCGAGTTTGCATGACATTTGCTGGTCCCCAAACATCCCCAAACACCTTTCCGAGGCTACGGATCCCAAGTCTTTGGGGAATCGATCCGATTGGCCATTCCGGCCATTCCACTACTTCACCGAAAAAGACCGCCACGAGATCCGGGCTGCACCGTTTCTGGTGTCTTTCAAAGTCACTTGGGCTTTTCAATTTCGACCAGAGTTGTCTGGAGCCAAGTCTCAGGCTTCCTAGTACGGGTTTGTCAAAAACTGAGGTTTACCATGATTTATATACCCTGAAATTAATTACATGAAGTTACCATGTCCCTGGTGGAGAATCCATTGAAAATCCAGGAAATTGGGTGGTATAGTGTCTATATATGCCCCATTTTCAGACCAACAAAAAACACATCACCCGCACCGCGTCACACCGGGGGCCCCCGCGCAAGGCCCTTACCATGAAAAGTGCTGCGCGGGCAATGAAACGCTCTTCACCTCGATATTGGACGCAGACCAAACGGCACAAGGGAACCGCAGGAGTATAGCTTTGTCGGTTTTTTTCTGAGGGAACCAATATTCCAGCAAAATGATGATTGATGTTGGTTTTTGTTCAGACTTTTCTATTTTATTCCAAGATCTTAATATTATGTTCCAAGGAAGCCTAGATTTGTTATGCAGTATCCTTCCATCCCGGAAAAAAATAATGCCACAACTTGCTACATTGTAAGAATGTTGAACATACTTCATATACGTTTACATACCCATTTTTTGCCTTGTTTCTTTCTCAACCATCCATTAAAGTGGCCACAGATTTAGGCTAAAACAACCATGTGTATCTGATCATATCCACATTGTTTCTGGGTTAAACCGTCGTTTATGACCATCTATGTTCATGAAATTTCATGAAGTCCGGAAGACAAACAATAAACATCCGCAAAATCATTATCTATCATTGACAATACTGACAATCATCAATACACACAACGAAAAAGTTTCATTGATGTTTGGGGTCTAAACAAATTTCATCCATGTGATTTTGATAGAAACAAATCATCATTCAACAAAGACCACGTGAACCATGCTCGACGCCCTCTCTTATTCCATCAGGATAATGCCCAACTAATATAACACATAACCAGTGGGTTCATCACGCAACCACCCAACCCAAGCATCAACCAACTTCGGTCTCCTTTTCACAGTTCTATCTCATGAAATAGGTAAATTCTGATAAATGATCATATAATTCACAAACCTGAATGCTTGATAAAGCTTCGCACACTTTGGGGATAGTTGCCCAATTTGTGTTATCCAGACGATATCCAGATGATATCCATATGATATCCAGATTACCCTCTGGTAAACTGTTACATAACTATGGAGAAAATTACCATGTTTCATGGCTAAATCAACTATCAATACGATATAAATGGCCATTTTCAGTAGCTATTTTGACATAACCAGAGGGTACATCTCCAATCCGCCATTTTTGCCGTTGATCTCCATGGACCCCATCTGGCCCCCCATGGCTGGCCCGGCGCTAGGCCCTGCTGCGGTGGTCGTTGTGCTCCGTGTCCGGCATGGTGACCCGCGTGGCCTCGCCCTTCCAACCCTTGCGCAGCAGCTCCGAGTGGTGCGGCTGAACGAAGGCATCCTCGCGAACGAAGGCATCCGAAGGTCATGGAAATATGGCAGTATGTTTTTAATGTAATAATATAATAAAATATAATATAATATAATATAATATAGTATAATATAATATAATATAATAATGTAATATAATATAATAATGTAATATAATGTAATACAATATAATGTAATATACTATAATATAATATAATGTCATATAATATACTATAATATAAAATAATAAAATATAATATAATATAATATAATAAAATATAATATAATATAATAATGTAATATAATATAATGTAATATAATGTAATATAATATAATATAAAATAATATTATGTTTATCATTGTACTATTAGATATATAATTATATAATAATAAGTCTATATACGTTTATATGATATATCAACCCGCCCCATTTATATACAATATTTATCCATAGACCATGATAGTAAATTTCTAGCACCCATTCACAGCGCACCCATTGATGGTTTATTCGAAGAATCTTCCTAGAGCAATAATAAACCACACCCAATTTGACCATCCATGGGTGGGATTCTAGATTCTAGCCATATGGATCCATATGGATGGTTTCTTATTGCTTTACTATAGGGGACATGAGGGGACATGATATCATGAACCATGAAAATTCAAGGGATATCGAAAAAACATCGGGATTTAAGCGACTAATAGTCCCATCCCCCAATCGGAATATTGAAGTCAACCATCTACATTTTTTGAGGGAATTGTGTATATTTGTGTATTATAACTGGATAAAAAATAATGATAAATCATATTTTAGAATCCCATCCCCTGATGATATTAAGTACCCCCAGACTATATAGGCACCAAAATAAACAAATCCAATACCAAACCCGGGTTTTTAGTCGGGTGTCTAATGTCCAAAAAAGTCATGTCCATCGCACGAAATATTGGTTGGCTGGTAATTATCTAGTTTGTTGCTTTTTGGGTTTCAATGGCGTTTGATATTGCTGCAATAATCACCCGAAAAAAATATAATCAAATCTATGTTAGTTCAGTGAAGGGTACTAAAAAGCTGTGAAGCATCTTTGGCTGGAGACAAGCTTGAAATTTTCAGCTAGAATTCATCAAGGTCATGTAGGTTGTTTTGTGGGAAGCAAGAATCTACAGTCCATAGGCATGTCTGAAAATCGTGTATATGCCCTTAAATCCTCTAATCTATAATTTGGGGATATTGGGTATACCCCATATTCAAACAGGCCCGCATCAGTTTTACCAGCACGGCTACGCATCACCTTCAACTTGCAACTGGCTTCGGGATTCAGGAGCTGCACGGTAGGAATCCGATGTCATGATGGAAAGGCCATGTCACCGGTTCCGTTTTCTGGTTCCTTTATATCGCAATCCAGGGATATCAAACCCCCAGTCGATGCCGAGTAGATGCCCAGTAGCCCCTCTTCCCCCCCTCTTCGATGGTCCGCTTCTCCGTGCAAGAAGAAGATGGGCAACTTGGGATGCTCAAATCAGTGATATCCAGGAATCAACAATCACCCAGGGAAAATTGGGAGCTGCGTCCAGAAACGGACCACGTTTCCGGAATAGACGATTGACATTTCTATATTTTAAATATCATCAAATCATTGGCCAAAACATGTTATTTTTGAAAAATGTAAACTCATTATTGTATGATTTCTTTGCAAGTTCGGGTTTGTGCGTTTAGACTTTGAGGCTGCCACAAAACAACTGTCCAGGTGCTTCAGAGGAGACACCTGAAATCGGCAAAATGGCGGAAGAGTTGATGAAAACACCACATCCAGTCAGTATAAGTTTGTTTTATAAACCCATAAGATCATAAGATCATAGGTTACATAAGTTACCCTTAAGTTATAAGCCAACTTAGCTATCGTTTTGGGGGCCTCACCTTGTCACCTTGTATCTGTTTGTCTGCTTCCTTTCTCTTGAGTCAAAGATAGTCAAAACCAGGCAACGCGAGGTGTCAGAATTTTCGCCCTCCAAGGGGGGTCCGCCTCGCTTTGGGCTCCACTAACCAGGTGCATGTTTTCGAGTAGAAAATATATAGAGGACTTACAAATTTGACCATATTTTCAGAGGAAATTTCAGGGCCCTAAAATGGAGGTACTGTTCCATTGTATACAAGGCCATATTTGGTGGGGATATTCCCTTGCATACCCCTTATAAGCCTTGTACCTGCAATTTAGGTTCCTGAAATGGCCATTGATCTTTGGTAGTAAGCATGCCATGCCTTTCTTGCTGGCCAGTGTGATCCACAACCACCTCTGGTGGTCTACACCCCACGAAAAAAAAAATATGTTTGTCTGATAAAAAGTCGAGCTGGAAATCACAGAAATTCACAATGTTCCAAAGCATCAACCATTCAAACACCAATATCATCAGCTGCCAATTTTGCCCTGGCTATACTCTCAGTGTTGGTTGCTGAATCCACCAAAAGTAACACGTTGAAATCGCACAACCCCAGGCCTCACAAATGTCGAAGCCCGCCTGAAGCCGGGCACCAGGCTATGCACGTGGCTACCGATGATTATGTGCCATGGTGAAGTGAGATGGGATGAATGGGTATGGTCATTCCACAATCACATTCAACCACCAGGAATTCTATGGAATTCTTGGCATTCGTAGTAGAGTAAAGCAATCATAAAAACCATTCATATATGTTGATGCTTATCTTGATGGTTTACTGTTTCATTCATATCACTCGTTTTTCAGGACCCAGCCGCAGCTCAAGTCACATGGGATGAATGTGGAAAATTTGAAAAAGGTCATCCCACCATTGAATTCTAAACATGGGTATAGTACCCTGGGGTAGGCTAACGATGTGGAAAATGACCACTTGTAACCTATAGATGATTAATGATGATTACCTAACAAACATATGGTGAGTTTCATTGAATTTCCACATCTATGTTAGTTTAAAACAGGGTAAGCCCAGCTGAACATGGCATCATCGGGGGATGACCATCCACTTTGATGGCATAAACCATGCAACTTGATGATGTCTTGTCGAACTCTACGAAGGTTGCCCGTTACCGTATCATCAAACATGGTGGGCCGCTGGGAAATCTCTGCACGACGAAAAGTGGAGGCAAACAAATGGTTGGGAAAATCATCGAAACCATTATCGGCCATTGCCCTCTCAGAGTCTATATCTTCTCAGGGTCAAAGTAACCATTATCTTTAATCAGAACCATAGTTCTAGCAATTTCTTGCCCATATTCCAGGGCCAAACATATTCCATGCCAAAATAGCTGGGAAATTTCAAGGAATTGCGAAGACCCCTTTCAGGTGAAATTTGTATTTCATACAGTTTGCCAAGTACTCCTTTTCTTCTGGCACGTATATTGTCGACTGCACATGTTCTTCCCCAAAGAAGACCCTTACTTTCAACAATTTCTGGAAATGTCATAATTAATAATGTTGAGCTTTCCAAAAATGGATTAATAATGTTCTTATGGGGATTTGTCATCTACACTTTTCAGGATCTCAAAACCCAATTCATAAGCTTTCAGCTTATGTTCTGCCACGCTTGGCTGGCCTTTCACCAGCAGCGCCATCCCCATCTTTCTTGTGGCCCCGCAAAGAGCTCTGCACAACAGGATCTGGGAACACAAATCATAGACGATCCTGTCTTCTTCCGTGCAAAATAATTCCACCGATAGAGTGCAATGCCACCCCTGGAGTGCGCTAAGTTTCTGGAATGCGAAAATAAAACAGTATGCGTGGCCCCCTTCAACCTTCCCCATGGGTCCAAAACCATTTGTTTTTCATCACATACGAGTACCAGAAATTTATCACACTCACCCTGCTGAGCTGCTGGACTCCTTTTTTTTGGGAGGGGGGCAAAATGGCCTGGAATGCGATAGTATGTGAAACTACCGACGTCTCAGGTGGGAACCCCATCTTCCCCAGATTCCAGAATATGTGATTCCAGGCCATTTTAGCAAAAAAACGAAAAACATAAAAAAAAAAACGAAAAAAAAAACGCTTCATTCACCGAGTACGAATTTTTATGGAGTGCGCAGATCTGGCCGAGCGCGATGATTTGACAGTATGTGTACCTCCCCAGCTGTGGAGTGCGATGCCCTCGCTGGAATGCGAAGAATTTGTGGAATGCGAAGAATTCCGAGTATGCGTGGCTGGTATAGAGACCACATTGACATAGGGAAATTTCGGGGCCAGAACCAAAATTCCAAACCCAAAGCCAGCCCAAACTTCCAGGGGCACACCAGTGGGTTCTACTTTTCCGAGTTCACCTTGGGTGAGGCCCCCGAGAAGAGACTGGCTAATTTTTACTCAGCCAACCTTTAAAAACGTTACCTTTTGACAACCCTGTCCCTCTTCGGTAGACAAATGAGGAAACTCCCTTATCAAAGCAGCCTTCAATTCATCCAACGTCCACAGCTGCTTTGGAACGACATAGGGGATAGAAAGCTGTGGAGGGGCATTCAGTGGACTCGCCATGGCCCAACTGTTCCCTCCAGATTGAGCTGAAATGCCTATCAAAGTAACATACCAGAACCCAGGTCTGGAGTACGATGAAAACATGGTATGCGAAGATTTTCTGACTATGGGAATGTTGCCTCTAGAATAGTGCAATATTTTGTTTTGCGGAAAGCAAAACTATAGTAAATAAAATATAAATAAGGGTCACACACATATATATATATATTATATAGTAGTATGATAATTTATAAAATGTCACTTCAATTATATATCATAACACCGTTTTGGGGAGTGGTTTCCCCATGCCAAGAGCACCCACCAGACTTGTCGCAACGAGAATGGCGCAACTCCGGCCGCCCTGGAGCCTGCTGCTGAATCGCCAGGCGGATCCCCTCGAAAACCGGACCTTGGGCTGCAGTTCTTCACTATAATGGATATGTTCATGAGTCACTTAACCAACAAAATGGTGATTCAATGGGATTTAAGAGGATATATTGATGAAATGGGGATATAATGGGATATACAATGCACATATATATATAATATCCGGCCTTTGGGGGTACAGTTGAGTGTTGTTTTTTTTGGGGGGGGTTACAGTTGAAGTTGTCAAACATGTGGAAGCACATCTGAATCACATAGCCTATGCGAAGAGCCTTCGCCAAAAAAAAAAAGTAGCTGGTTTATAGCTGCCTACGCTTGTGGCTTCGCGCGGCTTCGCGCACCAACAAAACACTGGAGAAATGCTTTCGCGGCAAAAGTTGGATCAGCACTCTCGTCTAAATCTCTGCATCCCAAAAAAAAACGTTGCTCAGTTTGGTTTATAAATAGGTGTAACCATGGTTAAAAACCTCCACAAGTTGGGATATAAGCCCAACGTACTATGGTGAAATATAACTTAGTTCACTGCAACTGCACTTCCAGGAATATCATCAAAGAAACTGCATGGTGTACGTAGACGTCGATGGTCCACGCATATGTTACGTCGACTATTGGATACTGTGGGGGAATGGATATGAAATCTTGGGCATATCGAGGGGATACATTTACGCACACCAGACTGGATGATCCCAAAAATCTTTGATGGTCTTTGATGGTCGTTTATATACCCTTAAATTACTCAGATTTGAAACCCATTTTGGGGTCATTGCCCCTGCTAGCAATCGTTTTTTAATGACCTCACTTTGAGGTCGCTATGTTTATATATATATGGGCACATCTGAAAATAGAGTATAGCGTATAGCCATGAAAGTGTCAGCAAAATGGTGAATGATTATGGCGAATCTGGATTTCGGGATAGCCCATTTTCAGACCAACCCATAGTGCACAAAGATTCTGGACCAAAATTCACAAGCCGCCACGGGTCAAGTGCTACCAGTTGTCACCAGTTCCCCATGAAATATTGGGTCCCCGATCGGCACATGATGTCCGGCACCCTCAACTTGGAGTTCACAATCTCGCAAGAGCGCAAGTGTTGCGACATGTGAAGAGTTCGCCGGACAATCAGGAATGAAGAGTGACAAATTATAAAAATGACCACTGAATCTACTGAGGTATATATCCACATATTAATGGATTATAATGGTCTTAAAAAATATCATCAGATAAATCATAATCAATCATGATAAATCCGAATCCAATCCACTGTAGTCCATACATGTCCCGTCACAAATGTTTTTTTTTCCCGGTTCTGAACCACCAACCGTACTAACACCACCTCAAGTTGGATCGGAAAACATCACTAGCTTGGGCACTGGGAAAATCTACAGGATACTTGTCGATTACCAAAATGTAAGGGGGCCGTAAACCATGAAGAATTCATCATTGCCACGAGATTCCCGGATTAACTAATGGGACGTTATCTGTTTCAAGTTTCAAGATATATAAAATATAATAAAGTTTTATATGATATGATATGATATAATATTATATAATATATTATATAATAGAACATAATAATTATATATTATAAACACAATATATTATATATATATGATATAATATATATGATAAATATATATATATATATATATGATATAATATATATGATAAATATATATATATGATATAATATATATATATATGTATATATGATATAATATATGTATGATGATATATATAATATAATATATATTACATAATCTATATAATATAATACAAATAATACACTACATATATATGATATGTAATCTAAAATTTGATATGTGTATATATGAATATAATAATATATAATATTATATATATATGTAAATGGATATAGTATTATATATAATATAGTATTATATATAATATAGTATTCTATATAATATAGTATAATATATAATAATATTATAATATAATATGATATAATATAATATAATACAATATAATATATAATGATAAATAAAATCTGTATATAGTAATAATATAATATTATAATATAATATAATATCATATAATATATAATATAATATGATATAATATAATATAATATTATATATAATATAAAATAATATAATATAATATATATAATATAGTATAATATATAATATAATATTATAATATAATATGATATAATATAATATAATACAATATAATATATAATAATAAATAAAATATGTATATAGTAATAATATAATATTATAATATAATATAATATCATATACTATATAATATAATATGATATAATATAATATAATATTATATATAATTTAAAATAATATAATATAATATATATATATACCATATTATAATATAATTATATATTATATGATATTATATGATATTATATGATATGATATAATATGTTATTATATTATATTATATCATATTACATTATATTGTATATTATATTATATTATATATATTATATTATATTATATTATATTATATTATATTATATTATATATAAATAATAATAAATATAATATAATATAATATAATATAGTATAATATAACATAGTATAATATAATATAATATAATACAATACAATATAATATAATATAATATAATGATAATACAATATAATATAATATAATACAATACAATATAATATAATATAATATAATAATATATATATATAATATATTGGAATGTATAGATAGCATTATACAGCTAATTCTGTAAGAATACCTTCTCCCTACTGTCAAATACCGCTCCTTCTAAGAAAGCATGGGGCCCAGTCGGGGCCCAGTCAGGGATGATTCACCCTAAGCATCTTCCCTACCTCCTTCATGAGGTTCCAAAGGTCGCTGAAGGGGCTGTCCGCCACCTGGCGTGTAGCATACGCCGCGTTGCGTATCACTTTTTTCCCCTGCCGATTCCACTGTATTCCACGTCGAAGAAGCTCAAAAACCGCGAGTGACGAATAATTCCATGTGTAAGTGCAGTGTTGTTTTTGCTGATTGGAGCATACGTACAATCAAAAAACATAGTATATTAATTAACACATAATAACATATATATACTGTATAAAGGGAATTTGTGTCATCCTTTGTCTAGAAATTACTGTAGAATGCTACTAAATTGCCCACCACATCCCACCACTGTATTTTATTGTATGTTAATCAAGACGTAGAATTTAGTGTAAATAGATACTCAGTTGGACTACTCCAAGAGTCTATGAAGATGTTGTTTAAAAAGGCGAATGTGTGAACTGACAGACTAATTGCACGTTTACACAAAACATAATTCTGTAATGCACATCTTCCACTCTCGATGCATGGGTTGCAATGGATAATCTCAGGTAATACGTACTCGTAGTTCAATATGTTTCAATATCGTAATTTCCTAACAACACCATTTAGATCCATTTAGAACCTATTTCTAGATGATGTTCATATTCGAATTTGTTTTCTTAATGGCCATGATGGATTACCAGAAAGTAAACCTTCCCATTTCCCCAAATCATCGGCTTCAGCATTAAGCATCATCAAATCATCCTCTCTTGCAGGCTTTCTATTTCGCTATCCATAAACTTTGCGATAGTGACCCATACCCATTTCAAGTGGGGATCCAACCATGCAACTCATCGCTCCCATCCGGGCCGGCATGTCACGGCCTCACTAAAGGTGACCCCCGATTCCAGCATGAGTGCTTGGTGTTTCCTTCCAGCATTAATAAACCATAATTGTTGGGGGGTCTCTGAATCCCCATATATATATTCATATATATATATTCATATATATATATATATTCATATATATATATTCATACATATATATTCATATATATGTATGTATGTATATATATATATATATTATATACAGTATATCCATATATATATATATATATATTGTATATACATATATACATATAATGTGTATATTGTATATATAATGTATATATGTGTAGTTATAGTCACCGTATATCCCTTTGTCACCGTATATCTCATTGTATCCCCACTATACCACCATTTTTGTTGGTGAGATCAATCATATTTTTTACGACTAACCTTAACTACCCAATTGTCATAGTGTTATGTACACTTACATACACTTACATACATTCAATTATATCCCCTATTGTACATTATCCATCATCATTCCACATTATATCTGGGAAATATATCCCCTATCCCCACATGCGAAAGATGTGATATTTGCCTACAAAACTGGGTCTAAACAGGGTTGGAGAATGTCCTTCTTTTGAACATAAACTATCGGGTATATCATCTCCAACAAATATAGAATGTTATATAATGAATGTTAGAACTTCTGGGGATATTTCATCCAACAATCCCCCCCGGAGAGCTTACCGCTTACCCCAACCCCGCAAGCTTTGTCGGTAGCATCACCCCCGCCAGTGAAGGGTCGCGCGCACTGTGGAGGACCTGGGCAAGAATAGTGACAGCAACATGACCCGCTGAAGGTACATATGCCACCATGGAGCATATGATAGGGAATGGTAGGATATAATTATATATATATATATGTGTATATAGGTCATTTGACAGGATTTGACCTGATCTAAGTTGCTTTTTAGAAAACGTCCTGAGTTATTTGACAGGATCCGGATCAATAAAGTGGCATACGACATTTTTCATAACACCAAGCATCATCGGATAGTCACGGATAGTCAATTTTTTCCAACCAGAGGCGACCTCATGACATCTATAAGATTACAAGCATATGGGATCACGGCATAATCCCCTGATTTTCAAGTTCATATGGAGGTGTCCTATAAAGATACCATGGGATACCCCTAAATCATCCATGGGATACTGTGTTGTTTTTTTCTGTTAGAAACCATCCAGCTATTGGGGTACCCCCATTATAGGAAATCTCCAATACAAAATATTTAGAAAACATAAAAAGCTGTCACAGTGCCGAAGTCACGGCCGAAAGACACGTTTTCCATTCTGCCAACTTCTGGCTGTCTTGGGGGTGAGTCATGGTGAGTCGACATCGGCTCCAACTGCGCCAAGTCCAGTGAAGTCCCAGGCTGGCCATGGCATCTCGCAAAGTCCCCCATACTTTCTGATTGGTGGTTTCAACATGTTTCAACCCATCTGAAAAGATATCGGTCCTTGGGGGTTAGCGTCCCATTTCTATCAAAAAAAATGACACCGCCAGAATGCTGTTGAACACCCATCATCACCATGGCCATCACTTCCAGGTCTCCAGAAAAATGGGGGCTGATAATGAAGCCATGAAGCCCGTCTTATAGGGTTTCTGGCTGCACATCGATAGAACATAGTGTCCTATCATAGTGTTTAAAACGAAACTCGTCTTGTTGAGTTTCTGGCTGCAAATAGCAGCTAGCACATCGATGGAAGAATGATCCGGGACAGCACAGACATAAACTTGTTACAGAGACTGTGCCGTCCAGGACTTGGCCGGGGAAACCTGTCCTTAACAAACACTCCACACGAAACAACTTTTTGCATCCCGTTGTTGCATCTATGTCATCAAACTAGATCAACAAAGTTTACAATGAGACAGGCAAGAGGGCCAAGATGGGCCAAGAGAAATCCGGTGCACATCTGATCCATCCCTTTTTGATGGCATTCGCTGGCCTCACACCTCCGCTCACAATCTACTGCAGCGCACGAGATGTGGAGAATTGGCCGGGAACCCCTGAGGGCCCCTGCGGAATCGCCAAGTCATGGTCGACATTTTGGATCTTTCGCTGCAGTGGCACGCCCAATCCAACACCAAGACCATCATCTGCGAGCCGAAGTGCATTTGGAAAGCGCATCAAGTGCGAGGCTCTCGGAGGCTCTAAGGCCAAAGCCCTGATCGAGAGCGGTACTTTGCTATCCATGCTGAGCTGAGCGGACTTGGCTTCAACTTGGCTTCAACTCTTCAAGGCGCAAAGCGAAAAAGGTAAATGGATCGGTTTTGAGCATCCAAAAAGGCTGTGAAAAATAGATCAAATATGACAAAATAGCACTGCAGTGCTCCAGATCAAATTCATCTGACACGATGGAAAACATCAATAAGCTTGCTTGAAACATTGAAAACGCTTCTAAACAAGTGAACCATTCGTGCCCGATTGGCATGGATTCGTGCCGCCACATCGAGGGGTTACAGAGTCATCCAAACCGGGCCCCCACAGTCACAAGCATGTCACTAGCAAATCATCAGCCGATTTTCCCCAAATTTCAGGTATAGCTTGAAGGGTCCAGGCTATACTTTGCAAAGGGTGTTGGGAGAATTCTCTGCCATTGGGAACATCCAATAAAAATGACCGTTTTGCGCATTCTCTTCAGAACATATGCCTTGTCAATGCGTCAATTCGAGAAGATTGTCATCCCAAATAGGTCTGAAAGAAAAAACACAAACTATGTACACTTTTACGTGGTGAAACACCTTCATATCCATATGTTTGCTACAAACTCACCACATGTCCTTCTATGTTATATAAATCATAAGTCTAATAATAATATTGTTTTATATTATGGTGACATATCACCACCTATACCAAAAAATAGATGTTATATATCCGTCATATCCATTCCTTCTCATAGCAAACTCCCCACTGGATGCCGAAAAGCGTAAAACCAGGATCTCATTCTTCCGTGGGTAAATTATAGTCACAATAGTAACTCACTAACCTGAAAAGTTCGGCCATGTGAGGATGATTCTCCTCTACATTCATCTACATTCACCATGATTCCAGGGATTGGTCGTTAGATTTTCCCACGATCCACAGGCTTAACCCTGGCATCCCCGGCCGCGGTGGTCGCCCCCATGGATCTTCCCCAGACACCCACCTTGGCCACGTTTGGCCGGGATTCACCGCGGTGATCAAAATCCCTATGTTTCTCCAATAAAGATGTAATGTGGTTAAAACAATGTCAAAAACCATCCCCCAGTCATCACCATTTTTATAGGTGGTATAAATATAAACTTCCCATTCCCAGTCATGGGTGGTTTATGGCATTGTCTTACCCACATTATAAAGGTTAGTAGAATCCCCGAACTGAATATCATTCTCATATAATCAACTAATCACATATAATTCATATCATATAATCGCCAACCAGAGTTTTGAACACTGCTAAATTTAATTCATATGAGTCAGAAGGGTCTCTCTGAAAATGGGGATACCACCCAACAAAATTTCCATTTAAGTGGAAACACCATGAAACATTGAGGTACCCTAGTTTCAGACAAACCCAATTCAGCAATGTGTTTGTTTGCGAAAAAGAGCCGCAATCTTTGAAACATACATGTTGAATGTGGTTGATTAATATGGGTAATGCATGAAAAATAATCTCCCGCCGATCATATCAAACAACCCCAAAACGAAACCCTAATGAAATGTGCATGTATATATATATATAGGGGTAAATTATAATATTTCACTAACCTGAATTAAGGCCCATTTGGGGATGATTTCCCTTATTAACTATGATTCCAGTGAGGTCGCAGTGAGGTCGTTATAATTTACCCAGATATATATATATAATTATATATATATATTGAATCTGTTTCAGTGGGGATACCAAACATTGCGGGTCTTTTAGGGAGAAGAGTTTTTGTCATTAGCCCTGGGCTACTCCTAATAGGCCTACTCCTAAAAGTTGCTATCCTTTCAAAAAAAACTTAAAAAAATCCAAAACATTCTGGAAAATTCAAAAAAAAATAAAGAAACAAATTACCAAAAAAAACAATCCAACAATTCAAAAAGAAACTCAAAACCTCAAGAACACTTTAATTTTAAAAATAATCCAAGAAACCACAAAAAAATAAAAGAAACTCAAAAAACTAAAAGGGTTAAAGAAAAACCAGTTGAACAGAAACAAAAATCCACACAGTTCCAACAAAAATGGAAAAAATACACTCGAAAAAGGAAAACAAAGAAAAAGAAAACAAACAAAATGAAAATAAAATCAAATAAAAATATTAAAAAACAGAATAAAATAAAAAACAAAACAAAATCACAAACAAAATAACAAAAAAGTCCAAAAAACAAAAAGGTCAAACAAATAAAATAAAACAAAACAATAAAAACTAAAAACTAATTCAAAAAAATGAACAAAAAAACAACACACAATTTCAAACAAAAAAAGAACTTAAAAAAAGAAAAACTATATATATATAATCCAAAAACAACCAAAAAATACAAAAAGAATATAAACAAATGAAAAAAAAAAAGAAAATCATTTGAAATTTATCATGTTTTAAAGTATTTCTTTAAAATAACCTTAAAAAGTATGAATGAAACATAATTATGTTGAATGAAAAATAATTATTTGGAATGAAATGGAATTATGTGGAACAAACTTGTTTTTTTTTGAATTAAAATGAATGAACAGGAATGTTCTAGGAGTGTCCCTATAAGGAATGTCCCTCTCCATAGAAAAGATTTTGGTGGACTTGGTGAACAAAGTGAGGACTTACATGTCTGGTGGATTCAGATTCATTATGAAGTCTATTGGGGTGGTGTGCGTGTGTGTGTGTGTGTCAGTGGCAGTACATCGAAATGGATGTTTCAGTGGTGTTGTTCAACAGGCCGTGGTGCACTTGGTCGAGTATTCTAATCAGGCAAGGGTTGGCTTCTTCAACGGACCACAGTAGTCACCATGTCATCTCAAGTTTGATTCTGTCCTTACTGCAGTCATCCGCAGGCAATCAATGTTGCATCGATTGCACGGCATATCTCCACTGTAAAATTTAAAGAGATTCCAGACATCCACATCCACCCTCAGCCCTATATCCACAAGCACCTCGTTGCTGAAATACAGCAAATTATTCTAGAAGAATGGGAAAAAGTACCCTAGGCGCTTTGGTAGACGTTTACATAACTATGGAAAATCACCATGAATATAATAGGCAAATCAACTATTATACTATTTCTATGGGCCATTTTCTATGTGGCAAACTGTTAAATTACCAGAGGGTAAATCACCATCAATTCACTATTAGCCATCAATAACTACCATTAATCACCATAGATTCACTATTAATCACCATTTTTTAATAGGGTACATCATAACTAAGTCACGAACATCAACCACCAAGATTTGGCGGTCCCCACTCGGGTGTAGGCCCTTCTCTCCCGGAGGTTCTGGATGACCTGAGTGACAGGGCCGTCCATCGGCAAGACATTTTACAAGAAATGATTGGCAATACTTGATGTAATACATATGTTTTAAAAGGAAAACAAAAAAAAATATGTACACGATAATGCAAGTAATAGGTATATATATATATGTATTTATAATATATAGTCATTCTAGGGGATATCATGTGGATGCGACCAGCAAAATAGTGCGGCGCAACTATGGAATCAGGGTCCTATTCGCATCGACCTGCGGTATACCTAGAACAGCGTGTAGGTCCGACCTCTTGTTTCTTTCCAAATTCTACATGTGGGAAGATGATCTAAATCAAGGTTTCTCTCAGAAGTCTGGAACTCTGAGAAAAATCTGCCCTAAACAGAACATCGCGACAAGCTTGCCCGAAAACAATACCGAGAGCATACTGCTACAAATCTTCGACAGCCACTTCGTGGTTTCACAGACTTCCACCATATCATCACAGATGATGGTCGCTGCGTGGAAAAAAAAACGATTCCATGCTATCAATTCCATGCTGTTCCACCAACACTTGGTGGCTACCACTAGAATCTACCACTCCTATGGCTAGTGCAAACCCTGAGGGCACATGAACATTCAACCCCCATGAGAGAGGTTGTCCCACATCATATAATTAGGTTTAATACCAGCCTTTTGTCAAAATTTGTCAAATACATCCCCATTTTTTCCTTAGTTCAGTGAAAAATCACATCGACTTGAGTCTGTGAAAACCAAATCTTCTCCTACAATGTGAGGCCCCCAAGATATCTAAGTTGGTTTATAAATCTAATAACTATGGTTTATGGTACTTATAACTATAGTTACTGGGGCTTATAAACCAACTTATAACTGGGGGGCCTCACATTGTAGTGAAGCACTCTTCCTGTGGGATCTGTTTCTAGCTGAAATCTCCATCCCCATCTGAATCGCCACGCGAAAAAAAAAAACAGGGCGTCCCCCACGGACGCCAAGTCATCCCTCTCGAAGAAGCCCAAGGACACGTACTCGCCGCCACTCATGCCTTAAGGCTGCAAGCTAATCATTAACCCATCACCAATATATCGGAAATATCTTCATATTGTGATGGAAGACGATTGGCTGTAATAATTGCATAATGACATAATAAAGGAATTATAATTGGACAAATTAGAATGGGATACTAATTTACATATATATATATCGAGATATTGGGATAAGATTGAATGGTAAACTAGTGGGATAGATTTCATATTTCTTTGGATATTCGGAGATTGGGATAATAAAGTGAGAATCATAAGATAATTTTCATCGAGTAGCATGGGATATTGAAATTATTGGGATATTGGATGAGAATGCATCAAATGAGCATAACATGTGACATTGGGATATGTGGTCATATGGGTGTGTCTGAAAATAGTGTACCCCTAAACCCAATGGTTTTGCTGATCATTATCCCTATTAAATGGCTATTTCATTGGGAAGATTAACCCTATTTTCACACAAACCCATATGTATATATATATATATACATAATCCCGGGATGTGGAGGGCTAATCTATAGAGTGCTCAAGCCGCCAGAAACGCCATAAACCTAGCAAACCTGGCCCTAAACCCAGATTTGCCCAGATGGGGCTGACCAAAATTGTCCATGCTAAAAAAAAGAGGTGGCTTTCATGTACTAATTCATAGTGCCAGCTCATTAGATCTTACCTTGATAACAAATCCTCAATATAAAACCTATCCAAAATCAATCCCAAGTCAACTCATCAAGGGTACCGCCCATGAGGTGCCTTAGCACTAATTAGAGTTTGACCCTGAGTAAAGCTACTGAGTTTCCCCCTCCTGCTGATCCAGAATACTAAATCCATGAAATGAATACTAAATCAATACTAAATCCATGACAGGAATACTAAATCAATACTAAATCTATGACAGGAATACTAAATCAATACTAAATCCATGGCATAAATACTAATCAATACTAAATGAATACGAAATCAATACTAAACCCATAACATGAATACAAAATCAATACTAACACAATTGTTGGATTGCTTATTTTTTTGAAATTGCATTTTATATTATCATTTTAAATTGTGGTAATTGAAAACCAATACATACAAACAAGTTTGATGGTGGCTTTAAGTTTAGGGGCAAAGAGGGGGGGGGCCGTTACCACCATCGGCCTGATCCAGAGAAGTCGAAGCAGCACACAGCGATGTTCAAAGGCAGGAAGCAATGAACCTAATGAAACGGACACATCATGGAAGCTGGGGAAGCTGGGGGGGAAGAGCTTAACCCCCAGATTTTTGGAAATTATAGAAAGGTTTATTGTAAACGAAAGATAAGGTGACATCATGAAGATATAGAAACGTATAGAAACAATGAACCCCACTAATAAACCTTTAAAATCCTGTCTATATCTTGCCAACCCCAAAAAAAACACACAGCAGGTTCCATGATTTCAGCAGGCGCTGATATGCACTGATTGCCAAAGGTCAGCCAAAACATTCCAATACCTCTGACTTCAGCTTATCTCCAGACCTGCAGAATTAGAGTATGTCTTGAAGCTTCATGGATCGTGTTTGGCGGGCCACCCAAAAAGATGCAATGCTCAATCATAAAACACAATCAAAGCTAGTGGACAAATTACATTGATCCATCCTGAAGTCAGGTTCCATGGCTGATGGGTCATGACCAACCTGGATACCTCCATAGAAAGAGACGGGTATATGAATTGTAATTTCCAGGGGCACATGAGAAACCCCAAACCATGAACATGGCAACCCTTACCCATGCAGAACCCAAAGTCATGGCCAGAAATCCGACTGGGGTTTCAACTATCCAAATGAAGCATGTTTGAGGGTACATAAAGACCTCAATTTTTCCGAATTGACCTCTCATGCTGCCACCATTGTGAGTTCAAGGCTTAAATACATCCAAGTTCTATTCCAAAACCAAGACTTTTCGGTTCAAAATCCAACTTCTGGCTTAGAAATTCGTTGTTTTGTCCCAATAAATTGTATAACTATTCTATCCAATTCTATCCCATGACTTCCAGTTATTTCCCCCCGAAACGGAGTGATTTACAAGGCCCCGTCCTGGTGGAAGGCATCCAGACGACAACATGCGTTGCCGTGGCAGATCACCACCTCGGTCCATGTGCAAAACAGGTAAATCACCCCCTTTTTAGTCGGAAACGACTGAAATGATATAAATGACAATTTATGGAAATGACTATGATATGTATCACCATATAATTAATGATACATGGCTATATCATGGAAATGACTGAAATGACCATAATATCACAAGGATATAGCCATGAAAAATCGGAATTTATGTCACTGTATACACTGTGACCCCACCAAAAAAATAGGACAAGATAGAACAAGTATGCTTCCCATGTGTTTAATATGATTGCACGGTTCTATCGTTTTGGGGTGATGTTATATTTCTATGGGCCATGGCTTCCATAGCTTTGTTAAATAACCAGAGGGTATATTCCAGTTTAATTGGTGGCTATATATGGTCAATATATGTCAACATATAGGATATATGTGGGATATCCATTATATATATACACACCCTTTCGTAATTGAAGAGTTATCTTATCTCTGGGTAATCAACATTTAAACAAACAGGTGAAACATTGAACTAAATAGACCCTGGCTGCTTCCATTGCTATGTCAATTACCCAAAGGTATAATCTAAAAACCTCATGAATCAATGATTTGTCGGTGATCCAAATTCAGTTCGATGGGCCAACAAAGATGGAGCTCACCAACAGTGGGTCATCCATGATATGAACATCCAAACATGGGAGAGTCGTCCAACTCGAAAATTTGCTACTCACCAGCTAGAATCGGGTCTGATCATCCCCGACAGAATAGAAGAAAGAAATAAATGATAAAAATGGGCGGTATGCCGAACAATGATCAATACACATTGGCAATCGAAAAGAACAGGTGATGAATATTTAGAACCACCAGCGAAACAATCACGAAATTCCGAACAAGCAAAGCAGTGCAGAAAACTCATGGGGATGAATTCATCCCAGAGTTCACCCAGTGACCTGGGGGCCTTCGACCCCATGTGTGTCGATGTCTCTGTGTGCGATGCAGCGACTGCGTCCCACCATTGACAAACTCAACACTTCAGATCTTCACAACATCCACGGCACAACTTGCAATACATTTTTTTTGGATATCTATATCTATATCTATATTATCGGATATCTATATATATATATATCTATGATAATAGCGTTTCCAAAACAACATCCAACACATAGGACTCACCCAGTTGTCTCATCGTTCATTGTTTCCCAGGATCTGAGGCCCCAAGCACAGGCTTTCTCTTCACCTTGTTGGGGTCTCCTTAGTTCACATAGCCCTTGCGAATTGGAGGACGGGCGCTCAATTTATAAAATCTATAAGAAGCGACCCTGCTATACATTTATATGTATATATATATATAATTGTATATATATAATTGTATATTATATGTATATATATAATTGTATATTATATTATATTATGTTATATTATATGTATTATGTATTATATATATTATATATTATAAAATATATAATATTATGTTATATATAATATATAATATATAATATAAAATATAAAATATATATAATATATAATATATAATAATATATTAAATAATATATTAAATAATATATTAAATAATATATTATATATTATATTATCTATTAAATATTATATATTATATATATTATTATATATTAAATATTATATTTTATATAGTATATAATATATTATATATTAAATATTTTATTTTAAATATATTATATTATATATTAAATATTAAATATATAATATTATATAATATATATTATATATTATATATTATATATGATATAGTTTATATTTTATATTATATATTATATATTATATATTATATTTTATATATTATATATTATTATATATTATTATATATTATTATATATTATTATATATTATATATTATATATTATATATTATTATATATTATATATTATATATTATATATTATTATATATTATATAATATATATTGTATATTATTATATATTATATATTATATATTGTATATTATAAATTATATATTATATATTATTATATCATATTATATTATATCATATTATATATATACATCAAATATTTATTATATACATATATATATATACATACATATATATATATTTATTTATCTGCAATGGACCCAGAATTGATAGATCCGCGACTAAATCAAGGTTTCTACGGAAAGTGTATATATATATGGGTAAATTATAATATTTCACTAACCTGAATTAAGGCCATTTGGGGATGATTTCCTGTATTAACCATGATTCCAGTGAGGTCGCAGTGAGGTCGTGATAATTTACCCAGATATATATATATATATATTTGGATATATTTGGGTGAATAGGCATGCTAACACAGAGACTTGGAGTCCAAATCCCATGTTGGATGGCTACTGTTCATCGGAATCAGGTCTCCACTGCCGAGCCACTTTTCAGGCTCGAAGAGTGTGCAAACAATCGTATGTCCCCGCCTCGGCCAAAAAAAAAGAGCTGAATTGGTCCGGGAGGGGGCACCTTCCCCTCAGGAATAACAAGACGGAACAGCCGAAACATGGCCACGTGACCAGTTGAGGCTCACTAAGACTCTGCTTTTGAGGTCATGGCACCATGGACCATCCACTTTGACTGCTTGGCTTCGAGGCTTTGCAATGCTTTGCAGCTGTCGCCGCAATTATCTACCAGCACAAGTCAACTGCTGCAACCACAAACAGTCTAGTCTTGCATAGCGTTGCTCGATTATACGTAGTGTTCGATCTCTGAGTGGACCTTTCTTGAGTAGTGGAGCCCCAAAATATCAAAATCACATGCAAAATTCCTCACTTCGGTTGTTCCCCAAACCCAATTTTACTGAATGGCCTGTGGGCTGCTCCAACTATTTAACTATCTCATATCTCGTTTGTTTGATCTCTCTCTTGGGGCATCTCTGTGTATTTTAGGGTTGTGGTTGTTGTGGTTGCAGATGACATCTGCAGCGCTTCTAACTTTTCACATTGAGCGCTTCGTCGTCGATGCCCGCCAACCCTCAGCCGAGCTTGCGGAGCACATGGAGCAAAGTGGCTTGATCCGCAAGATATTTTTACTGCTTGGTGATTTCAACCCCTCTGAAAAAAAAAATATCCAGTTGGGGTTAGTTTTCCCAATATATGGAAAAAAAACAAACCACCAACCAGTTTCTAATGATTATGCAACTGGCATCAGAAAAACGTTGTTGTCTGAACATGGGGTACCCAAAAAACATCCCATGGTAAAACTCATGACAGTTTAGATTCATTTAAGGCCAATTTAAGTGGGATAAAACATTTTCAGACACAGGAGCCAAGTTGGAAGATATCACACACCATTTCCGACAGGGGCGAAATGGTCGGATGAACTCATCCAGTCGTCATGAATGATGACGAATATTGAAAGCTGTGCCATGGGGATCCCCCATGACTTACCCCCCATATATGGATTATATATATATATGTATATATTATGATGGATTATATATCAATATATCATATGATGGATAATATAATGTAACACTATATCATATATAACACTCATATGGATTGTATGGATCAATATGGGTGTTGTTCACCATTTCTTAACAGGATCGCCAAGGCTCTCATATCGTCCGCCATCTGTCGCGTGAGCTGCGGCTGCGCAGCCCCGAGGGCAAGGGCAAAGTCGCGTGCACTCGCCACGAGGAGACGCTTCTGCGACAGCGACAGCGTGGGGTGGAGGCCGTAGTGCCTGCCGTGGCGGGAATCCTGGGTCAAAACAATCCTGGGATAAAACCATTGATAAAACCATTGATATCCATTGATAGATATATTCATTTATACATATTTATACTACAGTACATAGAATGACATAATAATATGTAAGTTGTTAGGATCGTGTGAGGTCATCTCAAAGCAACTTATATAGTCCTTTAACATGTATATATATATATATATATCACACATATTGACATACGGAGTATACACATGTATTAGATGTATATATATATATATTTATTATAATTATACACATTGCGGATGGTGACGATTAAGTGCTGAGTTGCAACTTTGTGAGACCATCCAAGAGGACAGATGAGGACAGAGTACAGCGGTCACAGTCACCCTTCGACAATCAAAGATGGCTAGTTGGCAAATCCCCGAACTAAATGGAGCTTTTGATAGGAACATGATCGAACTAAATGAGAAAAAAGTCCAATGTTTTATTCCCACATTGTCAGACCGACTTTGCGAATTTCTGGTTTTTTCCAGGCCGAAAAACTGTTGTCATCTCCAAGCTGTTTGCGAAAATCAACATCCGAAAAAAACAGGGTCATCCTCCAAGGCAAGACCCGTGCAGCACATGGAGAATCTATGAGAATCTTGGATGCTCTTGAAAAACGGTCGCTCTGATCATGCTGGATCATGCTGGATCATCATCTATCATGATCCCATGACATCTCCCCACTGATCCTTCCTTCTGTCGCCTCAGCCACGTGAAATAGGCCTTGGACACCAACTTCTCGTGCAGAGGTGCTTCCTGGCTGCACAGGTGTCCCAAGATTAGTCTCTGGGTCGGTGACGTACTATGGAAGCCGTGCTTTTCTGTTTACATAGTGTGAAGAAACAGCCTGTAAAGAAGCTAAAACTGGCCCAAGACACTGAACCTTTCTGGTAGATCAAAATGTCAAAATCAACAAAATCAGGTCATTTCTCCCACAATCCCTCCTGGAATTCCCTACCATTCCGTTCATGGTTGGTCAATGTTGGTCATTTCCCCAATCGAATTGCCATCAAATTGCCGGCAAAATGTCCCACTCAGAATAGGACAGACCCATGTATTCCCATGTCATATTGCTGGTGGTTGAATTGAAATATCCCATTAAGTGTCTCAGCATATTAAAAAAAATAACCATCCCCACATCATGGTTGCGTTGATACCACCAGAACTTTGTTGCTCAAGTCACAAACACACACTCACAAGATGTTACAACTGAATTGTTCAAACCCAATTGTTTAATGGTGCTATAAATCCGTAAACATATAGAGAAGTAAAACCCTATATAACGTAGTGAAGAAGTACTTTTATATCTTTGAGGGGTGTCACTACATAGTGTATGTATACATATAATTACGTATATATATATATATGTCATTATGTTTAATACATTTTTCTAAATTTAATTAATTCATCCCCCTTGCAATTTGGGGGGGGGTGCTGGGACCCCTGATTCTGTAGAGGGCCCCAACGTCAGGCACCCTGTGTCCACTTTACTAAATCAATCTCTGCTCTCCAGGGTAGGGAGTTACCTTCTACAAAATCAAGAACCTTCCACAGATAAAACATCTGACAAGGAAAATTCATGTTTTCTACAAAATCAAGAACCTCACATGTGAAAGCATCAAAAAAAAACAAAAAATATCACTTGTTGAGTTAAAACCTCCAAGATGATTCTGTAGAGATTTGTGTTAGAGTCGATTCTGTAGAGATGTTTTGTTAGTCTTTGATTTTGTAGCATGAATGTGTTTACACATGTTACAAGTTTTACAAGTCCCATCCAAAGTTCCAAAGTGCCTGTCTTTGATTTTGTAGCATGGATGTGCTTACAAGTTTTACAAGTTTTTACAAGTATGAACTCGCTAGGTTTTCTTCAGATAGGTCGCTCTACAAAATCAAAGTCTCACCTTTTCACACGTGGGCCCCCTACATCTGCTCTACAAAATCAGGCTCTAAGATCTCAAGCAAAAATCCCTCTGAAAACCTACGAGTGTATATATATATAATATATATAATATATATAATATATATAATATATATAATATATATAATATATAATATATATAATATATATATATAATAATATATAATATATATATATAAACTTTTGAGGGTTTTTCAAGATAAGTAGGCCCTTAAAGATTCTTAGGGCAAAAATCTCAGGAATGCCGGGGGCATCTTCAAAATTCCAAAAACCCAGGACCCTGGAGCTCATAAAATAGAACCTTGATTTTGTAGAGGCCAATCTGTGGTTCCCCCTTGGAGTTTGATTTTGTAGAGGGTGACACCTTGGTGTATGATTTTGTAAAGGCCACGATAGGCTGCCACAGAAACCTTTCCTGCTGCAAAGGCTACAAAATCAGAAAAGATGAAACCAAATGACCCCACTACAGAATCAAGGTCGTTCCCTCTAACTATCTCTCACCACTACAGAATCAAGATCTGAAGATATGACATTGATGAGCATGCTCTGACTACAAAATCAAAGACCTTAGGACATCACCAGCCTTATTTCTCCAAAATCAGTTCCCTACCCAAACTGTAAGGTTTTGTACACTCTCAGCTGAGTGTTGGGGCCCCTGTCTACAGAATCAGGGACCTACCAAGATACAGTCCAAAAATGACCAAAATTGGTGGTTCTTGGGTGGTTGCCAGCCCATGGTCCTTGATTTTGTAGCACGGTAGGGTTTCAGACTGGCTCTCCAGAATCGAAGGTTTTTGGGGTGTCAACACCCTCGATTCTGTAGAGGAAATTGCAACCAGGATATTAATTCCATGTTTCATGGTTTTATACCGAGCAGAGGATTTTTGCTGCCTCCAGAGGCGCAGAGTATCCTTTCAGATCGGCAGGTACCAGTTGCGCATCGGCCAACAGGCCTTGTTCCGGCAGCGTTTTGAACTTTGAAACCCGGTGAATTCCGGTGTTTTTTTGAGATGTTCTTAAGTTTCGCCATTCTGGAGATATAAACAGATAGTATGTGAAGTCGTCTGAATGAAAGGGTCCTGGTTACACGTACAACATGCAATAACGGATCAAGAAATCAAGGGTTCCTATCAATAGTTCGTCCCAAAAAGGAAATCAAGTAATCTTAATGAAGGAATATAGGATCCACCATCTCCCAATAGTAAACCATAAATGGCTGGGATTCCAAGTATCCATCTGGTGACATTGACCTCCTCACCTAGGCGTTCCCGCCCTCTGGAGAATCTCCGCTGGGATCCGCGGCTCAAGATCTCAGCTTCAAATGTTGCGGCCAGCAAATAGGCGGTCACAGGAGCCAGCTCCTTCCCCTGGCTGATGCTATCGGCCCAAAAAAAGTTAAAGATGAAACTGAAACTTTGGGCTTCAAAATGAGATTAAAAAATGAGATTGAAATGGATGCTTTAACTGGCATAACTGGCTAAATTGTTTATGTAATAACATGTGATCGGTTTGTGGAACCCTTCTCAGACCCCACAGTAAGTTCAACACGTACTTGAAAGCCGTATGGACTAAATAGACCAAATTAATGGAAGCTGACAATCTTACGAGGAGGAGAAATGGTCGGCATCCGTTATCTCACAACTTGGCCATTTGGTGTCAGGAGATTTTGTCCAGTTTAGAGAAGAGACAATATATAAATATGGAGATGTCCTAAAATATGGGTACCCCAAACAATTGGGTTTCCAGGTTTTTCCCATTGATAAGAACCAACTAAGGATGATGAATTGGGATACCCCCATGACTTAGCAAAGCTCCGTATTAGGTCCATATTCATGACATCCCCAGCTGCATTTTGCCAATGTCCTATACCACCTGAAAAAAAAAAAACGTCCCCGGCCGTGCGCACGCAGCGGGTCACGAAGTCCAGCAGTTGCTTGGCATCTTTGGCCGAGGAGGGTAGACCAATCAAAATCACCGCGCTGACTCCTCTTTTAGAATGCCGCTGCGCACAAGCAGGATTTGTTTCGGATCAATTTTTCATGGAGGTTTGTCTGAAAATAGGATACACCCTATTTTAGAGGGAGAATCGTCATGAGTCATGTTCCCCATGAAATGGCCATGATTTGGGTATATACAGTATAATATAATTATATACACACCATTTTTAGACAAACCCATGTGTAGGGGGGGGGATAACCAAAATCGGAAAGTGAGCTGAAACACTTTTCCCAGTGCATGGCATACCAAAGGACGACCCACCGAATCGCTTGTTTTCAGTATTGAACTATATCCATGTTGCGGGTTGACACGTAACATCCAGGATGATTGTCTACAAGTCAAGACTGCGCCGTACAAGCACCGACGTTGCACAGAATTGCCATCCGTAAACTCGACCATGGGTAGATCCTAAACCGAAAATGTCCACTCGACATAAGCTAAGCAGGCCAGAAAACAGACTGTACGCAGGCTAAACTGTGACGGTGGCTTCATCTTCCCAAATCAGGGGGAACATGTGACCCTGCTTTCAATGTTATTGCAATGATTCGAAGTTCCAACAAACAACGATAAATGGTAGGACTTGAAAATTGATGTTGTATATTGAAACACGTCCAAACCATTCAAAAGCCCATGAAGACATGCGATTGCGGATTCTTTGGGCAAGCCAGGTGACTGCAGCCATGAAGAGACCGTCATGGTTTTCACCTTCAACAACCCCTTGGAGGTCCTTGATTTTTGAATGATGTTGACAAAACACTATATAACTATTTACTTAAATGATCTTGAATAATCTTGAATCATCAAGACCCAAATGCAGCCTCTTCCTCTTGGTTGCAATATTCCAAGTTGCGTTGCCTACCTATCTGTTGTTCCGTTTGGCTAGGTCTATTTCCTAGCTTGTATGGTCTTATGATTTATGCTCTTTTCTGCTGCTTTGTCTCTAGGGTGTCGTCAAGCGGGATTCAGGAGTGTAAGACCTGCAAGTTCTTGTTATATTTTTTGTATGAAGCCAATATGGTAGGGCCAATTTTGACCCATCCATGTTTTCTTGGCTACTAAATAAAAGCCTACGTGGCCGTTTGTGAAATCCACCAAAATGTCCCCATACCGTACCCATTATATATATCTTCCCATGTCCATCTTCTATTCTTCACCTCCATCCCTCCCTGTCCTTTGCAAGGCAGGGTGGCGGGTGAAAGGCCTCATAATGGTTGTTCAATCAATCAACCAAGCACATTACCTTAGGGTCATTTTCACAACCCTGGGTTGGAACATCAAGTTCAACAGGGTGGTCTACAGACACCAGCTAAAAGTTGACACTCTCTTAGTACGTTGCTACGGTAACAAGTAGTGTAGGCACAAAACGTGGTGATTGTTCAAAAAAGGATGCTTAAAATACCAGGTTTACTGGGATTCATCACATAGGGGTTTCAAATAATAAACATTCACATTTGAAACATCTAACAAACAACCATTGACATGCACTGAAAGTCACCCTTCGGGATCATTTGAAACGCCCACGGCGTTTCAACCACCTCAGGGGGTCGCAACTGCGATGCACTCCCTACGGCCCTACGACAGTCACAAAAAACTGTCCTACTTTCATCAGGGAACTGCTTGTATCTCCATCATTTCCAGCGGATATTTCATGATATTTCCCCATCCTGATTTATCATACCTTACAAAAAAAGGTCCAACCATGTCCAACTGCCCGAAATCCCACCTGCTGTAAAGAGAACGCCTCTTTCAGCGGATTCAAAGCTTTGGAGGATCTTTTTCCGAACCTGCCCCAGTCTCCGCGCGGAGCTGCGCATCGTGATTATTTCTGCTTTTGTGCAGGAGCCACAACCTATTTCCCACCTCCTCAGTTCGCACCTCACGCCTTTCTTCACGATGGCGATTGGATTTGAAGCTTCAAAAGGCAGCTGATCAATCGACTTAAATGTGAAAAATGAGATTGGAATGTGCTTCAAGTCTGCAAGACTTTCAAGTTGCATCAATGCAAAATGGAAAACGCTCTATGCAAAATGGGAAGTGCTCTTCTGCACTCCTCCTTTGGAATGTCGTCAGACTATTCCAACTGTTCAAGGCCCAAACTGCCTTTTTTCAGTGGGAAATGTGTGAATTAGCCTGCGATGTTTTCTTCACAATTCTGGCACGCTCGAAAAGTCTTTTGAGGGTCGCAGCGAGGGCATCTTGGGTCCACATGATAATCGTGGCCCCATGCATTAATCCAGAGTTCAACACCAGGAGGGGGTCGTCCCCTTGTTCTCAAGCTAATGGCCCAACAGAGCCGGCACCATGTCGATTCTCTGCAGGCTCCAGTTTGAGATGAGGTTAGGTACCTGCAGTTGCGTCGATGGTGGTACACAACCCCAAATCTGGTAGTCCATACCTGGAAAAATGGCTGGGAGACTTCAGGACCATGTTGATCATTCTGGAATTGATTTGGATTTTCTCGCGCTTCCTCATATAGTTCTGCTTCTTCCGATGCGATCTCTTCTAATGCTCTTTCCACATCGAAATCTGGGATGTGTCTTTCATCAACGGGGCGATATGGCGGACTGCTTCCAGATGAGGAGATCGACGATATCTCATCTTGTGGGAAGACCGAAGGAGCTGTCTGCTCAACCTGGGCCACATCCACTTGTGGAGGCAGCTGGGGAGATGATGTCTCAACCCGTGCCGTGCCCACTGGTGGGAGCCGAATGGGTCCCTGCAATTCCTCCGCAGGGGCCACGGCCTCACCACCTGGCGGGAGCCGAATGGGTCCCTGCAACTCCTCAGCAGGGGCCACGGCCTCACCGCGTGGCGGGCGCCGAAAGGGTCCCTGCACATCCTCAGCAGGGGCCACGGCGTCGCCGCCTGGCGGGCGCCGAATGGGTCCCTGCATCTCCTCAGCAGGGGCCACGGCGTCGCCGCCTGACGGGCGCCGAATGGGTCCCTGCACATCCTCTGCAGGGGCCACGGCGTCGCCGCTTGACGGGCGCCGAATGGGTCCCTGCACATCCTCTGCAGGGGCCACGGCGTCACCGTCTTTTCCCTTTTCTTCTTTCCCTTTGGTATTCTGATTATTCAGGTGCAACTGGCTTCGCAGCAGAACCCAGAATTTTTGACACAACAGAGTAACAGCCACGATGACCAGAGCAAAGATCACCATCATGGCTGTAAACTCTTGGCTGTGGCCATCTTCTGACCAATCTTCATCTTCATCCTCGCTCTTCGCAACCGAAAGAACGGCCGCAAGGGTGAGCAGCCTCACAATTGACGCTGCTTTCTTAATCTCCTCTTCTCCACTGAACCTTTCTTTCAATTCCCCGGGTTTTTTCTGCAATGGTAGCGGAGCGTGGTTCACATTCTCCACTTTCGCATGGGGAACTTCTACCATGTGCATTTCTTCCTTGAGCTGCTTGAGTCTTTCTGAAGCAAGCGGTTTCGTGCCGATGTCTGCCGTCATTTTCGACCCAGCCATATGCTGGATCACCCACATTCCTTGAGCAATGGAATGTCTCGCTGCTGCAGCTCTCAGACGGAGGTGTCGCGTCCTCCAAGAGCCGCCATCTGTGGTCAAAATCGCCAGGGCAGATTGTGAATCGGTCCAGCTTTTGCGAGAGAGAGATCCAAACAGCTCATCAGCTATGGCACCTATACTTTCACCTGCTACCATGCTCTCTATAACTTCCATCATCTCAGCCTCTGCAGTGGACAGTGTGACAAAGCTTTGACGCCCACTCCTCCAGAAAACTGGGCATTGGCCGACTTCGATGATGAAGGCTCCATGGCTTACATCACCATCAGGCGCAAAACTTGCGTCTGCCATGGCCTCAATCATCATCATCTCAGGCGCAGCTCCGTCAAAGCATAGACCATGATAAACGGTCTTTTTGAGGTAGCCCTTGATCTGCTCATAGATCTGAAGGACCTTCCTTGGTGACTTGGTTACATTTGATCCCATCTTTGAGACCGCATACATCAGGTCAATGCGGGTGCGAGTGACAAGCCAAAGCATCTCACCTGTTGCCTTCTGAGCAAGCTTGACGAGTTCAGGAGTACGGTGTTCCTCCTGATCTGGAAGTTGGCCCTGATCCCTGGTGATGGGGACCTTCTTCTCGGAAATTTCCTTCTCGCTTTGAGCCAGAAGGTCTTGTATGTATGAGCTTTGACTCATATACCATAAGTCTCGACCCTTCTTTTCATCAAACACCTTCGAGATCTCCACTCCTAGGAACTTGATGGGCACTTCATTCACTTGATCTGGTTCCGTAGTCGTCCACGTGCTTCTGATTTTCTCCATGACAGCTTGGACTACTGCAGAACTGCCGGTGACCAAAATGTCATCGACATAAGTCATCAGAAGACCTCTCAATGGCAGCGGAGCAGAATCTTCCTTCTCCAATTCTGAGTCCTCTTTCGACTGAATTCTCCACAAGTTGGGTTCTGATTCAAGAGGAAGCAGCTCCAAGAGGACTTTTTGACCAGTCTCTTCCTCCACTTCTATCTCCATCGACTCCAGGCCTTCGTCTCGGCATTCACCCCAAAGCTTTGGAGAGCGTCGCAAGCCGTAGACTGCCCTTTTGGGGAGGTAGTAGGTGCCAAGCTTCATGTAGCCTTTTTCCAGAAACAATTGTGGAGGCTTGACGAGGAGCAAAGTCTTTTGGCCCTGCTGATCCATGACAGCATTCAAAAATGCTGTCTTCACATCGATGGTGCCGGCTGTCCACTGCATCCTCGATGAAGTGACCAGGAGAAGCCTCAAAGCAGCAGCATCCGCCCCGCTAGAGTAGGTGGACTCGTCATCTCGTTTCTGTTCAAAGTTTCCGCAGATGACCCACCTTACTTTGGGCCGACCGCCCTTCTTTCCAGGCTTCTTCGTGAACACCAACTTTGAAGGCAAAAACTCCACAGCCACGCCATTCTCCTCTGCTTCATGAAGCAGCTCTTTCAGTCTGCTCCCACTGATCTCCTCCATAGCTTCCTTTTCTTGCAAGAGGGAGTTGACTTCCGCTTCTATGGCTGGGAGCCACTCACTCCATCTTTTTGATACTTCTTGAGGTGAGATGATGCGAGTCTGCAACACCTCGTCGTCCTCTCCTCCTTCTGCCGCATTCAGCATCTTTTTCAGCCTGGCCAAGATCTCGATCTCTTCTGAGACCAGTTCTGGGTCGTCATCAAGCATGCTCCTCATCTCCTCCTCGACAACCTTTGTGAACTGAACTCTCATCTTGGCCACTTTCATTACATCATCTTCTTCGTCTTCTTCTGTCATCCTCAATTTTCTGACTGTAGTCTTTCCTCTCAGTCGCCGACGCTTTGTCAGAGCATCTGCCACCTCTCTTTCTACTGCCAGCCATACTCCTTCATCAGGATGTTCAAGCGCCTTCCTCATGAAGCATCGAGTCACCCTCGGCGGTTCGTCACCCACCTTGATCCAGTGCCCATTATCTTCTGGCGCTGGGCACAAGTACTTGGCGGTTTCAACCGTGGGCTCAAAGGCTTTCTTTTTCCACTGTCGCCTCCTCACCAGCACATCTTGGAGAAACCGAGGAAACTCAGGTGCTTGATCCAACCGCTGGCATCGATAAACCTCATTCAGGTAACGCAATGCCCAAGGCCACCAAGATGAGTCCACCTCAGCATGGAGCAGAATCCTTCTCACTTGATTCTTGGCGGATTTGACCACCACTTCTGCCCTCCCGTTGGCCTTCGGGTCATCTCCCGATGTTTTGGTGAGGATGATGCCACGGGACTTCATCCAAGTCTCAAAGGAGCCCAGGAACTCATGACCTCTGTCACTGTGAATTCTGTTCACATGGTATCCATCTATTTTCAACTTCAAGATCATTTCCATGGCAGCTCGAGTAACTTCTTTAGCCTTCTTTGATCTCAACGGCAGAACCAGCTTGAACAGACGGATCTCTGCCTCCTCCTGTTCCACCCCTTTTTCTTCCTTGTCTTCCTCCTCCTCTTCTTGTGGGGGCCCTTCAGGAGCAAGATCACCTGGGGCCTCGCCCACGGGTGGGCGCCGAACGGGTCCCTGCAAATCCTCCGCAGGGGCCGCAGCGTCACCACCGGACGGGAGCCGAATGGGTCCCTGCACATCCTCAGCAGGGGCCACGGCCTCACCGTCAGACGGGAGCCGAATGGGTCCCTGCAACTCCTGCGCAGGGGCCACGTCCGAGCCCACCTCGCCGGTTTCAAGGGCGGGGGCTGCATCTAAATTTCCTTCTTCTTCTGGAGGAGGTGTCATCTTCGAAGAACCCTTTGGAACCATGAAAGTATATGCCCCGGCAAGGAAATACCGGCACTTCCAGCTTCCGACATCACTTGCGGGAAGCAGTGGCCCACAAGTGTCAAGGGCTAAAACTCCTGGTTGTGGAAAAGGATTCTTTCGATGTGGGAAGACTTGCTGGGCTGACTGCTGACACACAAAACAATCTTTGCGATACGGCACGTGTCCAAACCTCACATGTTCATCCCACGAAAGAACCTTCAGCTGAGGGCTCTGCTTGTAGACTTCTTTGATGATGGAAGCACTGATTGCATTCATGAGACCAGGTGCCCAGCGTTCCAACTGTTTGGAGCTGGTGACATGCCGTTCAGGTTGTTGGGGAGGCATTTCAAACTCCTCCATAGACATGTCAAACGTGGTTCCCAGTGTCGTAGGCTTTGGAGCAAGACCTCCCAACTTTCCTTGGTTGAACGTCACTTCTTTGAGCTCGAACTCCTTGCGAAGACCTTGCCATTCTGCAGTGTCCCAGAAGGAGACGACATCCGGTTGATATGCCTTTGGTGATGCTGGTTGCTCCAGCACCAAGTGTACTGGATCAGGTTTCAGCTGAGCTTTTCTTGTATACTCGGCAACCATGAACAAGAACAGCATGCGCCACATCAGGACATCATCTTCTCGTAACATAGCGCGTTCCCTTGGATTGGCCCATGACGCTCCAAATTCTCCTCCTCCCCAATTCCGAATCGGACGTGGAGCATCAGGCTGTCCTTCAATTGGTCTGTGGCGCAAAACACTTCGGCTTCGACAATTGGGGCCACCAACCACAGCTAGTAGCTTCCCTTCCAAAGCCGCACGAAGCAAACTCGGATATGGTCCTGAGTCTTTTTCCATGTCATGAGCAGGACCATGTTTCTTGTCGATCTCAAGGAGCAACCTATCTCGCCCTCCTTGTCCTTTGAGTGACCTCTTCAGAGTGAAGCCACTTTCATCACCAGAGTAGAGATGAAGAACGAAGCCTTCTTGTCTCATCGTCCTCCTTTGTCTCCTATCCGCTGGAATGTGACTCCAATCTGCAGGTTCCACAACAAGCCGCTTCTTCAGCCAATCTGGAAGGCCAGAGAGAATCGGATGAACCGAGATCAACTGATTCATCCATTGAACCTCCTCCTCAAAAGAGATCCGATTGAGTTGTACTCCTCGTTTGGCGTCCTCAATCTCTGAGATCAACTCAAGAGCCAGCTTCCTTGTAACTTGTGGACATCCGCCGCAATCTTCTACATGTAGCAGGCCTCTTTGAGGGTGTTTCAATTGCAAGACACCCCTTTTCCAAGAGACTTCACATCCCAACAAGTCAATCAACAGTCCCATGGGGACAATGGGCTCAATGTTCTGATCGCTTGTGATCATTGAACCAGCTGATGTCATATGAAGCCGAACACATTCTCCATTTGCAAGGGTGACCTCAACTTCCCTCAAGCTCGAGTGCTCCTCCTCACTTTTGGATGAACGAAGAGGATGAGTTGCACCGCTGTCTATCAAACCTTTTCCTTGGCCTGTACTGATGCGACCAAGCTTGAACGCCTTCAGTGAGTTGAGCTGAGCTTGAAGGCGGGACAACACTTCACTTCGACCATCTTCATCGTTTCTTGATGTGGTTGAAGAGCCTGAAGACGCTGAGGCAGAAGTCAAAGACCGCAGCATTTTGTTGGCCTCCTCTATGAGGCCCTTCATCGTCTCTGAATCTGGTCCACCTTCTTCTCTTTGCTTCCCTGCGCTTTGTGTTCCTTCTCCGTCCATCTTTGCAGCCTTTGGCTTTGGCGGCGATCCTTCGCCAGTGCCCTTCCTTGGACAATCTGGAGCCATGTGCTCCGTGGAGCCACAAGTGTAGCATCGCCTCTTGCCATCCTTCTCTGAGTGTGAGAACCGACAATCACGACCTTTACGGCAGCCTTCTGTAGTGAGAAAGAATCGACACTTGACCCTTTGACGATCGGTTTTCTCCTCCTCACCACTTCGCTCCCTTCCTTTTCCTTTCCCTTTGTTGCCTTCTTCCTTCTCGTGCTCCATGGACTTGATCTTTGGCTCCACCTTGGCGTTTGATGCAGGCGGTTTCTTTTCCATCTGTGACAGTTGTTCACATTCCGAAAGCAAGTGCATGGCAAACTTTGTGACGTTGTCAATAGTGGGCACCGTGTCAATGCCAAGGCCATGTCGTGCTAGGGAAACACGAAACTGCAGTTCCCGATTGGACTCCAAAACCTTGCGAGTCATCTTCAGCAATCCACGCACTAGCAGTGTTGGGTCCGGCATGGTCGCGCCGATCTCAGTGGCTCGCTGGCGCCATCGAAGCCATTTCCTCAAAGCAGTAGGCGCCTCACTTAAAGAACTGACTTCAGAAGGTTCTTCAAGACTTTTGAGGAGGGTATGTTTCTCAGACACTCCTCCTGGGCAGTACGTCACGTAGAGGTGCGTGATGATAGAGAAGACAGACATTCTCCTACTTGACACAAGCTCCTCTCTGACTTGTTCAGGGACGGCCTGCAACATCATCGCCGCCACTCGCCTTTCTAGGCGTTGCCATTTCTCTTGAACCAAGGATGGTGGTGGTTCTCGTCCTTGTTGAAGCCTTTCAAGAGGAGACAGCTGCATATGCCCCTGATACCAGACCTCAGCCTCTTTGAGAACCAGCTTCCACCAAGTCTCTGCAGTGGCCGACAAATCGGAGACCACCGGTTCGATCAGCAGCAGCCAGTCTGTGAGTTGCAAGGGAGCCTGAGTTGAGCTCCAGACAGGTAGAGCCGGTAAATCATGAGGACCCGCTCTAACAACCTCGATCCCTCTGACCGCTCCTGTTTCATCTCGATCTTCATTGAACTTTCTTTGCAATTCTTTCATGTTCTCCATCATGAGGACCATGAATTCCATCGACTTCTCCGCAAATTCCGTGGCTCCTCTCGGAGGAATCGGCGTTGACGACGCACCTTTTTCGGCTTCAAAAGGCTCACCTCTATTTGGTCCTCCATCAGCCTCAGGTGGTCTTTCAGCCTCCTTCGGGGGTCTTTCAGCCTCCTTTCTTTCATCTCGACTGCTGCCATTCGGAGTGGAGAATGACAGATCAACTTCTGGGTCTGTTCCACCCTGTTGCAAGCTGGACTCTACAACGTGTAACCTTCTCGTGAGTTCTTCATTTTGTGCTATCAGGTCTTTCATGTATGACTTCATCACCGCTAGTTCATTTGATTCAGCATCCAACCTAGCTTCTTCTCTGTCTAGAAAGGATGGTCTTCGAATTGATGGGAAAAACGTGCGAGATGGCCGTTCCTGGTACAACCATGGAGCTTGACTATGCAGCAGTGCCATCTGCCGCAACTGTTCTTCCGAAAAAAGTGGTGTTTGCATCTCAGGAGTGACTGGAACTTGGGGCGTTTCTGCCTGACTGCTAGCAGCACCCCTACCCATCCCAGACCCTGGTGGTGGAGTCCTCTGATGGTCCACCTGAGCTGGCTTTTCTGAGTCCTCGATCCTTGGCTCTGATCGTGGACGAACTTCAGAGGCTCTGGAAGCAGTGGATTCCGGAACTGCTGAACCTGGACGGGCTGGAGTGATGGCGGCAGGGGAGGTCTTAGGCATTGGACTTGACTTACCCTGGGTGTCTTTCACTTTTTCTAACGACTCCGTTGGGGCATCTTCTATCCTCAACCTTTTCTTCTCCTCTTCCTTACTACCAACCTCCTTTCCATCTTCTAGGGCCAATTCCTGTCCTTCTTCTGCCTCTCTCTCAAACCTTTCCTTTGCTTTCTGCATCTCTTCCATTCCTTGTCGCAACTCCTTTTCTGTTGCCTTCCTTCTACGTTGACCTTGGTCCATTTCTTCTATTGGTCGAGCGTTGGGCTCATAACCTGCTTTTGTGCAGGAGCCACAACCTATTTCCCACCTCCTCAGTTCGCACCTCACGCCTTTCTTCACGATGGCGATTGGATTTGAAGCTTCAAAAGGCAGCTGATCAATCGACTTAAATGTGAAAAATGAGATTGGAATGTGCTTCAAGTCTGCAAGACTTTCAAGTTGCATCAATGCAAAATGGAAAACGCTCTATGCAAAATGGGAAGTGCTCTTCTGCAATTTCGATCATTTGAATGTACAAAATAAATCAAGAATCAAGACCACGATCGAGGCATTGTATTCTATAGAGGGAGGCATTGTATTTCTAGAAGTCCTGTAGAATAGGGGTGTGAAATGGATTTTGTAGAGACTCATTTTCTCCAATTTGGGTTTAAAAAAAAAGTGGCTAGGGGCCCCCAAGGTTCTGATTTTGTAGAGCCAAAATGGGGCACAAAGGTGTGGGCAAACGATCATGTGAGGCACGGAGTCTGATTCTGTAGTGGCTTTGGGCCTAGCTGATTTTGTTCCCATCTCAAATTTGGAAGCCGGAGAGTATGCCATCCCCATACCTTCCCCCGATATGCCCTATAGATCCCTAGTGTAGAGATCCCTATAGTTTAGGGAAAGATTTCCCCATCCACGACCCTCTACAAAATCACCTTAATATACTTGGTTGTAAATCACTTTTTTCTTTCGAAGAAACTCCTGCACAAGGCAAGTCCGCAAAGCCCCTTTTGGTGTTGGTTTGGAGATATTTTGCACACCCTGCCACTCCGATCCTTCTTGCTGACTGCTGAATGAGACTCGAAGACCTGAATTGGGCAGGTTGACTCGCTCAGACTGGATTCCTAAGGGAATTGGCAAAGCGTACGAAAGTGGCAGCTGCATCGGGTCCGCTCAACAACAACAGCTGGCCATCTGATCTGCATTGTGCTGAAAATGGACAAATACCCTCTGGTAATTTAACAAAGGTTTAGTTCGAGGATTTTCCCATTAAAACTGTTACCCTCTGGTAAACTAACATAACAATGGAAAATCACAATTTTCTAGCTGGGAAAATCAACTATAAATGGGTCATTTTCAATAGCTATGTTAAATTACCACCGGGTAACCTGCAATTTGTTCAGCGATTTCCCAGTGGCCCGCAGTGTTTGATGACTTTCCGACCAAGCCCTAGGCTAAGTTGACCGGTTTTTTCACCCACAAATGAGCAGTGTTCAAAAGCAGCAATTCCGGTATACTGCTTGGTGAACAGGGATTCCCATAGTGATACGTAATTATATTCATATATATATATATATTCATATGATGATCCCTTTTTTAGGCTAACTTATGCTATAATTATTTTTTCATAAATTATTACCCTCGGGTAAATTAACATAGACCCTGGCAGATAGGGGTTGGAAGACTAGTTTCCATTAAAAATTGGTGATTTTCACGGTCCATGTTTATTTACCAGAGGGTATGGTATAATCAGCCAACAGTCAACACTCGTTTGGAACCACACCTGCGACCTGGCACAGCTCGGCACCTCAATTTTTCCCCGGAACGGCTCGGCGTAGTACTTTGCTAGGTCGCCTCAGCAATTCGATGGCGGAGCCCTATGTTTGTGGCTTAAAAATACATGAAAACACGAAGTGAACTTGGAAAAAATGTGGATTTAAACGCAAAGATTGACTTGATCAATATTTGATGATAGGCTAGAACTACCTGAGCGGTTTCATGGGATTTTCAGCTAGTTGAGTGATGCATACAGCAATCCAATCTGTGGCTTCAGTGAAATTCAGTGGGTCAAAAAATCATAATAACATGACACGCATAGATATATTATATGTTATACATATATATATAATATACATATATATATATAATATACATATATATAATATGTATCTGTATACCCAGGCAAAAAAGGCTTGCTGTGTATCGTATCATCCCCACTTCAGCTTCAGCTTTTGGCAGTCAGATTCTGTATGATTCTGTGACCCACCTGCTCTTGGCCAAAGCCCCCAGTTCCGCAAGCGCTATGGGATGGGTTAAAGCATGCTAAAACCTTGGTACCCACACCCAACGGAGAACCCCCATTTAGTCCATTTAGTATATGCCATGTTTGAGGCTGTGGGAATGACGCGCCAGGTGTAATAGAAATTGGATGGTTTAAATCGGCTACTTAGGTGCATCCCTGTTAGGTTGTTACACTGGGACATATCCCACGTATAACTGGGTTGTAGCCAAGTCTCCGCTCACGAAGTGTATCACCACCTAGAAAAATTCGAACCATCACTGCCCAAACAAATGCGGTCTGTCTAAAAACAGGGGACCCCTAAATGGCAATTGTTGGATAATTTGTTGGATAATTGTTGGGAAAAATTGTCTGAGAATGTCTATTCATAATCATGTTCCCTCTTTTCTATGGCAATTCTTGGGTAATCACCACTCTCAGACACATCCACATTGTCACGTACTTCCTGCACACAAAAACGTAGCTCCCAAAACGCCCTCAGTCCAGGCAGGGGACCCAGTCCAATGATCCCATATAGCTATTGAGCTGTCCCCTGGTCACGTTTGCATTGGCGGGGGGAAGGTAGCTTTAGAAACAATAAATATGATGGTAGTAATATGTAGTAATTATATAATATGAAATCAACACACCATTTTCAATGGGAAAATCCACTATAAATAGCCATTTTCCATTGCTATGTTAGTTCACCAGAGGGTAATTGGCTTCATGTGAGGATTCAACACATCCAAGGATAGGCATGGTGACATGGACCAACGGACCAATGGAAGATGGGAGCAGCACCCACAAAAAGCAGCGAACGTCACAGAATCTTAGGGGTGCAGTTCCAGTCAGAAGTGCATATAAAACATTATACAACCATAGTATAACAATGTATACTGTAACTAATATACCTAGTTATAGGAGTTGTATCCCAATTTATCAGGGTGTTTAATTACCCTGGTTATACCAGAAAACTCACCCCAACTGCATCAGTCAAGGCACTTTGGAATGGTCCTTGCACGTTTTTTCCAACAGAAAACCAGTTGCATGATGCACTTCGGCCGCAGACATGATCCTTAGTGAAAGACTCTCCCGACTCCCGATGCACCTGGATCATCCAAGCCAGAACCTTGGAAGTTCTGGCTTACCATGATAGGTATTGAGAATGGTAGCGTTACAGAAAATCACCATGTCCACAATGGAAACTCACAGCTGAAAAAAAGAATCGTTTTTTTTTGACGTGCACGTGAACCAGTTTCTTTATGGATGTAGATCTACAGTTGAAATACTTTTATCTTTGCCCTGGCCATTTTGAGGTCTCAACATGAACTTCAGGGATGTGATGTTCATACTGTTTCTTCTGTTCGTTCTGGCAGCCCCGATGTTCATCCTGTTGTCCAAATCTTTGGCCCAATCGCCACCAAACTCTTGGCCAGAATCTGAAAATCATCTGAAATACAAACCCAGATCAGCAAGGGTCTCAGAAAGTCATTCATGTCCACACAATTTCAGGGATACGCCTCGATCATCAGCGGCTCAGCGGCTCATAGGAGATGGTCACTTTGGGTTTCTCCGATGCTTTGACGATGTGAACGGCGGGATCAGAGATCTCCTGAGGAAATGCTGAGCTAAAAAGTTTCAGAAACAAAAACAACCGGGGTGAAAGGCAATGCGTGATGTTGGTCATGGTCAATCATTCCCTCTAAAAAAGGCTCCCCTGGTTGAAGTATGTTGAATCCGCCTACACCGCTTTGGCGGTGAAGGCGTGCTTATTGGGGGGAAACAGCATGAAACAGCTACACTAAATGCTCAATCACATTTGTTAATATAGCAGTCGCTATATCAGCTTTAGCTGGGGGGGGGCAAAAACGGTTTCGCACCGAGACCAGAATTCGGTGGTGTTTTCGACATTTTTCGAGGATTTTTGGGTGTCTGAGCGCAAGAGGGTATTGAAATGGAATTTTGGGTCATTTGGCAGTGTGTCAAAACCTTGTACCCCTGGTGAACATCAAAATAGCTGGTAAATGGATGTTCATCCCACTAAAAATGGTATTAATAGGTATTGATCCATACCCATTTTGGTAGCTTTCCGGCAATGGAAAAACGGCCAAAAATGAAAAAAACATTGTACATAGCAAGATTTTGCAGGGTTTTTGGATGCCAGAGCATTGAAAACACTGCAAAAACAAGTGTTTTGGACTGACGTTATAGCAAAAAACGTGTAAATTACCGTATGCTTGACTGGAAACATTACAAAAACACTGTCAAAAGCAATGTTTTGGAAGGATTTATTGCCTTTATGGCAAAAAACGTGTAAATTACCGTCTGTTTGACTGGAAACATTGGAAAAACACTGTCAAAAACAATGTTTTGGAAGGATTTCTTATATATATATATGTTGGAGTTGGCTACCGGCATTGGAACATGGAAAAATTGAAGAAAACACTGTAAATAGCGGTATTTTCAACGGTTGGGGAGATAAGGGAATTGGAAGCATTGTCGAACATGATGTTTTCGACCGGTTTTATGGCGACAAAAGTGTAAAGTACCGTACTTTGAAGGAAACCATTGCAAAAACATGGAAACACATTCAAAGAACACGGGATTTGGGGGACTATCTAGGCGTCGTTGTCTAGCTATTTGAAATTCCGCAGCTTGGAGAGCCTCCAAGGGATGGAAAAGTGAAAATTCCATAGCTTGGGAAGCTGTCACGGCGGGGAAAAGTGAAAATTCCCTAGCTTGGGAAGCCCCCAGGGGGGGAAAAGTGAAAATTCCCTAGCTTGGGGAGCCCCCACGGGGGGGGGAAGTGAAAATTCTTAGCTTGGGAAGCCCCCACGGGGGAAAAGTGAAAATTCCCTCGCTTGGGGAGGGCCCCCCCCGGGGGGAAAGCGAAAAATCCCTAGCTTGGGAACGATGGCGACGAGGAGGATGCAAAGGATGATGATGATGATGATGATGATGACGATGATGATGATGATGATGATGATGCTGAGGCTGAGGCTGATGATGAGGGGGGCGGGAGGGGGGGGTCCCTTTCTCCTGGTCGTTCAGGGATAAGGGGTCCAGCCCGCACCTTTGCTTTCACATCTTCTCACATCTTCACATCTTCTCACATCTTCTCACATCTTCTCAGTTCTCACATCTTCTCACATCTTCTCACATCTTCTCACATCTTCTCACATCTTCTCACATCTTCTCATCTTCTCATCTCACATCTTCTCCTCTTGCCCTCTTGCCCTCTCCTTCTTTTCTATTTCTCTTCTGAAGGCGGGGGCAGGGGCAGTGCCAACGAGACGGCACGAAACGCAACCACGGGGGGGAAAAGTGAAAATTCTCGCCTGGGAAGCCTCTACGGGGGGGAAAAGTGAAAATTGCTTAGCTTGGGAAGCCCCAATTGGAAGCATTGTCGAACATGATGTTTTCGACCGGTTTTATGGCGACAAAAGTGTAAAGTACCGTGCTTTGAAGGAAACCATTGCAAAAACATGGAAACACATTCAAAGAACACGGGATTTGGGGGACTATCTAGGCGTCGATGTCTAGCTATTTGAAATTCCGCAGCTTGGAGAGCGTCCACTTAAAAAAATATTCACGAACCCAGCAGTTATGTATTTCAATTCTCCTGTGCTGCTCTGCTCCTCATATTCCACACCACCCTTAGCCCCTCTCACGGACCGAAATAAACCTGCGGTGTGGGCGGCCACCCCACGCGAAGCGGGGTGAATTATGAACTAGTATGAACTAGTGTGGATAGAATCCTTTGAATTCTGTCAGGGTATGGCTGATGGATGTCATTTGCTTCATTGCAGGAGTGAGGTCTTGTTCATCAACTGGATGCTTTCCAAGAATTGGAATTTACGAACAAACAAACTGATGGTCATGTGAGGTGGAGAAAAATCGTCCTCGCCATTTCCCTCCGCTTTGAACGGCTTACAGTCGGCATGTTCGCTTGTCAAAGAGTCCCATTGAATCATGGAAAAGCCACCACACATGCACACATCAAAAAAATAGCGATGTGTCCCTGGCTGTGTTCAGATTCGCTTCTCTTTTGCTCTATCATGCTCTATCAATCGAATTCACTCTGCCTGCAATGTTTTTTCAAACTTCTTCAAGTTTGAGATCATCAATTGTCTGTATTGTGGATTATCATGAGTCAATCAATCCAAGGTGGTGGGATTAGAATGCACCAGGTACTATCATCAGTTGTTAACGTGGTTGCAGGGCCTTTGTATTCCGAATAAGCACAGACAAGACTCTGCAACGCCATACCTGCACAAGGTGGGAGGCCCGGAGCTCAGAAGCTCAGAACATATCCCATCCCCCTGTCATATTAAACACCCTTAAACGAAACCATCAAGGGGAGGAAATCACGACCATTCACCGGGACCATTCACCGTGTAACTCATTTTCATATTGGGGGATGATGGGATTCAAAATGATGGAAATTGACATTGTCCACTAAAATATATCGCATTATATCGCATTATATCATCGTTTTGGTTGGTTCAATCCCAATATTAGGAGAGTGGGACTAGAACCTCAGTATGCTCTTTGAAATTGCCATACTTCTTGGAGGTTGAGCCGAAAGCCTCTACCTTGTTGGTGAATTTATCCATTTCACATGGATATCATGTTACAGTACGTTACATCCCCATTCTATCCGCATGATATCACCATGTTATCCTCTTAAAAACCCATGAATTTCATGGCTTAGATTGCCCCACCCTTTTGAAACCAATCCATATCTCCCATATGTTTCCATATGTTTGATCAATGTGAATTAATCATATCCATATTATCCATATTAAATCCATCATGAAATATGTGTAATACTATATTATATCATATTCATATTAAATCCAGATTATCCCATGTTGATGTGTTTGATCCTCATGCAATACTGTATCCCCACTAGATCTATCTCTCACCACGCCTTTGGGCGTTGGCTTCCGTCAGGGCCGGTGGCTTCGACGAAGCGTCGAGCGCACCGATACTGCGGGCGAAGCGGAAGGCATCGCGGAAGACCTGCGAAATGATCGGCACGGCACGGCCCGGGGGAAGCAGGTGGTTTTTGGTAACCCACTGGTGTAATCACCGATGTAGTGGAAAGCACCTGAGTTGAAAAAACAGTAGGGTTATGAGTTATGAACGATTGATGAACGATTGATGATCAATCGTAATTTATGTTTTGAGATAGTCCTTTGGTGTAATAACCAATGATTAATAACCCACTGATTAATAACTCACTGATGAATGAATAACTAGTGATTAAAACAGTCAAAATGACCATTGGGACCAATGTTTTTTATAAGCCAATGATTGGAGTTAGGATAACCCATGGATGTTAAGCCACTGATTGGTGCTTTTTTGGGTTATAATCCGTTGGTGTTTTTGGGGTTAGTACTGGTTTTATATATAGTAAGAGTGTGTTTTTTTTTCGTAAAACATACTTATATAAACCTCTCATGGAAGATTTTCGAGTAATTAGATGGCTAACAATGGTTAAGTAGCCGTAATGAAATATCTTATAGTGATTAACAACAATAATTGTCGCTACCTTCTGGCTACATACCCTCTGACTGCAAAATATAACATGGCAAATGAAAATTCTAAATGGTGTCTTAATGGAAACATCATCGAGCTAAATAGGCAATTTTCCAGCATGCCAGTTTGATCAAATTTGCTTAAACCAACCAAACACAGTGCTTCAATAAAGTACCAATTTTCGGTGGTTAAGCCAATACAAATGGTGACTTAAGCAAGAGAATTGTGGTTTACCCTCCAATGAACATGATCTGGAAACCCATGGTCAAAGCCGTTCAGAAACTGATCTAGAAATGGTATGAAATGGTGGCTTTCCATGTTCAATTATTGGTACAAGTATGGTTGGTTTGTTTATATAACATTCTGGTTGGTGGTATACCTACCCCTCTGATAAATATGAAAGTCAGTTGGGATGATTATTCCCAATATATGGAAAACCATCAACCAGCATTCTATAGTACTGTATTTATACACACACTTTTTAGGTCAAACGTCTGAATAATTTATGGTATATGAACAACAAACCAGCCATCGTCGTACCTGGGATAGGGACATACCAAAATATGAAGATGGCAGGTGGATCTAACTTGAGGATTCAGCAATTTCCCCACAAGATCAACGCACGATTTCACTTTATCATCATAAAATCCATGAAAATCCCACATGAAGATTCTTCTCTGGGTCTCTCCGAAACAGCCCCCCTAAATCGTATGAAGCAAACGGAGTTCCCCAGATTCCAAAAACATCACCTTCCGCCTCCAAAACATCCAAATCTTCAGGATGTCTCATGGCATGGTTGATCCGCGAGTAATATGCTTGCGCCTTCACATTCCTTGGACTTAACAAACCAGGGGGAAAAAAAAAAACGCGCCCAACTGGAAGAAAGAGACCTCCAAGCAAAAAAACACCTTCCAATATTTGCCATGGTCAGGTTGATTGAAGACTTCAATGACATATCCAGAGCTGTAGATTCTTCCAGAAATCATGTCAACTAGATACCTGTCCTATTTAGTGTAGCTCGATTCTCCCTATTTGTACAGTTTCTCCCCAATATCTCCATGCCTCTTATGGTTTTGGAGGTCCCATCCAAAAAAACTCCCGGGTCCGAGCTTTGAGTTGATTGGTAGTTTTGTCAAAAGACCCATCTAACATCATCAAAACCATAGGTTTTTTTTGTGCGGCCGCTGGCCTAACTGTAACTGTTAACTATGGATATATCATGATTTTTCCTCACCACTTTTGTCCATCCTTTAGCCTGGTTCCTTCCAACAACGCATTTTGCTACGCTACTTTTGAGGCATGGTTACTTGGAAAATCATACTGTAGATTTTATCATTCCCAATAAACAACCGCTCCAAAAAAGGCCTTTTGGGGAAGGGATTATTACGTCAAAATCCGCCCCAAGGATCTCTGGCATCGACAACTCTTCGAAGCGCATGGCACTTTCCACGGCGTCCAGCTCCGCTTCGGTCAGCGGAAGGCCCTCTAAATTTACCTGGAGAAATCAAATGACGCCAGTGGCAATTGGATTTAGATCTTGAATTAGAGAGCTGGTTCTTAGTCCAAGTTAAATCCGAATTGAACCCATATCAGGCAGGCGTAATTCCTTATTTTCAATTCCAGATTAGTATATTCATCCACGACCTTTAAGATGTTTGCACGGAACCAGTCGACTCCACTGGAGAGGGATGGGTTTTGGCAATGGGGGTGAAATGGATGATAGCAACCCCCAAGATATGATAGTTTGTCGAGCCAAGTCCGTGGAGCCTCCTGGGTAAAGTCCAATCAATATGTAATTATTGCATACCTATTTATGTATATATATATAATAACATAAAATAATATATAATTATATATAATTATATATAATTATATATAACAATATATAATTATACAATAATATATATAATAATATATAGTTATATATAAGAATATATATATATAATAATAATATATATAATAATATATAATTATATATAATAACATATAGTTATATATAATAATATATAATAACATATAATAATACGTATAATAATATACAAGAATATATTTAAAAAATATACACGAATATAAAATAATATATAATCACATATAGGCATATATAATCATATATATGCATATGTAATCATATATACTTATATTTAATCATGTAAAATCATATAATCATATACAATTAAAAAAATATATAATATGAAATAATAATAATAATATAATAAATATATATATATATGGATATAATATATATATATAATATATAATGATATAAAATACTATATAATAGTATATAATGATATAATGATATTGATGATAATAATATTAATATCTATACACATAAATATAGTTAGAGAATATTAGAGATATACAGTGCTTTCCCAGCCGAATGCAGCAATAAATCTTTGCATCTAGGCTCCAGGCGTGGGGGGAACTCTCGTGTGTGAGTCGTTGGGCCTGCTACCAGTTTCATGATAATACCCATCATATGTTGTATATATTTAAAGTATGTACTGATACTGCATACTTATACTAGATGTTTATACTGTATATCTATATTATATATAGACATATATTTATGTTTGTTTGTGTTTATATCATCTGTATGTATTCTCATTTTGTCTTTAGAGTGTACATCTATATTGGAAATGCATACCATGTATACACATACATCGACATACTTCCACATACTGCACATCATACTTACTTTGAACGAAACATATCATATGGATTCATATGTGGAACTTTATGGGCGTGTATGTACTTAAGCACAGCACAATCATGCGCAGCTTACAGTAAGAGCCTTTCCCCCCACCGTGACAAATGGATACAAATGGCTAGGCACAAGCCAGTCAGCTTCAAAGTCATGCAAGAGAAGTATTCCCAAGCCTGCCAACAAATTTCCACTGGCCCTGTGGCCCTGCCTGTGGTTCCATCCCAAACACCAAACATCACAAGAAATGGAGGTTTCCTAAGTCATAGGGCTGCCCCATTTCATCATCCATTTTAAAAGGATTTTCCTTTTTAAAAACCATCCAGCTATTAGGGTATCCCCATTCCAGGAAACCCCATTCCATCATGTTGCATCGAATCTGAGGCGTGCTGTGCATCTACCCGAGATGAAGGTGAAACAAGTCGTCCAGTTTCTATGTGAACATAAAAACTTTGGAGAGATCATGATCCAAAACATTCCAAAACTACAAAAACCCTGAATCAATGATAGTGTCGTTCTCCATGACTGGGATACCTTTTTTGCCTTGACGGATGACCCGAGAACTCTCGGGAAATGGTTTCTACACCTCAGCAACCTATCATTGTTTGTGTTTTCTTTCTTGTCTCCGTGACTTCAACTCACTTCTATCAGTGTTTATTTCATTTTATTTCTATACACAACATCATCACAACATAAATATGGCTTTCCTTTGTAAAACTTTATACTGCAACCATCACTTAACCGTAGAAAACCCCCCTCACTTCGTCACGCCTTCAGAGTCCGCCCGTCCCGTGCGCCCAACGCGGTGCACGTAGTCGTCACGACTCTCCGGAGCGCCCAGCTGAATCACCGCCGTGACGCCCGGATAGTCCAAACCCCTGATGAACGAAGGATGAACGGATGGCATTCATCTACCTATTCATCCATCCATCTATATATAGTCCATCTATATATATAGTATCTTACATTACAATACAGTATGGTTCTGCATTACATGAGTTCCATTCCATTACATACGTATATCACATGAATATTATACATATATATATACTTTACATACATATATATATATATATAAGCCGTATGGTTTATACATAATAGACTATATGTATGTTTTACTAATAGGATATTATGCTAGTATAATATGTATATATATAATTATATATATAATATGTGCAATTACATAGTGCGAATGCGTGATGATCCGGAGCGACTTCTGCTAGGGGTCAGTGAAAACATCAACAAGAAACCAGACATAGCTACTATGTCAGGGGCCAGAATGCCAATTTATGCCAGTCAATAAAAATAAGTCCAAAGACTACAGTAGGCTTTCGTATAAAGGTCTCTCTGTGTATACTAAGATCCTCACCTGTCACCTCACCAAATATTGTGTGACTTTGGAACCATCTGGCTGTGGTCAAGTATGAGTATCTGACCTACCAAAGCTTTGACCCACAACTTTCCCATCCCCTACACAAACAAAATCTCATGGCTGAAATTCCAAAAGACTGCCTGGAATCCAGCAAAATCTGGTCTAAAAGCCATCTTAAAGGCTCTTACATGCCATCTGCCAAGACCTTGACATCTTCCTCTGATCATCTCTCATCTGATGGGTCACCACTGGGTGCCATTTTTTACCATGGAAAAGCTGGAAAGCTTCAATCCCAGGAATGAACCCTGTCCCCAGAGTTTCAATGTTTCAGCGTTTTTCTGCAACCCACGTTGATGCGATATCTGGCATCGGCAGGACGCCTTGTTGCAGCTCATGTTCCATTTAGGTTTCAGACAAGATATGGCAAAAGGGCCCATTTATAGATGTTTTACCTTGCATAAATGATGATTTTCCATAGTTATGTAAACGTTTACTGCAGGGTATCCCATCATATCCTGATCAACCATATACAATGTTTCATCATATCATACTGTATTACCCTCCGGTGTCATCAAACGTGGCAATTGGACATCCCTTATGTTTCAAAGGTTTCTAGCTGTGAAAATCATCAAACTAAATGGGGAACTTTCCAGCAAACCATGTTTGATATCCCAGTTTGTCAATTATATTTCCACATCTTTGTTGGTTGACAGAATATATAATATACATACCCTCCTCCTGTCAACCAACAAAGATGTGGAAAACCCACGTGTAGATTGATTTTCCCGGACTTTTCCATGATTTATCCACATGTTTTGTCTGTTTACCCTAGGGTATTCTATCTCAAATAAATATCAGAAAAATATATCATACATACATATATATATATCATTATATATATATGAATCAGATATATCAAATATATCAAAACCACATCATACATATTATTTCATCCAGGGTTTAGGCTTCTACAGCAAGCCACCTGGAGGTGATGTCGGAGGTGAACAGCATGCCAGTCTCAGCGTCACGGAAGGCGTCGGACTGAGCGCTGCGCTGCTGCTGCTTCCTGGGACGATGAACAGCTGAGATATCTACCCTCTGGGTATCCCATCATATCAATGGGAGATCTCCAGGATCCTAAAATGGAGGTACGTTAGTACCATATGTTTGGCCATATTTTCTGGGGATATTCCCTGAAATTTAGGCCTTATATATGGTAGGTACCTCCAATAAATCGGATCCTGGAATGGCCATTGATCATATCCTGATCAACCATATATAATACGAGTAATTGTTCATAAAAGGATGCTTAAAATACCAGGTTTAATGGGGTTCATCAAACTCTGGGGTTTTCAAATAATACCCTCTGGTTCTAACATAGCCATGGTTAAGCCATGGCCCAAAGAAATAGATGGTTTACCGAACTTAAAAATTGTGATGTTCCATGGCTATGTTAAATAACCAGATGGTAATACTGGTATATACTATGGTTGATTAGGATAATGGTATCAACCAAAATTTATGGTATGTATACTATAGTATTATACATAGGGTAATAATTATGGTATATCTGCATATAACCATATATAACCATAGGGATATCCAGGGTATAGGGTATATCTGTAACCATAGGGATATTCCCATATATAGCGCCGGACAACTACTTAGAACATCGTTTTGGAATTATTTTGGTGGGTACGCGCCCTCTACTTAGAACATTTTCGGCGAATAGGGGACGTATGTTCTAAGTGACTTAGAACATATGAGGATCCTCTACTTAGAACACGCCATCATATATACATGTAAATATATGTATATGTATACATACATACAACTTAACACTGCATATTTATATTATATATACAGGAGGTGTGATGTTGCGTCAATTGGGGCGGAGTCTTGGTGACCAAGAAGCACAACGCTGGAAAGGAGGTCATCCTCCATGGGGACTCTGGTGGGTGTTTGATTAATTGGGATGGGATTCATATTATACAGGTTTGGAAAGTTTTTATTATATGAATATATAGTGCCGGACAACTACAATATTCAAAATATATTATATATACACAGGATTTTCCAAAATGCACGTAGATAGCTGGTGGGATTCTTACTTAGAACATGGAGGAACCCCCAAAACCTCTGTGTATATATATATATAGCGATGTACATACGATTCGAACATCAGGTTTGGAAAGTTTTTATTATATGAATATATAGTGCCGGACAACTACAATATTCAAAATATATTATATATACACAGGATTTTTCAAAATGCACGTAGATAGCTGGTGGGATTCTTACTTAGAACATGGAGGAACCCCCAAAACCTCTGTGTATATAATATAGCGATGTACAACGATTCGAACATCAGGTTTGGAAAGTTTTTATTATATGAATATATAGTGCCGGACAACTACAATATTCAAAATATATTATATATACACGGGATTTTCCAAATGCACGTAGATAGCTGGTATTCATACGATTCAAACATCAGGTTTGGACAGTTTTTATTATATGAATATATAGTGCCGGACAACTACAATATTCAAAATATATTATATATACACAGGATTTTCCAAAATGCACGTAGATAGCTGGTGGGATTCTTACTTAGAACATGGAGGAACCCCAAAACCTCTGTGTATATATATATACGATGTATGACATCACATTCGACACATCAGGTTTGGAAAGTTTTTTTATTATATGAAATGTAAAGTGCGGACAACGACATAAGTCAAATATTTATATCTACACAGTTATCTCCCAAACAGTCGGCACGTAAGATTAACTTGGGGGTGTGGGTTCCTTAGCTTATACATGGGCAGGGGACCCCCTTCAAGCCCACCTCTGTGTATATATATATAGCGATGTACATACGATTCGAACATCAGGTTTGGAAAGTTTTATTATATGAATATATAGTGCCGGACAACTACAATATTCAAAATATATTATATATACACAGGATTTTCCAAAATGCACGTAGATAGCTGGTGGGATTCTTACTTAGAACATGGAGGAACCCCCAAAACCTCTGTGTATATATATATATATAGCGATGTACATACGATTCGAACATCAGGTTTGGAAAGTTTTTATTATATGAATATATAGTGCCGGACAACTACAATATTCAAAATATATTTTATATACACAGGGTTTTCCAAAATGCACGTAGGTAGCTGGTGGGATTCTTACTTAGAACACGGAGGAACCCCCAAAACCTCTATATAGCGATGTACATACGATTCGAACATCAGGTTTGGAAAGTTTTTATTATATGAATATATAGTGCCGGACAACTACAATATTCAAAATATATTATATATACACAGGATTTTCCAAAATGCACGTAGATAGCTGGTGGGATTCTTACTTAGAACATGGAGGAACCCCCAAAACCTCTGTGTATATATATATAGCGATGTACATACGATTCGAACATCAGGTTTGGAAAGTTTTTATTATATGAATATATAGTGCCGGACAACTACAATATTCAAAATATATTATATATACACAGGATTTTCCAAAATGCACGTAGATAGCTGGTGGGATTCTTACTTAGAACATGGAGGAACCCCCAAAACCTCTGTGTATATATATATATAGCGATGTACATACGATTCGAACATCAGGTTTGGAAAGTTTTTATTATATGAATATATAGTGCCGGACAACTACAATATTCAAAATATATTATATATACACAGGATTTTCCAAAATGCACGTAGATAGCTGGTGGGATTCTTACTTAGAACACGGAGGAAGGAACCCCCAAAACCTCTATATAGCGATGTACATACGATTCGAACATCAGGTTTGGAAAGTTTTTATTATATGAATATATAGTGCCGGACAACTACAATATTCAAAATATATTATATATACACAGGATTTTCAAAAATGCACGTAGATAGCTGGTGGGATTCTTACTTAGAACATGGAGGAACCCCCAAAACCTCTGTATATATATATATAGCGATGTACATACGATTCGAACATCAGGTTTGGAAAGTTTTTATTATATGAATATATAGTGCCGGACAACTACAATATTCAAAATATATTATATATACACAGGATTTCCAAAATGCACGTAGATAGCTGGTGGGATTCTTACTTAGAACATGGAGGAACCCCCAAAACCTCTGTGTATATATATAGCGATGTACATACGATTCGAACATCAGGTTTGGAAAGTTTTTATTATATGAATATATAGTGCCGGACAACTACAATATTCAAAATATAGTATATATACACAGGACTTTCCAAAATGCACGTAGATAGCTGGTGGGATTCTTACTTAGAACATGGAGGAACCCCCAAAACCTCTGTGTATATATATATATAGCGATGTACATACGATTCGAACATCAGGTTTGGAAAGTTATTATTATATGAATATATAGTGCCGGACAACTACAATATTCAAAATATATTATATATACAGGATTTTCCAAAATGCACGTAGATAGCTGGTGGGATTCTTACTTAGAACATGGAGGAACCCCCAAAACCTTTGTATATATATATAGCGATGTACATACGATTCGAACATCAGGTTTGGAAAGTTTTTATTATATGAATATATAGTGCCGGACAACTACAATATTCAAAATATATTATATATACACAGGATTTTCCAAAATGCAAGTAGATAGCTGGTGGGATTCTTACTTAGAACACGGAGGAACCCCCAAAACCTCTATATAGCGATGTACAGACGATTCGAACATCAGGTTTGGAAAGTTTTTATTATATGAATATATAGTGCCGGACAACTACAATATTCAAAATATATTATATATACACAGGATTTTCCAAAATGCACGTAGATAGCTGGTGGGATTCTTACTTAGAACATGGAGGAACCCCCAAAACCTCTGTGTATATATATATATAGCGATGTACATACGATTCGAACATCAGGTTTGGAAAGTTTTTATTATATGAATATATAGTGCCGGACAACTACAATATTCAAAATATATTATATATACACAGGATTTTCCAAAATGCACGTAGATAGCTGGTGGGATTCTTACTTAGAACATGGAGGAACCCCCAAAACCTCTGTGTATATATATATATAGCGATGTACATACGATTCGAACATCAGGTTTGGAAAGTTTTTATTATATGAATATATAGTGCCGGACAACTACAATATTCAAAATATATTATATATACACAGGATTTTCCAAAATGCACGTAGATAGCTGGTGGGATTCTTACTTAGAACATGGAGGAACCCCCAAAACCTCTGTGTATATATATATAGCGATGTACATACGATTCGAACATCAGGTTTGGAAAGATTTTATTATATGAATATATAGTGCCGGACAACTACAATATTCAAAATATATTATATATACACAGAATTTTCCAAAATGCACGTAGATAGCTGGTGGGATTCTTACTTAGAACATGGAGGAACCCCCAAAACCTCTGTGTATATATATATATAGCGATGTACATACGATTCGAACATCAGGTTTGGAAAGTTTTTATTATATGAATATATAGTGCCGGACACTACAATATTCAAAATATATTATATATACACAGGATTTTCCAAAATGCACGTAGATAGCTGGTGGGATTCTTACTTAGAACATGGAGGAACCCCCAAAAACCCTGTGTATATATATATATATAGCGATGTACATACGATTCGAACATCAGGTTTGGAAAGTTTTTATTATATGAATATATAGTGCCGGACAACTACAATATTCAAAATATATTATATATACACAGGATTTTCCAAAATGCAACGTAGATAGCTGGTGGGATTCTTACTTAGAACATGGAGGAACCCCAAAACCTCTGTGTATATATATATATAGCGATGTACATACGATTCGAACATCAGGTTTGGAAAGTTTTTATTATATGAATATATAGTGCCGGACAACTACAACATTCAAAATATATTATATATACACAGGATTTTCCAAAATGCACGTAGATAGCTGGGGGGATTCTTACTTAGAACACGGGGGAACCCCCAAAACCTCTACTTAGAACATATATGAACATATATGAACTAAGTAGTGGTCCAGGATCTCTACTTAGAACACGTTTTGGAATTCCAAAACCAATGTTCTAAGTAGTTGTCCGGCGCTATACAGGAGCACACAAGATCGCAACAGTCGATGACCTTCACGAGGATCCAAATGAATCAAAATCAAAGTTTGAATATGGCACCAACCTGGTATGTGCACAAGAAAATGAGGCTGCGGATCACACTGAGAAAGGCGCTGCAAACTGATCCACATTCACAGCTCGAAAAGAAGCCAGTAAATAACAAGCACAGCTGTGACAAATCCGACCAGAAAAATGCAGCACTCGTAACAGCCCCACTTCAATGCAGGCGCAGGCGTAGGCCGAAGCACCACAGGAGAGGTTATGGCACGCCGCCCGCGCTCCCTAATGCCCATTCAAGGCAAAAAATCCACCCCCTAAATTGGAGGTATTCCCTCCTCACCCAACCCTCAGCCAGATTGCGGACGCAACATAAAATTGAAGCTGCTGTGATCGTTGAATCACCTGTGCTTTCCAAATTGACATCTTCGATTGTGATTGCTTCCATGAAAATTTGACCTTTGTAAACAACGCCACTGTAAAAACTCCAAGTTGAAGTTGAAGACCAGCATTTGAAAGCCTGTTGTCAAACAAAAATCCAACTTCTGAAAAGGCTGCAAGGTTGCAAGACGATCATTCTTTAACCCAATGTCTTCAGCAAGAGCAGCAGGAGGACCAGCTGAAGAATCAGCGAGAGTAGAGGCAGCGGAGATAGCAGCACGAAACACCGTTTGTCACAAGCATAGGAATAAGGCGCTATCAACAAGTTGACTGCACACTTCAAAGAAGTATTGTTCCCAAAAACATGTCAAGAAGTAATCTCTTGACTGATATCTTCATTATCGAATATTGAAAGTGCAATGCAAATAGAATATTGTGGAAATTTCCGCCCGGACGTCGAACGGAGCCCACTGGATCCTCCAGGATGAACGCGTCAATATTCTAAGGGCTAGCCGGCCACTATATGTATATGCATATGCGTATGTACATGTACATGTACATGTATATGTTATGTTTTATGTATGAATGCACGGAATGGAATGGAATGGAATGGAATGGAATGGAATGCAATGAAATGTAGGGTAATGTAATGACATGTTAGGTATGTGTGTATGCATGCAAGTTGAAATGTATATTGGCAGCCCCTCTTTGGAAAGAACCCTTCGCAGGTGCGTGCGGTAAAAAAATACAAAGCATCTAGTCCGGCTCCCCCGTCACAAGATCACCAAGTAGCACTAAGCTGACTCGGCGGCTGCGACGGCTGGCGCCATCTTCCCATGGAGGCAGGTGCTGGCCACGTCCATGAAAGCCTCGGCTTGCCGTGGGGTTGTCAGAATTCAACCCAAAGCATTGCAGCGAGCTTTCTGGACTTAGCCGTGGTTCTTTCCTGTCAGTATTACTTAATGCTGATTTCATGATGATTGCACTGAGGGTCGCTTAACGGAGCCAACCTGCAGTCATAATTAATCAGATCTATTGCAGCTTAGTTGGCTAAGCATCACTTGCTTCTCAACACCTCAGACCATGTAATGCTGCCAGATGCGCAGCCAAGAAACACACGAAAGAGAAAAGTAAGTCAAAGCAAAGGAACCGACCGCATGCAAGGCAGCTTCATACAATATATATATATGTGTGTGTATTTATATATAATTATAAATATATAATGGCAGAACGAAGCCAGCCAATTGCCAGCTGTGTTTCAAGCTTAGACCTCACCCAGGACCAAGACCCCTGCTCAAATGGTTGCCTTCTTCACCCATCTCCCGCAAGATGATTCGCAACTGGTCCTTTGGTTGGGTCGAATCCATAATGCGCCATGAACCATACGATGTCTCAAAGAAGAAAGGAAATGCTTCTCAACAACAGGCTTTGGACCAATTCTCTTAGAGGCATTTCTTATTTGGTGGTTCCCCAAATAAAACTACCCATTAGCTTAATAGCTTAACAGCTTGTCGTAACAGCTTAATAGCTGATTCGATTTGCGGGCGATCCTGCCGGGACTCTGAAAAATAGCGGAACAAATAGTGGAATTGCCATGGCTCCAGATTTTCTTGATTCATTCTGATAGATTATTGTTTAAAAAGGCCTTTGCTGCCATCTTGTAGTTTTATTGGATTGGTTTTAGGACTGCTTAGGTGTGTAGGTAATTTGTTGTTGATTTCGAAGCCAGCCGCTATTGAGCTTAGGATTTGCTGTGGAAATTTCAAAATTTAGCAAGGACATGTCAGGTTTTTTCAAAGCTTTTCCAAGTATTTATTGATTTGTTTCAAGCATTTATGGTCAAACTATAGGAATAATCATTGTGTGAGAGGGTCTAGGAATTTCACACGGTCGAGCGCAGCCGAGCACAGCCAACCGGCGGAGTACAGCTGAGCACAGCCGAGTACAGCCGACCAGCCGAGTACAGCCGAGTACAGCCGAGTACAGACGAGTACAGCCGAGTACAGTGGAGCACAGCGGGGTACAGCCGACTAGCCGAGCACAGCCCACCAGCCGAGCACAGCCGAGCATAGCCGAGGAGCGCAGCTGAGCACTGCCGAGCACAGCCGACCACCCGACCACAGCTGAGCACAGCCGAGCACTGCCGAGCACGGCTGAGAGCTACACTTGCATTTGCACACCAGCAGACTTGGTTCGACACTTCAACTTCCTTCGCTTGTACTTGATGCATCTTGATGCTAAGTATCAACATCTTTCACCCGCTCTTTCATTTGCGCTTCATGCTGCCCTTCAACATTTTATACTTGCACACGCGCAAACCTGCTTCTACGCTTGAACTTCTTTAACTTGCTTTGCTCCTGCGCATCAGCCCGACAGCAGCCTAGCAGCAGGCCAGCATCTACTGTAATTAGATGACTCGATGCAACTACTCTAGAATGGCACCCCCTCGCAGGGCGATATATGAAATGAATTTGCTCGACGGATTTGCTCGACGGTCCAATGAATGAGCCAGGCATGACAAAACAACACTTTCACCAGTGTAAACACAAGGTAAATGAAGAAATGTTTACTTCCAAAGCATCATTTTCTATCTTAAGCAACTGCTCCACAGCAACTAAACGCATGTTGGGGCGACTTTCCCGGGAAGTCTCCCCCAACTAAACGCAAGATTTTGGATCGGGCGGGGTGAGTTCACTATAAGCGAATATATATAAACTATCCACAAAATACCACAAAAGTCCTAAAAATGCGCCGACCAAAATCAAACACCACAAAAATCCAGCAAAAACTTACACAAACCCCACAAAAAAAAGAGGGAAAGGTTGTGTTCCATTGAGCAGTGCTCGCACAAACAGAATTCTGCCTTTTTTCCACCATTACTTTTTCAAAAAACTTCAGGTTGACAATCGAAGACATGAATTGCCTATTGAATCGAAGGCCGCACATTCCTACACATCATCACACTGTGTCACGAAAGCCCACCATTTTTCCAAGCACAGCATCAGCAGCAAGTTTTTTTGAGCTACATCCTCAAACTGATGGTTTGGTGTTCACAATTGGTGGTCCAGCCCCTTTGGTAAGGCTATGGGTACCTGGATTAACCCAAGAAATCCCAAAAGTATTACAAAGAAATTCCTCGGGTTGCATAGGAATTGAATTGAAATTTCAAAAGGTTTCGTCTGGAGTGGAATCGGTATGACAACAAGAAAGCCCCTAAGAAGGAACCCCCAAAAGCAACCCTTAGAGCTTCATGAAAATGACGTTCATCTTCATCGATTCGGTGATTAGGTAGGACCGTAAGATGTGAGCACCATCCGATATGGCGCTGCTTGCTGCTTGCACATCCGAATACATGATATTACATGGCAGCTTGTAATATTTTCAGCATGTCTTGACAATCATTCTTGGGCACCTAGACCGGGCGCTGACCTGTGCATGAAGACAGGCACCTGCAAAAGCACCACGGTCTCGAAGAGGTATTTGAAGTCCCAAGACCACAAGTCCTGCAACCGAGTTTGCGTATGTGAGAAATTGTGAAACTGACTCGTTTGGCACACCCAGAAGATACAACTGCGAAACAAGGACAAAGAACGACTCCTGGCACAAACCAACACAACTGTGTGCAGCAAAAGCTCTGGAACAGACATCCACACATGCATGTTGTGCACATTTACGTACAACACACACACACTGGACAAGAATGGATCATTATATGATCCGGCAGGAACTGAATCCTGAAACATGCAGATTAGACAGGAGCCGAATTAATATACGATATATATATATATATAAATCACAGTGGACAATGACAGTATAAAACAACAGCGAAAATTATATTATGTCCCCCCAGCTGCGTCTTAAATGCGCCCAGGGCGGGACAGGCAGGTACGTTTACCTGATCTCCAGTGTGGAGCTTCGTTGGCAGAGGCCACAACTGGAGATCCCTCTGCCCCCTGACATATATAATATAATATAAGGACGAAGTTTTACGTCTATTCAGACGGTGCACACACACACACACACACCCTGCCTCCGGCAGGGTGGTGCGCGTAAAAATGAGATGAAAGTGAGGATGAACGGGGGATGAAAATGAGATGAGAGTGACAATGAGATGAACGTTACTTAACCAGGGCGCGAAGAGGGGAACGCAAAAGAAGAGGGAAGGAGCAAACACACACCAACACACCTAGCCCGGAGCGGGCGAACCCTGAAAAGGCAAGGGAAAAGAAAAAAGCGGAGGGTCGACGGACACGGACCAAGACCAGCGGAGGGGGGAAGACGGAAGCGCCTGAACCAACCTGCCAAAGCGAAAACCTACAAAAACCTCAGCACGCGACGGAACCAACCTACCTGGGGAGGGAGGAGAGCATGAGATAGGGGACCAATGGGGAACTAGTTAGTGAAAAACAAAACCAAAAACAGGATTCAGTCCCTAATTTCCTAAGTGTCGTGCGATTGTTCCCTGCACCGGGACCGTGGTCAAGTCTTGCCCCAATGGCAAAAAAAAGCTGTCAAATTCCAGCGAATTAGGTGCACAAAATGTTTGACCTCACCAGACAACCAAAAGGAAGAAAACCACACCTGCAAGTCGTGTGCCTGCCTGATCCTGTCTCATGTACTGTTGCAATGTGACTGCAAAAGTTGCTGCGAAGAAGGAGGTTTCTGAATGTTCAGCACAGCTTCGCAGTCAAAGAACTGCTTTCCACTGGAGCTCGCAAGGGACAGCCGGAGCGGCAGGACTTCCCAAAAAAAAGGTGCAAAACCGAAAGGCTGACTGTTGCACTTTACTTAAACGAATTACCAGGTTAAAATGTGTGAATTCAGAATTCCGGTCAGTCGACATTCACCCTAAACAGGGTTGCCTCAATTGGCCCTATGGCACCATGTCGGAGTCACCATAGGAATCACACTAGACAAGAATGGATCATTATATGATCCGGCAGGAACTGAATCCTGAAACATGCAGATTAGACAGGAGCCGAATTAATATACGATATATATATAAATCACAGTGGACAATGACAGTATAAAACAACAGCGAAAATTACATTATGTCCCCCCAGCTGCGTCTTAAATGCGCCCAGGGCGGGACAGGCAGGTACGTTTACCTGATCTCCAGTGTGGAGCTTCGTTGGCAGAGGCCACAAGTGGAGATCCCTCTGCCCCCTGACATATATAATATAAAATAAGCACGAAGTTTTACGTCTATTCAGACGGTACACGCACACACACACACACACGCGTGTATACTTGTGACTTATATATATATATATATATGTATATATACACATTGAGAGAGAAAGAGAGAGAGAGAGAGATAGAGAGAGATGCATCTATCTATCTATCTACCTATCTACCTACCTACCTATCTACCTATCTACCTACCTACCTATCTACCTATCTACCTATCTACCTATCTACCTATCTACCTATCTAACTATCGATCTATCTATCGATCTATCTATCGATTATCTATCTATCTATCTATCTATCTACATACATACATACATACATACATACATACATACACACATACACACATATAAGTATAATTATATAGATAGATAGATAGATAGATAGATAGATAGATAGATGGATAGATAGATAGATAGATAGATAGATATAGTATGCACAATGTTCTACGTACAAAACATACAATACAGCACAATACAATACAATACAACACAATACAATACAATACACTACAATACAATACTTTACAAGAAAAGACAGTAAATTACATTACATTACATTACATACACATAGACATCCCCAGACAAATAACAATCATTTTCTTTAAGCCGAAAACAGAACAGAACGGAGTCAAGTCAAAATGAAATCCGAGATCATGGAAGCTTCATAATCTGTCTACACCTTTACCAAGTTGGACAAGAGAAACATAGAAAACTCCCGATCTCGCCATATCTTGCCTCTAAAGTGCAAGTCATGTACCGTCCAGCACGTGGCCCACCGAACCAGTGAGAGAAGTGGCCAATCTTCCATGCAGAGTTGAGCTCCTTGGCTGCAAATATCTTTTGTGGTCTTGGGGCGCCCAAGAAAAGAAGTAGAAAGGGACCCACCTATGAACAGCCTTGGATTCAATTTTCATTGTATTCACCACATATACAAGTAGTACCCGGGCAAGCCGGGGGCGGAAGTTTCAGATTTGAAACGCTTATTGCCTATAGAGCGGAGCAAAGGCTGTGCCTATAGGTGACAGGCAAGCCTCCTGCGCTTCGCAGCAACAAGCTCTTGACTTGTCAATCTGGTGCCATGTCTTTTGAATTTTGAATCTTTTCTCATGTCATCTGATCTCATCGCATCGCAGCATCTCCTGGAAATTGCGCATTGCTTCCCATTGTCACCGCAATCTGTGTCATCCAATCTCATCTCAACTCACCTCAGGTTTTCGCAGCTTTTTTCACATCATCTCATCCCATCTCATCTTTTCTCTCCCTTGCTCAGCTCTTCTAAGCTGGTCAACTGCTCTCTTCTCTTCTCATGTCACCTGAGCTTTTCTCGTCTCTTCTCATCTCATCTCAGCTTTTCTCAGATTTTCACAGCTCTTCTCAACTCTTCTCAGCTTTCCGCAGCTCATATCAGCTCACCTTATGTCTTCTCATCTCTTCTCTCCTCTTCTCACATCTTCTAAGCTCTTCTCACATCTCCTCAGCTGATCTCAGCTTTTGCCAGCTCGTGTCACCTCATCTCAGCTCTTCTCAGCGGACTCTCAAATCATCTCAGCTCTTCTCTTCTCTGGCCCAAAACCTGCTCCAAACAAGGATCTCGGTGCCAAAGCAAGCGACCCCTACGCCCTACACTTCCACAGAGAAGATTTGACACAGAGAACCTTTACACACAGCAAGCTTTTGCACAGAGAAGTTTGTACACAGAGAAGTTTTTACACACAGCAAGTTGTTACACACAGAAGCTTTTACACAGAGAAGCCTTTACACAGCTTTGACACACACAGCAAGCCTCCACACAGAGAAGCCCCTACACAGAAAAGCTTTTACACAGAGAAGCTTTTACACACAACAAGCTTGTACACAGAGAGCCTTTACACACAGCAAGCCCTTACACAGAGAAGATTTTACACAGAGAAGCTTTTACACAAAGCAAGCTTTTACACAGAGAAGCTTGTACGCAGAAGAGCTTTTACACAGAGAAGCTTTACACAGAGAAGCTTTTACACAAGCAAGCTTTTACACACAGAAGCTTTTACACCGAAGAATTTTACACAGAAGAGCTTTTACACACAGCAAGCTTTCACACGGGGAAGCATTTACACAGAGAAGCTTTTACACACAGAAGCTTCTACACACACAGAAACCTTCATTGCCGCGGTCCGAAACTTAGAATGGGTCAAAAAGTGTAAACAATTAAATGGGATTAACTTAGAATGCCCCCCAGTTAGAATGCCCCCCCCTCAAACTTGGAATGACTCAGTGCTCATATACCAAAATAGCATGTGTGTACTACTTCAAAATGCAGGGAAAACCGAAGGAACATGATCCAGGATACTAAACTTAGAATGCCTCTGAACCCAAATGCAATGGATTTCATAGGTGTAATCCTTCAAATTAGTGTGGTCAAACCTGATGAGAAACCATCCCCAATATCACCATACATGGCTGGCAAAAAGAATCCCTAAATTACACAGAGATTTACTGGTGGGTTTGGTAAAACTATAAATGAACACGGCATTGATCTATTTGTTGTCTTTTTGTTGTCCTTTGAGTGTCCTATTTCATTTTCATTCCCTTTCTGTCTTTTCATTTTCCTTTAGCATTAATATGCCTTTCTTCTTTATTCATGTTACCTTAGTTTCACTGCATTTCCATGTCATTTTCCTAGCATTGTCTTTTTGTTTCCTTTTCGTTCCTGTCTCGTGGCTCCTCCTGTAATTTTCTTTCCTTCTTTCCTCACTGATTGTTGAAACCTGAGATTTGTTGCAATTTTAGGTGAAATGTAGAAACATGTGGGTTTTCTCTTCTTTTTCCCTGGTTTTGTCCTTGTTTCCTTTTTCTGTTATGTTTACATGTGTGTTCCGTTCTGTTCCTTGCGTTTTCTGTATTTTTCTTTTTGAATTCCGATTTTTTTCTGCAGTTTCTTTTAATTCCCCTTTCCTTTCCCTTTCATGTTCCTTTTTTCTCTCAATTTTCAATTATCGTTCCTTCCGTTGTCCTTGGGTATTCCTTTCATTTTTCTAACCGTCCTTCGTGCAAACAAGCAAGCAAGCAAGCAAACAAACAAAAAACAAGCACGTGGCAAACCATGGCAAACCGAAGAATAAACCTATCATTTGGGGATGCTTTATACAGCCACATATCGCACATATACCACCCATTTATGATGATTTTAGGTAAAATCTGTCGTTCAATCCATCTAACAACACATCATATTACTCAGCTAATTTTACGGGTACTTTTCGGGTAAAAAAAAACTGTGAGAGAGTAGTCATGTTTGGCTCTCCGAGCTCCGTTCTTGGTAGGGTTTTAAGTTCTGATTACGGTGAACAGTTTCGCAAAACGTAAAAAAAAAAAAACATTTTTTTTAAATCTCTTTACCGAAATCTGAGCGGGTGAAACGGGTACCTTTTTCGGGGTATGGCGATTTTCGACAGTTGGGTTCTAAGTTTCAGTCCGCTTATACTCATATTGGCTGATTTTTCTTCATTTTTCTGAACAAAAGTTCCAAACAAACGCTATCGCACTACTTTTCCTCTTTTGTTTAACATGCTCATTCTTTTCCGGACATGCTTCTCAATTTTCCCCCACAAATTTGCCAAAAAAAATGCGGCTACACCATTTTTCTTGAGTTTTTGAAAAATTTTGTTTATGTCCTTCCATTTTTCTTCATTTTTGCTGAGACGTGTTGCAAAAAAAAAACGCGCTACATTTTTTGATCCATGATTGATGCTTTCGGCCGTATATTTCGGCATGTTTTTTTCCTTCATTTTTCCTCACAAATGTTGCAAAAACAACGCGGCTACACCATGTATTCACCAGTTTTTGAAGATTTTTGTTGTTGTATGTTGTTGTCCTTTCATTTTTTGCATTTCTGCTGAGACGTGTTGCAAAAAAAACGCGGCTACACTTTTGTGGGGTCAAATGACAAAAATTATGGGGCATTCTATGTTTTAGGGCAAACAAAGAGTTTTTTTTACCATATTACATGGGTATGCTCGGGGCTTTCTAAGTTTAACCAAAATGGGGCATTCCAAGTGGGGTTTTGCTGCGCATGCGCGGTGTTTTGTTCAAAATTCAAAATCGCGGCTGGGATTGTTTTTTTCAAACGAGCGCTTTTGGTCATTCTAAGTTTCAGACCGCGACATTGCACAGCAAGCTTTTACACAAAGAAACTTTTACACAGAGAAACCTTTACACAGAGAAGCTTTTACACACAGAAACTTTTTACACAGAGAAGCTTTTACACACACAAGCCTTTTCGCACAACGGCGCGAGAAATTGCAGCTCGAAAACCGGATCTCGGCGCCAAAGCAAAAACATATTTTGAAGCACTTTCGAAAAACATAAAAATAAGTCATTTTCCTAGCATTCAGGTGTTGTCTCATTGCTTTCAGGTGTTATGTCTGCAGCAGGCAACTGCACGCAGTCATGTTTTGGATTGTGCACTCCGGCTGTATTAAAAGGTTAAACACAGGTGAACTATATATTTCAAGCGAGTGACTTAGGACTTGTGAAAGATACCCCGGTGTGGCCAAGTCCTATCTCATCATGCGTCGGACCCCCCCTGGACGTGTCCCAACTCATCAGGTGTCCGTATGAGATTAGAAACTATGTTTGATTTTCTTTAGTGCGGCATGGACCACTCGTAAAACCATGATGACATAGGACTTGTGCCCCTTTGGTGACATACGTTTTTGTGCACCAAGTCCTGTGCATGTATGTAATGTAATTTACTGTAATGTACTGTGATATAATGCAATGTACTGTAGTCTAATATAATGTGCTGTACTTTACTGTAATGTAATGTAATGTACTGTAGCGTAATGTAATATACTGTAATGTAATGTAGGCATGTAAGTTCTGATGACTTAGGACTTGTGCCCATCTTAAAAAATGTGATTTTCATTTTTTCCTTCGATTTATATACAGACATTATTTTAAAGCAATAAAATAAATTAAAAATATTGAAAATATAAGTTAAGTATACTTTTCAACGTATTATGTATTGTGATGTAATGTACTGCATTGTAATGTAATGTAAAATATGTATGTACGTTCCGATGACTTAGGACTTGTGCCCCTCTGGTGACATACGATTTCCAAGTCCTTTGCATGTATGTACTGTAATGTACTGCACTTTACTGTAGTGTAATGTAATGTACTGTAGTGTAATGTACTGTATATACTGTACTGTAATGTACTGTAAGTATGTAGGTTCTGATGACTTAGGACTTGTGCCCCTCTAGTGACACACGATTTTGTGCACCAAGTCCTGTGCATGTATGTAATGTAATGTAATGTACTGTAATGTGCTGTAATGTAATGTAATGTACTGTAGTGTAATGTAATGTACAGTACTTTACTGTATTGTAGTGATGTAACGTACTGTACTGTAATGTAATGTAAGTATGTCAGTTCTGATGACTTATTAAGAGAATATTTTTGTTTACCCTAAAAAGTGCTTGAATCCAATCACAACCCCAGTGACTTAGGACTTGGTGCACACAAATCACCTGGTAAGAACACCAGTGACTTAGGACTTGGTGCACAAAATCCTATGTCACTATGGTGGCCTAAGTCCTAAGTCATCAGTCCGAAATATATGTAAAATGAAAATGTTCAATCAAAAAGATACCGCCGATATGGATTGTTTTTCCGTTGGTACTGTGTCTGTTCAGAGATTGGGACAATTGTGCTGTAATGATGGTGTTGGATTGTTCGCTACTGCTACTGCCAGGCTCAAACTCCAACACTTGCAAACAATGACGCTTATCACGCAACATAAACCGATAGAAAGATCGACTGACATGGCTTTCATGGCCAAA